GGTAGGATTACTACTATTATCAGTATCATTATGATCATTAAGGCTTTCATCTTAAGTACCAACATGAAGATCATCTCCTACATCGCCTTTACTAAAACAGCATCTGTACATCTGTGATGATCTGTCTTTCTAATCGTTCATTCTGTGATGATATAAATAAAACCAGGACTTGACAAGGCACCAAATAGCAATGTCCAAACTTCCCCCACCCCCCCCCCCCCAAAAAAAAAAAAAAAATATATATATATATATATATATATATATTAAAAAATACATAAAAATGATAATATTAATAATAATTTTTTTTTTTTTAAGTTTTCACATTGGGCCCAGCATACAGCCTATAAAATATTCTGCCAGGACCATCTTCCAAAAAAAGTTAGTGTTATAATTATTCATCAATATCATGCTCTCACGATCTCTCACATCTACATATATATTATCGTGACACAAACAATTGCTTTCTTTTACATCACAAATGTTAATGATCACTGTCTGTTTGGTAAAACCTACCAAGACTATCCTTTAAAACAAACTCCTTTCCACTCTATCTCTGTGGCTTTCACTTGACAGGTAAGATGGATGATGTTTTTGAGCCCATAATGCCAGATTTTTTCTTCCCTCTTTGCTCCTCCTTGACAACGTCTGTAAACTTGCAACTATTCTTGTTAGCAGTAATCAGTTCATGCACACCTCAATTTGCGTGAGAACTTCTCCCAAGGAGTTCTTTCCCATCTTACCCCTCCCCCCCCCCCCCCCCCCCCAATCCTCTCTCTGCATCCTAACGAAACTTGGGTTGTCTCGGAGGATGATGTATTGGATGGAATGACCCGGCATTGACCTCTTAATGAGGCAATGCTCACCAGCACTCGGCACATCTGGCAAGCATGACACCAGGAGATGAACTCATCAAAATACCCCCACTTACATATACTTACAAGGAAGGGCAGGGCATGGTGGGAAGGGGAGGGGTCAGAGGTTACATCTTGTAAATATTGAGTTATGACCTACATAATCAGTAGATACAGTATAGGCCTATACAGTGTATATGGACACCCTAGAGGCTAGAACAATGTTTTTCTTTCTTCAATTGTTAAAACTAGTTTAATGTATTTTTTTTAAACTCAGGAGTGACTTGTGTCGAATTTACACACAATGTGTAATTCCAATTTACTTTACCGGTAATAATATGTGTTCCAAGATGAAAAGTATTGAATACCTTGCATTTCATGATCCTAGTATTACTTCAATTGTGTAGTAAGGGATGCCTTCTGCTGTTGGATATCAGCCATGTTGCACAGTTTCCTTCACTTGGCCCTTCTATGTCATCTCAATACCCAAGGTCCCGTCTGACTCAGAATGTAGTCTGATCCAAATTCCACTTCCTTTTTGTGTCCTGAAGTCTTAAATGTGCAGTTAGCTTCTCTTTTTATCATACTTACTGGTAGATGTTTTCATCACATCTTGAATGTGCAGATTGCTTCTCTTTATATCATACTTACATGTTTTCATCATATCTTAATGTGCCGATTGCTCCTCTTTGTTCCGTCCTTAGTCGTTTTCATCAGATTTTAGAATATATCCTTGTTGAGATCCATACTGACAGATGAAACAGAATTTTTCTTTCAAAATTGTTTTGTATCTCTTGATGACGGAGAAATTTTGAATAAAAATCTGCTTGAATTAAAGTAAATTAATTTCCACAAAGATTATGATCGTTTAGTACACAAAAAGATAAAGAAAACTTTTTTTTTTTTAATTAGGCATTTTCACCCCTCTAAACTTTAGTATGAAGTCTCCTTGTGGCGCAGTGGAGAATTTTGATTATGAAAAAGACAATTTTGAGCATATTTTGTGTCGGTAGAAAACCTCTTGTTTCACATTGACTTTATGTCTGAGTATGGTTAGTAAACTACATGTATTGATTGATCTGTACAAAATATAATTTAATATATTCCAACAGGTTTTCTGTTTCATTTCTACCTGTATTTAGCAGAATTCACAAACAAGTATATGAATAAATTATAACTGAATAGATGAAGCCTTATTGAAATGAGGCTTCTTATCCTCAGGGTGGAAAAAAACCTGTCTGTACCCAGGAAGATGACAGTAAAATTTTAAAGACTTAAAAAGTGCACTATTAGCAATGTTTAGTCTCGTTCATAACTGTGTCATTAGTTTCTCACAGGGACCAAAACAGGAAGTAACTGTAAACCATGTGCTACCTAGACTTAGCTGCAAAAGTCAAAGGCAAAAGGGATGCCAAAATCTAGGTCTGTCCTTTCTCTTCTGAATGACAGCACTGTCCTGGGCCATCTCTTCCTCTCGCCCGTCTCACTCGGTCTGTAGAGGATATCCTGAATAGGGGAGAAAAACCCTCCATCCATTGTGTCTTGATGAGGAAGACAGCAGCACCGGCTGGGTTCATTGTCTATCTCAGAAAGTTCTTTGACTCTATCAGACAAATCTCTGTGGTTGGGAATCCATTCCGCTCCATATCCTTGACTGATGCACAACTTGATAACTGTCTCATCTTCAGAGGCGTGTACGTCTTGCAAATTCATCCTCCATCACCGAGGTTTCTGTAGGCATGGCGATTGAAGTACTGGTTAGCTGTTGACAGTTGTTTTGTACAAATCTTTTATCCTCCCGTTTCGAGATAAGAAATTATGCATGACAGTGAAGTTCAAGTGTTTCTAGCTTGCCTAGTAAGATTACTTGATGGTCCAGTGATTTTCCATCCGCAGTCACTTTACAGATGTAGCCAATAACTTTTCTATCATGCTCAACGGGCTTGCTTTTGAAAACTCTAGATGTGGTTCTATACAACTTATTAGTTGCTACTAAGAGAATATGGGTTGTAGCAACATCTTTTTCTCAGGGTTGCCACTTGCCACAATGTATGGATGGGCAAGCAAAGAATTAACATCGTTTGGACCAAGTAAAATTGATACTTGATGAGAACAGTGGAAATAATTTACTTGGCTTTATTTTCTTCCTTGGGAGAGCAATGATATATTTCTTATTTCTTTGATCAAATTCAGACTAGTGAGTTGTGTACAATGTAGTTGAGCAAGTGGTTTATAAAATACATATACACGAAAGTATCACAGATTGGCAATTTTCTCTAGCATCTTGGTATGTGCTTGCATATTTTTGATATATTTATTGAATTTTATTGTTATAATGAAGACTTCTGTTTATTCATCTGCACAAGTTTGTTGCAGACTGTGAACTTGTTCATGAAGAAAACTATTGGATTTATTTTGCACAGACATTGAGAGGTTAATTTAAACTTTGTTGTAATGTTTAAAAATAGAGTGTTCCAGCAGACTATTCTTGAGTTTTTAAGACCAAACCCATACTTCATCCACCTACATGGATGTCATCTGCAAAGAGCTGATGTTGTTTTCCAACCTATTTCAAGAAGATTTAAACATGAAAATAACAAAACCATTACCGAGCATTCACCTACGTGTAATCCTTTTTCCTTTCATGGAAATCTCATTGCATATATTGGGATTCATTGAATTCTATTATTGTTTATCAAAATATAAACCTACGGCACAAACCTCTGCAACTGCAAATCTTTCAAAACCTCATCTCGCGTTGGGATGCAAATGTACTATCTTGTACAACTGTATTAGGAGCTTCTACATCACGTTTCCATGGAAACAGCACTAAAGCAGAAAAGCTGTTGCTAGCAAGAAACCACTGAAATATACATTACATGTAGGTGTGCACGCTTTGTGGTAAAGAAGAGAATGAAATAAAGATGAAATATGTTATCTAGGCTCTTTGAAAGTATTGGATAACATTGCCTGAAGCTTGTTTTATTTTTTAATGAAAGACATAAAGATTATAGTTGTAATATAAGTCGCGAACCAGCTAGCAAATTCACAAACACTTCTTTTTTATGGGGGAAAAGTGATCTTACATGCTTCATTGAAAGTTTAAACCTGTTTGTATTTTTGTCCTTTCATCTGTTGTTGTGTTTATGAAATCAGTGCTCCAATTTCCAGACAAATGCCATTCCATAAATTGTTTAGTACATCACCTACATGTTTTCCATCCTTGATATTTGGTCTATTTAAGGTTCTATAACCTCCTTTTTTCCCTTCTTTTTTAAAACTATGTATTAGGTTGTTAAGCTCAGAGTTTTGTACATCTCCCGCATCCATGCTGAATGCCAAAGTACCAGTATGGTTTAGAGATTTATTTTTGTTTCCATAGCAACACCACTCAAGCTGAAATACAGATTATCATTTTTCATTTATTTGCATTTATACATAAACCCTGTATTCATCTACTTTGTATAGATGGCAAAAAGGGAATAAGCATAGATGTAAATGCTGTGCAGTTGAGAATGTGTAATTATGGTTTTTACTATTTTTCATCGTTTTTCATGGAATTCTTGGTGAAATGACCTCTCGTAAAAGTCCAGACTTGCTGGTCTGAATGTCACCCTGACCCGCATCCATCCATCCATCCACTCATCTAGCGGTAGGTAGCACTGAAGGGTTCCCTCTGGGAAGGTAGCAAGGATTAGAGAAAGGGTTGATGGATAACCGACTAATCCAACTCACCAAGTAGCAGGAAATGAAATAGAAGATGGTTTATTTGTGAAGGATATGGAAACATTAGGTCTGTCCTGATCAGCCCGAGTTGGCCAAATAGCTTGCTATTTTGTGATCCAGGAAATTAGCTGTAAGTTACAAATCGCGTCCTCATCAGCTCAAAAACTCAAGTTCAAGAAATTTGCTCATTGTCCATGCATAGTGCGAGTCTCTGGACTGGTGAAGACAGACCATAAATAGAGTATATTTGACTATTTGGCCATCTAGAGCTGATGAGGACAGGCCTAATAGTTTTTGTTACTTCCCACTTTTGCTTGTACTGCAAGGTACTGTGAAGACTGCACTTATTGAATTCATTGATAAAGTAGTAAGTTCATACATGACTCTATGCATTTGTTGACTGTTTCCTCTTTATCTTTGCAGGTGTGAACTACTTGTTTTCTAGGTGAGGATAAAATCAAGTGGAACATTATCATCAGTGAGAATAGCTATAAGGACAATTTTTGAAGGAGCAGAATTAAGGTGGGCTATCGAGTCCCGTACTTGAGCTTTAAAAGTGACAAAGCTCAGCACCCCTATGGCTGCACGGGGCTCCGTACTGGCCTACTCAGTTCAACCTGTACCCCAGGAGTATTATCCCCAACAACCGTTGCAACAGTTGCAGCAACAACAACATCATCAGCCACAGCAACATCAGCCACCCTATCAACAACAACACCCACCACCACCACCACCAGAGGGCAACAGGAAAAGTCTGCATCACAGGCAGCGTCGCCAGCGGCAACCGCATCATCAGCAGCAGCAGCAGCAGGGGCAGCGTCATCAGCAGGCCCGGTCGTCATGTAGCAGCTCCTCACAAGAGGACGATCAATCGCAACAGGTCAGTACTATCAATCTATCAGGTCTTACTAGAAAAGATGAATTCCCTGTTGGGTGTCTCCACTAATTCCTCATCACCTAAGATATTTCTTGTGAAGTATTGTCTCTGAAATTTTTTGTGTAGGGAAACCATAAAAACAGTCTTGGCCCCAAATTTGTGTTTTATATGTACTTTATACTCATCTAGTCTCCCATCTAGAGTCAATCACTTAATCTTAGATCTTATTTATGACATGTTGATATTTCTAAATATCTGTCGTGTAGATTTTGAGTTAAATGCTTCAAATAAAAATCACAGCAAATGTATCGACTCCAAATAGCAAGAGATATCTCATATTGTAATCTAACCAATGTAGCAGAAAATTCAATAAAACCATTATGTCCACATTTTCCTTTACTTTGATTATCTTTGAAGGGATACGGTGTGAGAAACGGAGGCTATAGCTCCAACGAGACATTGCGGATGAGTGAGGTACCTATCTCCCCAATGAGTGAGGACGGGAAGGAAGCATTCCCTAATCAACAGCAGGAGGTACATCCCAAGGAAGAGAGTCTGTGCCACCCTGCTGTCAGAATGGAACCTCCCATTGCAGAACATATTGCTGAAGAAAGGCCCTATTATGATGGTATGTATATTCCCCCTTCCTGGATTTTATGTTTTTTGTTTTATGATCAGAGAGAGGAAGGAGATATGGTGAGGATGAGGGAGAGAAAGTGAGAGAGAGAGAGAGAGAGAAAGAGAGAGGGAAAGAGTGAGTTTTTCTGGGGGAGGGGGGGACATAACACAGATTTTTAAAATCTATGTTTAGTTGTAAATATTTTTTATGAAATGAGATAGTAATTAAAGTAAAAGGTTGTTATCTATCTCTAGTCAAGATTTAAAAAGCGGGCATCAGAAATGGCGCAGATAAAAAGTACCGTACTTCAAATAAAGAAGAAAGAAGATTCTGTGTAATATCAAACTTGATGAGTGATATTAATGACATAGTCTGGAATGCAAGAGAGATAGAGGGAGTGTGGAGAGATATGGGAAAAGAATACAATTCCCAATCAAATAAAGAAATCCCAATTACTGAGCATATCATGTTATCACTTTGTTTACAAAGGCAAGGATGAATCATACAACAATCTATTCTTCCTGACATGGCGATAAAAACACAAAAGCTGGTAGAAATAGATATGAAGCTGATGATTTGGGTGCCTAATTGGAGACCATTGCTAATTGATTAGAGGCCTATCTTTGTATTTGTCTTGATTATTAATCACCTTGCTGCAAGTTCACGAATGGATGACAAGGATTAATGACTTCAATGCTCAGCAAATATTGAGCTGTTGTAGAGTAGTTGTCCTGTCTTGGCAAAGATAAGACCTACAATTATATGTAGTTTATCTGTTCCAATTCCTCCTGATAACGTGGAGTGTGGATGTACAGACTAAGATATTAGCTTTCTGTACAGAGTGATCTTGAACTTCTTCAACACTTTGTAGTCTTGCGCAGTAGCTTTTCCCTCTCCTTTTTTGTTTCTTTTTAGTTACTTTAAACAAAAATATGATAACATAAAATCTTGCTTTTTAACAAATTAATTGTAAGAAACCTGATAACTTTATTGATTTTAGATGCTTACAATTTTATTTTATTTTATCAAGAAATTACTTTATTTTGTGTTTTATATGAAAAGACTTCTTTAGTATGCATGCTCGGTGGTTAGGGTAAATGGTAAACTGAATACCAATCAGCACTCGATCAATCAAAAGAATCAGTGCAGACACATGAATATCAAAGATAATTAAAGTTTTCCTTATTAGTTCTCGCTGCATCATATCTACACTGTACACCTGACCAAAGTGATAATTGGGGTAAAATCAATGTTGAGATGATGAAAACATGTTCATCTCTATCGACCGCTATCGGGATACCACAATCGCAAGCAAATATTATATCATGTTTGAGCATTCGTCAGGTGATGTGCATACTAATGGCTTGATCGACAGCCACAAAGTGAGAGAAGGATCCAGAAACGAAGGGAAAATGAGGAGGAGAAAAATCAAATCATTGATGATTCATTAACCAGTCCCGGAGACAAAGAGCATGTTTAATTAAGAATATTGACTTGGAGTAGAGGTTGGTTTGTTCCTCTCATGTAGTGATTGGATCGCAATGATTGACAGATAAAAGTGATGATTCTGGGAGTCCGAAATCATCCTGTTTTTCTTAATTTCTCCCCCTTCTTCACTATTTCTGCCATGATGTACAAAAAAATGCGTAGATTCATCAAAATAGTTTATTTATTCAACGTTTCTTCCTGAAGAATAAACACACATTCGATTATTGTACGGAATGACAACTTTAATTGCAACAATTTTTTAATATTCTTGGTCACCGAAATGTAATTTAAAATCATTGTTTCTTGTACATGTATGCCTATAGGAAGAGAAATACATCGAAAAGATTGGACTTGTCGCAAGTTGATGTATCCTGAAAAAAAATTGTCATTAAACCATTTCTTGATAAGGACAAACTATTTTGAAGCTTATACATATGGCTGTATGACTACTTATGCAATATTATTTTAAGAATTCAGAATTGTATGCTTCCTGTTGACAAATGTTTTTGTTGCAGAAGAACTATGAGAAATCTGTCTCATGCAAACATTGTCATACATCCTGAATACCATAGAATACCATCAAGCAAAATGAAACGACATTCTCAAATAGGAATAGACTCAATGATGTGAGGAATATGTTTATGTGGTTTTCATGTACTGGTATGAGGAATATGTTTATGTGGTTTTCATCTACTGGTAATCAATATGCATATTGTTCCTGGTATTTTCAAAAGTAAACTTCCATGGAAGAATGAACTCATCAACAAATGGGATAGGGCAGTGGGAAAGACCATGTCCATGGATTCCAAAACAAACAGAAGCGATAATTTATCAGGCGTGATGAGTTAATTGAGTCGGACGTCTAATTATACAAGAGATAATTGATTCCCTTGAAAAGAAGGATCTTTTGTATTTATTCAGTTAGCTCGCGGGGGTTGCTGCACTATGTCAATCATGTTAGACACTGGGAGAAATTAGCGAAACAACAATCATCAGCCCGAGTAAATATTTTACAGTGGTGTAAATAGAGAGAGAAGATTACATGCTAATTGTTGTTGGGCAATGGTGGTAGGTGGAAGAGAATTGGAAGATGGACAGGAAGCCAGAGGAATGGGAATGAGAGAGACAGAGGCAAAGAGAGAGACCGAGGCAAAGAGAGAAAAGGGGGGGGGGGGAGGAAAGACAGAGATGCTCAAGAACAGAAGTGAGAGAAGCCAAGACAGAGTAAAGAAAGAGAGAGAGAGGAGAGGAGAGAGGGAGTGAGGGAGAGGGAGATGAACATTGTATACTATTCTGTATGATTTTTATACTTATATAATAGCAGAACGTTAGAAGAAAGAGAAAACAAATGTGAGAAAGATACCATAAAAATGGACAAATAGGATTATAGTACAATGGCTCTAAAATAGAGGGAAAATCAGATAGTGCTAAAGATGAATGTGAATGAAATATATGGACAAATAGGATGGACAAGATTGACAAGAGAGTGAGAAAGAGAGGAGGAAAGAAGGATGGAGAGATGAAGAGAGTGGGAGAGTGAGAGAGAAAGAGAGAGAAAGAGAGAGAGAGAGGAAGGAAGAGAGAGAGAGAGAGCATGAATACAGAAGTCTCAAGCATTCTAAAGGCAATGAAAATAGAATTGTGAAGACATGCGTTGACAGATGGAGAGAGTTTGATGGACAGGTATGGTGTGTTCTGTGAGAAGATTGTAAGAAGTGGAGATTTGTGTTATTATTACCGAGATGTCAGGACAGAAATAGTGAGATGAAGAGATGCTCGACGTGGACTTCATTGCATGTCTAACATTTCTACTATTTGTTCGTCTTGGAAAGTGTCTCCATGGTGACATAAAGTGAAATGAACTGAAAATGAAATAAAACATAAATATGTGCAACACATGCAATAAAAGAAAAAGGTAAAAGGAGAGGGTGGTTTCTTCATAACTACAGTACATTTTAATTTGAATAGCTGAAGAAATAGATGGGGAAAAGAAAAGAGTAGAGTACAGAGTGAGGAAGGGAAAGAAAGAGACGGAGAGATGAGAGAGAGAGAGAGAGAGAGAGAGAGAGAGAGAGAGAGATGTAGAGAAAGGCAGACGGACAAGAAGAGGGGAATCACAAATGGAGGTAGGGGAGGAGGAGGGGGGGGGGGGAATATTTCATTTTCAAAGGAATTTGTGGTTTAAGCCAATGCTGAGGAATTGAAAATGTATTTTTTTTAAAGGAAATACTACATGTAAGTACATGACGTGAAAAAGAGATGATATCAAAAGGAATAAAGCAATTTGCTGAGGTTTTTTAAGAATGTAGGTAAATTGCTTGAAGACACTCGAGGGGGACATACAATATGGACTATGGTACTCAGTAAATTAAAGTTTAACAGGAAGAGAATGAGATTATGGTTAAAGGAGCAAAATATAAAGCAAAGCACAACATGGAGCAATTAGCCAGCTATCTGTTGGAGGTCCTCCAAATAGATACCGATGTTTGCATTATGCATACAATATTGATGGAAGTTTTGTTAATGATTTAGCTGTCTGTTGTTTATTTATCTGGCCTGACTCCCTTATCAGGTGCTAGGATCTGGGGCATCTTTGCACAACTGCAGGGGCTTAGCCCCCCTCTTCCTTCTTCATGTTAGTTAAGCATAATCCTGAGAACATACATACACCAGATTACTGATTGACCAACCCTGATGTGGAAACACAAAAGAAAATACCAGCAGTATCTTGCCTTTCTTTGTCCAGGATTCACCTGATTCTAATCCTAACTTCCAATGTGATGTTGTTGTGATATGTATCTTTGTCTGTTTGTTTAGGTTCTCTCTTTCTCAGTGCAGTGCCATGGGGTAGCCTTTATTGTGCTTTAATTAGCGAGGTGGTCGTAACTTTGTTCACAGTTCCAGTTGGCCTATTGTTCGGATGACTTGTTCTAGCTGCTTGTCTGTGTAGTGACTCTTCATTCATAGTCCAGTTCTTGTGTAAACATTGCACTTTGGTTACCTGAAATGCCTGTAACACCAGGCGGAGTTCATTTTATTACAGTGTTTTGAGTCAAGAGAAGAGCAAGGAAACATTCATTCATGTTCCTGCTACGTGTTTTTCTCACGCTACGTCATAGTGTCTTCTCCTAATTCTTGCCTTGCGTAGTTTGTGGTTGAATGAGGAATAGTTGCTCTTTGTTTGTAACAATTGGAGTTTGACTTGTTCATGCAGAGTCATGTCACAATAAGGATGGAACATTTATTTATATCCTCGCTGGTATCTCAAGCTTTTCAAGGAAAATGTGAAGGAAAATGAACAACCTTCAATTGGCTATTACTACTTGGGAATGATACATGTATGCCAATAGTTTCTGCTCATCGTCTCACAGAAACAGTGCATTTGATAAAATTTGCTTGGATAAATTTGCAATTGGATGATTGGACTTCTGAAGGAACAAATGAGTCTGAAGGAATTATATATGGAACATATTTGCATTTTCAATTAGACGAGCATTGTGAGTGACTTGTTGTAGGTGTTGAGAATCGTTTACAATGGAAGTACATAGAACAATTACCCCGGGGGAAACGCAAGGCGGCTCTCTCATGCGAAAGCCCTATTATCGTCTTCGAGATGGACAACCAGAGATGGCTGGGTGGATTGTGTTTGAGAAAGGTACATTCTTGTTATCATTTCTTACTTTCATAAAGCTGTTTGTCAGAGTCAATTATTTCTACCGTCCATTTGAATGGCACAAGATAGGATTTCATTTCCTTCATAAAAGAATATTTTTAATTTATTGAAGGAACATACCTTTTTTCTATTAATCTATTGGAAGCCTACTCTCTCTCTCATTGAATAAGAATTTAACTTCCCATACTTTTATTTATAGTGAGCATATACATGTAGCATCACCAGAGCACATTTTCTCTCAAATATTTTAAGGATGATTGTAAATGAATTGCATCCAAATTCCAAAGTAGGAGAGAAGAAAGCATTATTTTCTGTGAAATTGCAGATTTTTAGATTGAAGATGCCAGGTAATCATCCCAGTGATCCTTCGTGATACAGTCCAGTCCCCCACACAGTGACTCATCAGAGGGTCTATCTCGCACTCTGGTTGTGCCCGTAATCCTCTCGGTCTTACATTCTCATATCGCCCTCGGCAATGCCAAATACTGCCATCTCATACTTGTCAAAAACATGATGCGAGATTACGGTTGGGGAGAAAAGTTGCCTGTTTGGGGTGTTTATACAAGGTGAAATCCCCATAATGGGTGCACTTTAGATTGGGAGGAGTCAGAAGTTACATGGTACAAATCAAGATCTGATGTTTTAACCCCCTGGCATCTCTCCACTTCCAATGCGTGCACTCGTGTTTGGATTATTTTGCCACCAGAAATCCAATGTGGAGATGCAGGCTACTTTGAAATACCAGACTAAATTTGGCAATTCGTTTTGAAACTTGAATAAACTAATATCTTATTTGATAAAACAGAATAGAAAGAATATGTTTCACATCCATAAATGAACTCTCAAGATTTGACGTTTAACCCCCTGGCATCTCTCAACTTCCAATGCATGCACTCTGGTTTGGACTATTTTGCTACCAGAAAACCGACATGTAGTTTAATGCTACTGTGAAATACCAGACTAAATTTGGCAATTCATTTTGAAATTAGAAGACATAAAACTAAGATCTAATTTGATAAAAAGGAATGATAAAAATATCTTTCACATCTATAAATGAACTCTGCTTGTTCTGAATTGAAATTGGACCTACTCTATATTTTGGGGAAAAACATGTTTTTGAAAAAAAATTAGTCATTCTTTATTATTCATTTGCAAGTTGCAAAAGTTGCAAAACCACCGGATGTATTTATGAAAATTTGTTATATCAACACCCAAACTGAGATGAATACAACACATTTATTTCAAAGTAAAACTTTTGAATACAAAAGAATAATACGGTAGACCATACTGTGGTTAATCTTATATTTGTCTATGAATGCATTGGCTACAATACATTTATGTAGAACAAGATAAAGAATAGCTGATATTTTTAAAACATGAAGGAGAGACGGAGCTCATGAATTTAAGAGAATGGGCTGGGTTCGATATTGTTTCCATGTGTTCTGGCTGCACCATTAAGTGGGATGTCAGGCACGCTTGAATTCTATTCTTTTCAACATGCCCACGAGAGCATGAACTATGAAATGGGCCGTCATCACAGACAATCGGCAACACAAATATCACTGCTGCCTCATGGACAAAGTAAAACCGCTGTATTGTCAGTACAATAGTATCTAAAGTGGACAATACTCTGTGATTCCTAGTTGTGGTTATGTGTCAAATGGGAAGATAATAAAGGGTTATTCTTTATGGATTTGGAGTATTGTCTGTAATGCTGTCAATTTTGATTTATTTGTCCATAATTAACGGTATGACTTTTGGAAAAATGTAAACAAATCTAGTTATACTATACCTTGAATTTATGAATACTGTAGTTCTTCTGTAGAGCTGTATAATTTGTACATGCAATGTTTATTACTGACACGAGTATGAAATTCTACCAGACATGATGTTAAACTTTAGAATTAGGGGGAAAATGGAAAATGCTCATAGTCAAAACTAACTACTTCTAATTCTATAAAGTCAAATTCTTATTTTTGAAATGGTTAACCCTAAACTACTGCTGCTTATGTTATATCTGGAGGAATGGAATAAAATGACCTCCATCACTGCCATTTTTTGACATGTAGCAGTCTAGTGGTCTTGTTTATGTATAGCCTTTGGCATCACACCTCAGATAGCCGCAGACAGGTGTTTGGTGCGATGGAAGGCACCGATGACAAAAGAGAATAGTTGTGAAATGTTTTAAAAACAAGTTTTGGAATCCTACAGAAGCTACATGGATTTGGGATGTTGGATTGTTATTTTCTATCAGGTGGTATCAGTTGAAAGCAATGGGGATAAAAGATTTTGGTGTGGGGTGGTGGCTTTCTTGACTATTTTTGCAAGGGTTCACTAACTTGAAACAAATAACATTTAGTTCTCATGGATCTCTCTTATGTTTCATCTCTATTTCTCCTTATGTCTGTACTTTCCCATCTTTTCTAATCTCTATAAATTTCTTTCTCTCTTGCTCTCTGAGGCTCAACAGCTGATTTCTTTTTGTGTACTGTAACCACTTTGCTCTTGTTCCCAGAAAATTTATATCAATTTCATTTGTCTTCTCATGTTTTCATTATCTCATCTATCACTGCTATTAAGTGGGCCTTGCATTTAGCCAAATAGTTTATAAATTTGAACATTTGAGAGAACATGGCATATACAGTACGGATACAGCAATGTGCAAGTTAATTATTACAATTTTTGTTATCACCCTTACAAACAGAGTGGGCCTCATTATTTTATTTAGATTATACATCTAGATACCCAACACCAATCTACATTGTTAGCACACTCCACAGACACCCAACCATGGTCCTCTCTTTATTCCACATGATCTTCCAAGTTTATTTAGCTTTTCCTAATGAACTTGGCTCTCTAAGGCCTGTTTTATCCGGCCTAAATGCAGAGGTATATCGTTTTACAGGATAGACGTCCATTACCCTGAAGTGTAAGCTACCATGAACCCCCTCTTGCGTCTTCCGTTCTGATGAAAGGTCTCAAATCCGTATGATATACAGATATTGTTTATATGCTGTTCATACCCAGAACGCTTTACATCCATTAGCAAATGGATGGAGATTCCTCTGTCAGCCATTCCATTTCATTGTTCTTATATAATTCTTATCATGATGGTATATTATACAAGCGATTTCCGATTTTTGTTTGGTTCGGTCGATTAACTCTTACTTTGCCCAATTTACTCCAAGGGCATGTCATAGATGTGATTCATTCATTAATCAGAATACAAATAGCAATGATTTGTTCTGTATAGCAACGTTATATCTGCCAAATTAAGCCTTTTCAAACTTTTTGATAGGTATAGGAAGACAATGGACCAATATAATCATTTGGGAGTAATTGGCGAAACGAAAGACCTTTTGTATGAAGATGTTGTAAGGAAGAACTTGGATATTCCACCAGATGTTTACATTTCCTAATGATGCTGTGAGACTTGATAGGTTATGATATGGTGTGATCAATATTTAAGATAGTTATAAACTTGTCTCTTGTGATAATCTTGAGCATAGATTTGACTGACTGACCAACAATTGGAGCAATTATTTTGGGAGATTGAAATATATCTATCTGATGGACTTACTACCTTATAACACCCACTCTATGTTTCTTCTTCCTCTTGATCTAATGAGGTTGAATGCCATATTGAATCCTCCCTCCTCGCTCACCAGCGAGGGAGCACTCTACCCGTTAGATCCGCCAAATCCCCGGTCCCATCTGACGTGAGTTAGGACCTGATCTCAAGCCAAGCTGCCCGCTAAAGCTCTAACAACAAACCCTGTCGTCGCGGCGACAGCGGCTTCCACCCCCACCAACTTCCTCTAGAGTCTGTCTCAGATCAAGTGTCAGACAGGAGATTGTTCAAATTTCAAGAATATTTGGTAGAAATTGGGTGTTTTCATTTCTCTCCGTTGACTTTCTGTATTATCAGCCATCCTCATGGTTAGGGATTTGTTAAATGGATAAAGCAGGATTCACGTCTAATTGTCCCTTCTTCTGAATGTAGTTTTAAAGAAACTGTGACCTTTTTAGGAAAGATCCTTCTCGCCTCTTCCCCTGCCTTCATCGTTTCTTACTTGACTGCTGTGTTTTCTATGTTATTTTTAGTGAAGACTTCATATGTGTGAGAGCTTGAGTTATGTACCGATAAATTTTAAAAAGTACATCAAGTCATAAATACTTATAACTAGTTAAGGCAGTTGGAACATATTCTTAAAATTAAACTTTTTTATTTTTTATTTTACCAAGGTTTTAAAAAAAAGGTCAAATTACATGGAATACAATTATAAGCTTTTACAGAGGAGATATAATGAATGATAAAATTAACATATCTCTCCCCCTCTCTCTCTCTCTTTCTCTCAGGTAAAGAAAGGCCTTCAGATCTGAAATGTCCCTCAGTCTCAGATAACTTTGACTCCACCCTCGGAAGTATGGAAGGGTCCATCAACGTTAGCACCTCTACAAGGGGCGACATGAACCATGATCAACTACTACAAGAAGTCGATCACTATTTACATGTAAGTAGTCAAATCTAGTTAAATGAACAAATGTTTACATGTATATTTTGATGGTCTTTGTTTTTTTGCTCAAGGTAGCCTCATCGTTTCTATTTAGGGCCTTGTCAATCATAGTTTTATCCTGGCTTTAGCGGAACTACCATAATGAGGTACTTATATTAAGCAAGGAATTTGTTTCTTTTGGGAACCCATTAACTTCACTTGGAATCCTACGTAGAGAGTGGAAATTGTAAATTAATGTTCGAGTAGTTGCAGTCAATGAATATTTTATGATATAAAAAATGTGCTCAAAATCTTGATTTCTTGTTATTCTTTAGTTCATTTTTTCTCATTATTTTCTCTCATTTCACTCTCATTAAAAGAAGGAATTTAGGAAAAATTTATACCAATCCATCTTGAGCTTTTCCCTTCAAAGAAAAAGAATGACTATATCTTGTGATTAATCATCACTTGTGCATGATCCTCAGGAGTACTGAGTCTGCAAGAATTTTTGTGAGATACATATGAAAAGATAATCATTATCCATCACAAGCCTTATCCGTCTCTCACACTGCTTCAGTCACGAGGTTCTTCTGACTTGTAACTAGAGGCCCTCAATGTGGATTCTAATCCTTGCCTTCCAAGTTCCATCAAAATATTTAGAGCAGATTGGTTCTTTAAAGGCACTGGCATCGATTTCTAACAAATCATAGTTGATTCATAGTTTCTCCTGGCTAGAGCATATTTCTTTAAGAATACATAGTATAAAATCTTTGTAGATAGCGAAGTGTGAATGTTCATTCACAACCAAATAGATTGATAATATCCTCTGTCTTCTTAATGTGGTCGAAACTGGGTGAGAAAAAGCTGTTGCTGTGTCTAATTCAAATAAACCATTCAATGCAATGAAAGGCTGATGTAAACCCTTTTGAAAATCTCGAGTTAGTTCAGTTAGTATACGTATATACATTAATAAAGAATATATTCCTCTTTGTGTAAAACATGCATCTTAGATTAAAATGAACTTCATTATGAGGTAGAATATATCAAATATCTTATTTTAAAATGCTTTGTGATGAGTGAGAATCTCCTTGTGAGCTGAAAGTTCTAACCAATGCCAATGCCTTTAAACGTAATCCCTATTCAAACACGTTCTAACTGTGATTTAAAGCTCATCACCGACTTTCCAAGAAATTCATGAATACTAATGATTTGATGGAAGCAAATGAATAATGATTGGGTGTATCTTGTGAAGCTGCATGTATTTGCTTGAAAAGAAGAACGACAGAAATATCAGACATTTTATGCATGTTCAATCATCACACTCCAGATTGCAATTAAACAAAAAAATTCTAGATAGCCATCAAAATATTTGTTTGACATCACACTTTTTACCAATATTTTCTTTTTGTAATTATGTCATTACAAAGACAGTATGAAAAGCAGTGTTTGGATTCTCAATCATTTTTATTTTGATGTTTTCACTCCACAGAAACAGAGTTTAGATGGCCATTCTACAGGCAGTCGCAGTACAAGGTCTAGTTTGACAATGACAGAAAATGAGTTGGACCATGATATGTCATTACATAATCATGAAGATCAACAAGGTAGGTGCAATATATATGTGATGATGATGATGATGATGATGATGATGATGATGATGATGATGATGATGATGATGATGATGATGATGGCTTCTTGTAATACGCTGGTACCTGCCTCTGCTTTGCGCTCATGGACATATGACTTAGTTAGAATTTTATTCATGTCTCATATTTTGTGTTTTATTCTGTTTTGTTTCATTTTAAGCAGTTATATTACTTATGTACTTTTTTGTACAATTCACATAATGACCAATACTGGCTATGTCACACATTTTAACTGTAAATCTGACCCTAAGCAGTTTGTATCTTCTTTGTAATAACTATGAAATCATTGAATTTAGAGTCATTTCTCTTGTTTCCTACCCCCTCCAGGTGCAATAAGACTGGACCGTTTATCCAGCATGCCAGGCTACCCTCCTATTGGCCTCTCCACCTACCCCCACCTACAAAATGGAGCATTCCAAGGCATACCAGCCAATCAGATGCGAGGAGCCAGTCTTCCAACCAATGGGGTGCCTTACCCTCCCCATGGTATTGTTTATCATCAGTTGCAACCCACCATTGAGGATGAAGAAGAAACTACCTTCATGGGTTCATTACCACAATCATATAGTACTGGAACTGGCATTTATAGCTCAATAAAAGGTACATTTCTTCAGCCATTACCCTTCTAAATAAAATGGAAAAATTTACATTGTAAAGATTTTGTTTTTTAAAGCTTATCTGCCATAGTTTACAGGAGGATTAGACCGCCCTGCAAGGTCACTGGACAGGTGGTTATCTCATCAACTCAGCTCTCAGTTAACATAAGAAAAAGAGGATCATGGGGGACCAATGGTCACCGATTAGGCATTGTTTGTTATATAGAGGGCGCAAGTAGCTACAAGTAGTGCAGTGGGCCTTTAAAGTAACAGGTGGTGTTGGAAAACACCATGAATTAGGTGAAAATATTTCTTGATGCATCTAGGTGGCCTAAAACCTCATTGATGCTAACTTCTTCTGTTAGGTTAGAATGCTTTTTTGTTTTTTAACAAACCAGTCAGAAAGTACATCATGGCCACCAAATGTATTTTTTAGATGAAGAAATTTTGACAAACATTGTGCAAACAACAAGATATTTCAAATATAGGATATGGCAATATTCTTCTATCATGTAGCTTGTATTAGCGCAAATATTGTATTAAAAAAAATACTTTAAAATAAAGCTGTTGCCTGCACCGACATGTAATCCCTTCATGCAAGATGACCCAAATGTCAATTTGTTATTAATTTATTCTCCAGAAAATCAGTACAACTCAATAGGGGACCCTAACTCTCTGCGGCACTCCATGTCCAACACCGCCTGCCAGACGTTACCCGGAACCAGCGGGATGTACCTGCAGCCACGGACCGGTAACATCATCCACGCCGTACCCCTGATGACTACCTGTGATCTTCAGACGTTACATACAACCAGCAGCCTGGCTACCAACAGTGGTACCCTCAATGAACTCAACAATGCCAGGCATAGGCAGGAGAGGTAAGATGGCGGTGGTGGTGGGTGGTAGTGATGGTATCGGTTATGAAGGTGATGGTGTTCATTATAGTTTTGGTTACAATGCTTATTAGGATGATGATGATGATAAGGAAGAGATTTATGATGATGTTGATAATTATGAGGATGTGATGATAAGGAGGATGTTGGTAGCCATCATAGTTCTGGAGAAGGGGACCTTCGATGAGTAATTGCTGTTGTTTAGTGATGATGGTGTAAAAGATGAGGAGAATATACTTATGCTCCTTTTTCAAGATGTGAAGTCACATACAGAATAGTTATACAAACATTTTATACTCATTTCTGATATTAGTTATAATTATCAGATGAAGTGAAGGGCAATGAAATAACAGGAAAGAAGAAACTTAGCTTCATTCTATATCGTACCTCTCTTTTTCTTCCCTATTTTTCTGCAGGTTATTTGAATACCCTTTGAGCATGGGTACAGGAGTCCCCATGCCTGTATACCCAGGTATGAACAATGGTAAAGGGACCAACGAAGCCTCCGAGCTCAAATATCCAACGATGAAGAAGAAGTATGGCTGTAAAAAGGACAACATGTCGTGGCGCTGTTTAGCCGTCATTCTTGTCTTACTCACCATAGCCCTTCTTGCTCTTGTCGCATACTTTGCAGGTACGTGGAGTCATTGTTCTCCTGCTTTACTGTTGGTAATAGCTAAGATGATATAAAAAGGAAGGTGCTAGGCTTTTCAGCTATTGTCTAAACTCATTTTATTTCCACTTTTGTTCCTAATAAAACTAGTATTGTAGGAATATGATATTTGGGATAAATCTGTTACTTTGAACATGTGCATATATTAGGCATATATGCTAATATATTACTTTTTAACCCCCTTGTTCAAGATCATTTGTATATTCAATAGGGCAATTAGTTCAAAGACCATGTACTTGTACATTTTTATTTGTATCAATAATAGCTAAATGAGCCCCATTCCCTTCAAATCTGATATATCGTTATAACCTCTGTGACAGAATTTTGCATTCATTTAAATATATTCACGTTTAGTATATACATATATGTTCCAGCACACATATGAATATATCCTATATGTTCTGTATTCAGATATAATCTTCCTGTATCATCTTCAAATATAATCTTTTATGTTCTTCTTAATCCTTCACCCCTGTGACCTTTGTACCCCAGTGACCCTGAGTAGACCTCTAACCGGCATGCCCAACACAGTCAGTATTGATACCTGGCCAACATCCTCTGGTAACCTTGGTAACGAGGATAGAACAACAAGAAGGCCAAAGAGGCCTCAACCTCCATCCAATGAAATAGGTAAATGTTTGTGCTTTTGGGGAGTGCTGTGAAGTCTGTTAAAAAATGTCTAGTGTAAATATTAAGATATCTTGATAAAGATATTTTTGTGATATATATCTTTGATTATGCTGTTGTAATTAGATTGACATCGGTTCAGTACTGTATAAGTTTACATTTTTACTTACAGATTATTTGCAGATGACAAGGGCACAGATATTTTTGTGAGTTGTTGGTTTTGTGAAACTAAATCCAGGATTTTCAAAATGCAAAATGCTAGCTCATTTTTGCAAGGTGTCTAATTTATGACCGAGTTCATTCAAGAGTTGCATGTAATGCACAAAAGTAATTGGCTTACAATATTCTTAACCAGTCTATTCATTCAATAGATCTGTGTGTGTAAAGATGAAGAATTCAGAATTATATTGATTGAGGAAAGGGTAATAATCATTTACCGGTATGTTTCATTCCTGCACAGAATTAACGACGACATTGACCACAACCACAACACTCGTCCACAGTCCTGCCGTACCTTACACGTTCGGCTCGACGGCACGGAAGGAAATACCACCAGGTCACTTCTGGACCCTCTTCAGTCCTGTTGACTCCTCCACCTTCATCCAGTTCAACCTGACCCTGTCAAGACGGAATGGATTCGTCATGTACGGCCAGCAGGCGAGGGCGCCATCACACAGCTTCTACGACTTCATGCAGGTGCACGTCGGCACGGGCAGACGAGGGAAGCGCAGCGTCGACACGACGCTAGATGAAGAATTGCCTGAACTGACTTACCACGATGTGCTTAGGCTTGGTGGATTGAAGTATGAAGAGAGCAAGGCAGAGTCAAGGGTCAAGAGGTCAAATAGTCACCTGATGCATACCTGGTCATTCATGGAGGAGTTAAATGCTGGAGAATGGTATATTGCTGTATTCAATGATGGACCGTATGCTGAGGAAGTCAACCTCGTTACCAGACATAAAAGTAAGCCTCATTTTACAAATTACACCCAGAAATTATTTCTTTCATGAATGAAAATAGTACAAGGTAATTTTAGAATAAATGTGTGCAGTTGTGAAGTATTACATTTCTTTAAGTCCAGGAAACAAAAATTCTTGTAGGGAAAATCTTTTTATTGCATTTTGTCCATCTTTGCCACTATCCCTCTCTACTGCAGTAGCTTCACATCTCACTCAGATACTAGTCAATGTCACCGCCAAAAGAAAGTACACCATCAATAAATGGAACTACATATTCATGCTTCATTTATTGATAGACAAATATTGCAAAATGTAATTCAAAAGTGGCAATAACCCCAACAAAGTGTGTTAACTCCTCCAATTTTTTTTTATTTTTTTTTATTTTAGGTGGTTGGAGTTGCCCTGGAGACTGTAGCGGCCATGGTGAATGCCTTAGAGGGCAGTGTTTATGTCAGGAGCAGTATACAGGCGATGATTGCTCACAAGGTAATTCCCCAACCTCTTTTTATCCACAGTTAAATTAATGGATTGTGTATAGCTCCACTGTGAATCTTTGTCATACCAATTTGCTATTGAGATTTGTATTCAGCTCTTAACTGTGCTACAAAACATTAGAGTTGGTTCATTAAATGTGTTTAAGACAAGTGATTTTGGTGGAAAATGTTATTCGGTTCTTTTGTCGGTCCTGTTGGTATTTCTTATTTTCTTTATGGTAATTTTGAATGATTTTGCTGCTAGGAAATAAAATCAATAAATCTGTATAACAATTTTTTGCCAATAGGTTTATGTTTGAAGAAAAAGTAGTGTAGGTAATTTCCTTTTTAAGAAGTTTAAAATAATATGAATTTATACATTTGTTACAGGTGTATGTCCCGTGCTCTGTTCTGGCCGTGGTCAGTACGTGCATGGATTCTGTGAGTGCGTGGGAGGCTGGAAGGGACCTGAATGTAGCATCCCATGGGATCAGTGCCTGGTAGCTGACTGCAGTCGTCATGGGGTCTGTCTGGAGGGAGAGTGTGTCTGCAGCAGGGGATTCACAGGGGAGGCATGTCAACAAGGTGAGGTCAAGGGTCAACTTAAAGTAGAGGAACAAAATTGAATACAGAGCAGTGAAATATTGCCTTCCTTAAAAGTACTATACATCCCAATACTAATGTGAACAAGAAACTTTCATGAGTGGTCCAGACTAACCAAAATGTCATATTTCAGACCTAACTTAACTATTTTCTTGCATGAGTTCCTTGCCTTGAAACTGTCAGTTATAATGAATAAAGAATTGTTCATGTCTGAAAGTTTCTGCTATTTCATTAGAGAAAGTGCTACATTTTACTACTTTATGGACACCCCTACGATTGGAGAAATTTTGAACATGGAATTTTAATAAGTTATAATAAGTCTTATGCAGGCTTTTTTTTCTCCAACTTTTACTGTCCTGTTTATTCTTTATTCATCAAGACCTGATACATTGTTAGTTATAATTTCTGTTTCCTTCCATCCCTCAGAGGTGCTGGTAGATGACACCCTCCATTGCAGTAATGACACGGACTGCTTCCCCAATGCTCAATGCTTATCTGGAATGTGCCATTGTTTGGAGGGGTGGACAGGCTCAACCTGTGAGGAGGAGGAGTGTATCCTACCCTGCTCACCCCATGGAGAGTGTGTGGACAATGCATGTAACTGTGAAGAAGGCTGGAATGGAAAGCTGTGCGGACTTGGTAAGATTTTCATTCGTATTTTAACCCATTGAATTCCAAATTCTCTCACTTCCATAGGTTTAATACAGGAACCACTTATTTGGTGGACAGTGGGTTAACAACAAAGGTATTGATATTTTGTAGTGAGACAAGCTGTATAAACTATCACTAAGATAGGCAATATCTAGCTGAGATCAAATACAAATCCAGTTGATGAAATTCTACATGGAGATTATCACTCGACCATCTATATTATGAAATTTGATCTCATACAAAACAATTTGTTACAGTAATCATAACAGAAATAGAAGAAAAGAGTACTAATGATGTCGGGTTTAAGAATTCTTTTGTTACTCATTAAAGGGTAGAGGACTGAAATTGATCAAAGAATTCATTGATTTACTACTATTCTCGAGGTCTGAAGTCTGAATCGTTATGGTTACAGATTGCAAAGAAATTGTTTGATCAGGATCTAATCAGTGTTAGTTTTCGACCTATCATGTTTTCATGTTATTAAGATGTTTTGATGATCATTATGTGTGTGTTTTTTTTCAACAGATGGATGTCCATTTGGATGCAGTGGTCATGGTACATGTGAGATGCTCAATTCTACCTGGAGCTGTGTATGTGAGGGGCTCTACCATGGACCTGGATGTAGCATCGGCACGGAAACAGACTGCACGGATGAGGTGGATAATGACGGAGGTAAGAGAATCAATTTTTTTTTTTAATTTATGCGATTAATTAATGATTATAGTGGTAAGTGGTGGTTGATATGAGAATGATGATGATAACGATGATGATGGTCATGTTGATGACGATGATGATGAGATGAAATTATGGTTAAGAAGATGATGGTGTTGGCGTTGATTACGTTATGATGGTGATGATGTTGATGACAAAGATGGAAACATTGGATACAGCGATGATGTTGACATGAAAGATATTGACAGAGATAATAGTAACAACAATATTACTTTATACATGATATTTATGATCATGTTTACAACCTGTTGGCTATCATAGTAATTAAATGAATGATATTAATTTCATAATATGGGGTGTACTTGGAGAAATTTCATCTGTGCTTAACTCTGTTCCATCTCAGATTCCCTGATTGACTGTGAAGATCCAGACTGCTGCCTCAGTGCATCCATCTGCATCGGTGATGCCCTCTGTGAAGCGCCCCCTGACCCCATAGAGGTCATCCGCTCGTCCAATCAGTTTTCAGCCTTTACTCCATCCATCCTCTTCTACGATCGGGTCAAGTTTCTCATCGAGCCAAACAGCATCCATCGCAGTCCACCCCAGATCTTGTTTAGTAATGACAGGTAAGAACTGGTAACAAATGCAAAGAGAGTCGGTCGACCCAAGAGTAGAAAAGTCTTTCCCTTTAATATATCTTGAGAAGGGATGGAATAACTTTGCTTGTGATTTGGATACAGGAGTTGATAGCTTAAAGATATAACTCTGGTCCAAAATTAACCAGTTTATTTTCTGATTTGTTTACACCATAAGTGGAATTAATTTCAAATGACTGATTCATAAATTCATGTATTTGAGATTTATGTTTGAGTGCATGTTACAAATCTAAAATTCTCATCTGAGGTTTATGTTAGACTTAAACAATTTTGAGTCAAAACTAGCAGAAACATACATTCTAAGTCTTACAAAGTGATATTATAGCTTGTAGTTTACTAATGATATTTATCTATCTCGATGGTTTTCAATGGAAAATGTATTATTTCTTCGCAAAAGCGCTTTTATTGTAATGTTAGTAATATATATATATATTGATGTATTGTTTGCTTTATGCAGTGTGGTCTCTGTGGTGAGAGGTAAAGTCCTGTCACACAAAGGGTCACCAGTCGTAGGGGTCAGAGTTCAAGTGGACAACCGACCTTTCATGGGATTCACCTATACCCGAGAAGATGGAATGTAAGTGTGTCTCTGAGATCATTCATTGTATAATGTCTTTTCTTAGTTTATGCATTTGCAAGAATGATTTATAAATTTTGAATTGTATCATAGAGCTTGGAAATGTGACATCGAAGATTTACTTTTCTCTTTTCAGGAGAGAATTTTTGTCTGTGATAGGAGCTAATTGAACAGAATATATATACTAAACCAGAATAATGCTGAGAGTTGGATAATATAGTTACATAATCTCTTTCTAGTTAATTCATGAGACAATTTTACTAGTTTTCTGTCATTCTGCATTCTGCATTCAGCATTCAGCATTTGCTTTGTAAACCTTACGATTAACTACGGTGGAATGTGTAACAATGCATCATGATGGAGTGATGATTATTATTACTATTATTATTTCAATTGTCTTCTTTTTATAATCCTAGGTTTGACATGATGGTGGTAGGAGGTGGCTCCATCTCACTCTCCTTCGCCCGTCATCCCTTCATCACCGCCCACATTCCTACCTACATCCCATACAACGACATCGTTCTCATGGAGAACATCAACATGGAACTCCTCCCGGGTCGTCGCAGCGTGTCCTACTCCGTCCCTGAGACGATCCACTGCGTGGGCAGTGCTTACATCAAGCCTGAGTTCTCTCTCCTACCCCAGGCAGTGATGGATAGTTGTGGCTCACAGAGCATCCAGGGCGCAGTACTAGACCAAAGGGTAGGTAGCAGATGATGTTTGGAGAGTCATTGAATCCTTCAGTGTTGAGTTGTGCCATTTGTCTAGGGCCTGGCAGCTTTGGAGGAGGTTGCTGAGAATCAAGAAATAAAGTTAAATGTGTTGATAGCTTTTTATTTGTTATTTACATATTAAAGTAGTATATAGTGAAGATCATAGAACAACAATTTCAAGAGTTATGAGAAGTGATCAGAAAAGGTCTAGTTGATAGCCTGTCTAGATCAATCTACTTCTTGGTCTGTGAGAATTCAAAGACCCAAGACCAAATTGTTTGTCCATCACCATATTTAGTTTAACTAGCATCTCAACAATTCCTCATTCCTGTTCATAGAACTATGCTTATTCCAAGATATATTTTTAGTAACGATAAAAGAAATGGTTACTGATCATCTTGTCTTTTGATGACCTGCAGGCTATGCATGAGCAAATAGAAATCCCAGGCACCAGAGCTACCCTGGACTACTACAGCCAGCAAGCAGCGGTCAACAGCCTCCCGTCCACCTTCAGCGCCCGACTGACCGGTCACTTCATCCCACGTAACCTCAAGCTTGTCCATGCAGTGGTCTCTCTGGCTGGACGAAGGTTCCACAATGTCCTGGAGCCAGAGCCACTCCTGAACTACACCTTTAGCTGGGACAAACTCAATGCCTATGGGCAGCCTGTGTATGGGGATGAGGAAGCAGTGGGTAAGGATTCTATAGTTCTTTTGTGCCTATGGGCAGACCATATGCATCATGAATCTTTTGTTTAAAAGGGGAAGTTGATGTTCATTTGGTAAAGAAGTTTATCTTTGAATATTGATTTGACCAGGAAACAAAAATTAAGAGAAGGGGCCTTTATCAATATTCTTAAATTGATATCTGTGTGAACAAATTTCTCATTTAAAAAATATTATTATGGGGAGGCGTGAAAGCCTTGACAAATTCTGTGAGCTTTAAGGAAATGCTGTAGTTCTTGACATTGCATTTAATGCATTATGATTATTGGTGAATCATCAAGATTATTCTCAAGCAAATTACTATATTCAAGAATGGATACATGCACCTAGTTCACCATCGGTCATTTACCCCTGTGCCTTGATCTTTGTTGTCATTTCAGTTGCCATTGGTTATGAGTACCACACCTGCACAGAGATTATTTGGTCCCGACAGTCTACCTCCCTGCCTGGATATGACTGGAGCACAACATCACTGGCCGGTTGGAATCTACCCATGCATCATACATACAATCCCCAGAAAGGTAGGTAGACTCTCAAAGATATGAAGGAGTCTTGAGAATCAGTAAGATCATACCAATCGTCCCATCTTAAATGTTTGTGATGCTGTGCAAAAAGAGAGGTTTTCTCAACACCAATATAGTTTTGGATCTATTACCACTTTGAAGATTCATGATGTTTTTCCTTAATCCCTAATTAGATTATCCATAAACTTTCATTATTCTGTTTCTCACAAGTTGATTCTGTTGGAATGATTTGAGAAGCTTCTGAGATATGTCATAGTTCATTTTCATTCTATTTCAAATAAAAAATAAAGCACTTTCAAAGGACAATCATTGCAGTGCTCACTGAAGAACTTCATGATGTCATTGCTAGTGTTTTTTTATACCTTCTGGGCATGAGATCTTATATCTAATAGGATGGCACCAGTTTTTTTTAGTTTACACAATCTGTCTCTGATATGTATGCATCAAGTCTCTATTCATAATATAAACATTTTCCCGCTCTCTCTTCCTCATCCAGCCATTCTTCAGCTTGGTGACGGTTGCCAGGTGAAGTACTCCCAGCATCGTCCCATCATCCAGACCATCGTTGGTAACGGTCGCCCTCGTAATGCAGACTGTAACCAGTGCGAGGGCAAGGCTAAGGGTGCCCGGATACTGGCCCCAATGGCTGTGGCTAGCAGCCCCGATGGCGGCTACTATGTCGGAGATGGAGATTTCATTAGACGAGTCGGACCGGAAGGAAACATCACTAATGTCCTTCATCTTGGGTTAGTATTAATACATGAAGTTGATATGGTACTTCCTGTCAGCTTTTTATTGTAGCGTGTTTGTGTCTAATATTCGAAAGATATTTTTCAGTGTCTCATCACTATTCAATCAAAAGAAACAAACTAAAAGCAAGCAAAGATCATGTAAAATAATTGGAATGTATTTGCTGTACACAAATTCCCTTGTAATGTAAAAACAATAACTTTAATTATCTCCCCTGTAAGTCCCGTAGTTCCGAGAGCTCAATTCTTTTATATCATGCACTGTACCTAAAATGTATCTTTAAAAATATTGTAAAAAGTACATATGTTGTCTATTTTTCAACCTTTGTGGATTAACATGAACAGCATACAAAACATTTACACCTTTCTTCAATTGATTTTGACAGGTACATGCCAACGTACAAGTACTACTTAGCAGTGAGTCCTCTGGATGGCAAGGTCTACCTCTCAGACTCTCAGATGAGACAAGTCTTGAGGCTCAGAGACCACAAAGATGTCCCAGACATCAACAACAATGTGGTAGTGGTTGCTGGTACGGGTGAGGCGTGTCCACCCGTTGATGGTAGGGAGTGTGGCAACAATGGAGATGCAACGCAGGCCAGGCTGATTGCACCAAAAGGTAGGTGTTGAAATTGACCATCTAACACGTTACGGAGATCATGGATAGTGTTAAGAATGCTTCTAAACTTTGCTGCAATTTCTTTATTACTCTGCTTTCAAAGACATTTTTTTTTAATTGTCCATATTGTCCAAATATTTGAAAGATCTGTAAGTAATCAACTGCGAATAGTCATTTTGAAACTCCAAGACTGTTGGTACATTTAAATATGTCTTTGCTTCGGATTATGGATAGTTCTTTCCTGCAAATTTACTTAGCACATTGTGCATGGCTTTACTGCAAATGTAGATTTTTTTGTGGTGTGATATATTGTGAACATTCATGTAGTTGTCAGCATCAAATTGCTTTATTGACAAAATGAATTTCAGTGATAATAATCTCTCTCCTTTTCAACTTTTCTCTCTCAGGCATAGCAGTTGGCAAGGACGGCACGGTGTACTTTGTGGATGGTACCGTCATTCGTAAGATCACCACCGATGGTATCATACATGCCTTCCTTGGTACCCCTGGTATCCAGGGACCTCTCAGACTACCACAGTGCAGGGGTACCATGGCTTTCAGTCAGGTAAGTACAGAGGTTATGGACATGCTTACAGGAAGGGCATCATTAGAAAGGGTAATAAAGTATCTTAGATGACCATAAATTCTTGTAATATATATATATATATATATATCTCAGATCTTCATACATTATCATTTTGGAAAGTCAGCCAAAAAAAAAAAAAGGGGGGCTGTCGTAAAAGTCTATTTGATTTTGGCATAATCCTGTGAAAGTCTAGAAATTGTTGAAAAGATTTGAAGCCTATTGACAATTCAGTAATCTCTATTTTTGTAAATAACAAGTATAAATTATTAGTATTTCTCATTCTACCTCAGGTCAAACTTCAGTTTCCAACTGAGCTAGCTGTCAACCCTCTGGATGACTCTGTCTACGTTGCTGATGATGACATCATCATTCGTCTGGGCCAGGATAAGAGGGCATCGGTCCTTGCAGGAGTTCCTTACAACTGTCCCTTGGCATACTCCATTGACCTGGGTGAGTCGGACGGCAGTGCACCAGATGATAACATCAGCACCTATGAATACCTGAGGCCTAGACCTGCCAATGAGGTCGCTCTCATCATGCCCAGCTCAATGGCATTCTCCAGGAAGGGGGACCTCTACGTTGCAGAAGCCAACCATAGGGCGATCAACCGCATCAGCAAGATATCAACCGATGGATTTATCTCCAGGTATGCAGGGCAGGAGACAACTTGTGATTGTCTGCTGGAGGATTGTGATTGTTTTGCTGGTGATAAGTTCTATGCCATGGATGCCAGGCTACACGGACCCATCGCCCTCACAGTCATGCCCAACGACGAGTTGATTGTTGCGGATCAAGGAAATTTGCGTTTGCGAAAGATCGCGCCAAGGACTCCGAAGCATCGCCTGGGTCGCTACCATGCCTATCAGATCGCGTCGCCTGATCGCGAGGAAGTTTACTTCTTTGACATGTATGGCGTTCATACCATCACCAAGAACTTGATTTCGGATCAGGTGGTATATAACATCAGCCATTCAGGCATCCTTCTAGACTCTGTGACAGATTCTGCAGGTGTCGTCCTAGGGGTTCATCGAAGGCTAGATGGCCAACCTTCTAATATCATCATCTCTGGGATGGGCACTCTCTTACAGACATCTATAGATTCTTTGGGGAGACTGAGTACTGTCCAAGATACCCTGAGGAATGTCATCCATCAATTTGGTTACCATGGAGACACAGATTTGTTGACATTGAGATGGGAGGGTCAGAGCTTGAAAAGGATGTATGAGTAAGTTATGCTTCTACATTGTTCTCAATCTTTAGTCTGTGTAGATGATGCATTTTATTAATTCTCAATTAAATTCAGATGACTCTTTCACAAAGAAAATATTTTCTTAAATTCAGTGTAATGAAATTGCCTGAAATATCATGATGATAAGTTCATTGTACATCAATGATTTGAAATATTGGAAACAGAAAACAATGGTATTAGTACAATTTATGTGTGAAATGTAGAATTCAACTTTTAGCAATCTGCACTGATTGATATCCCTGCAATAGTTGGTGCATTTCCAGGTATAGATTGTTCCCCCAAATTGTCGAGCCTTAGAAAATATCTGTATAGGCCTCTCTCTATCTTATAGTTACAATGTTTACAATAGAAAAGAAGCTTTATAAATATTATTGTAATGATAAAATCCCATCATGTCATTTCCAGGTATGAGGAGAATGGTCAGCTGTCCTCTGTGAGATACCTCAATGGTCAGATGGTCACTTTGGAATCAGCGGTCAACTCATCGGCATCATCGGTCATCATCAACCAGCCTTGGCAGACAAGCCTTGCCTCTGATGTCATCCATCTGGCTGGATACATCTCCAGCAATTTCTCTCAAGGTATGGATGGGACTTCATCATTAACAATTTTTTTTAATGAAGCAGTAAAATTGGTGCAGTCTTAGTGGCCACCTCTTCATGAAGGTTGTTTGTCCTAGGTAATCTTTTATGATCTCCCTCTAGAAGTAAATAAGTAATGTAGAACCTGTCTAGGAAGTTGTCTACTTGTCTGCTTGGCTCCAGTGGCAATTTTTAAAATCTTTTTCCTGTAGATACCCTTTCATAGACAGGTTTGACTGCTTTCATCATCCTCCATGCTAATTGTAACGGGATGACTGAGCAGTACAAAAAGATATCTCCTAGTTGTGGTGCATTTGGGAGGAAAGTAACTACAAAGGCTTGGATCGTAGATACATACATGCACTAAGACATCTCCATCTGTGATAGAATGAAAGACTTAATGAAATCAACACCTTGTTTTCCTGCAACTTAATGTGACTCTTATTCTGTCACTTACACAGCTGACCTTGTTGATTCTGTGGTCATCGACCATGACAAATCGACATCGATCACCTTCCCCAACGGACTGATCATGGGTATGGAGTCCCAGCCTCATCCCTTGCTTGAGATGGAAGTAGAGGGCTCGCTCTCGAAGCGTAAGATCAAGCTTCCTGAGACGAGCCCCCACCGCTTGGATTGGAACTTCTACGTTAGAAAGGGAGGCCGTAACAGGGATAGAGTACTGGTTGTTGGACGCAAACTCAAGGTAATTAGTGTGGCAGTTTGTAAGAGTCATGGTGGGATTTCTGTATGTTGACCACTAAATGTGAGCCATTAGTTGTTGTCGGTCTTGTCTCAATTTTTCTTACACTAAGGGTTAGATGACGAAATTCGCTTCTATAAACAAGATGACAAGATTCCTTTATAATTCTTCTTTTTCTTTCTTCTTTTCTTTTTATTACCAGAGCTATTTTCAATTGTATTGTCTTGGGATAATCACTTTCTCAAGGCTCATTCCACAAAGCAACTGTTTTTATGCCTCCGCCACCGAAGGTGGTGCCGGAGGCATCATGTTTTCGGGTTGTCCGTCCGTACGTCCGTACGTCCGTACGTCCGTCCGTACGTCCGTCCGTCCGTACGTCCGTCCGTCCGTCCCGTTTGACCGTTATCACAATATCTCAAGAACCATTTAAGATTTAAACTTAAGACTCGGGAATAGTATTTATCACCATAGGAAGACGATCTGATTAGATTTTGGAGTACGTAGGTCAAAGGTCACAGGTCACAGAGGTCAACTTATGAAATTCCTTGTATTGAGTTTGTTAGCGCGATATCTCAAGAACCATTTGAGATTTAAACTTCAAACTTAAGGATAGTATGTATCACCATAGGAAGACGATCTGATTAGATTTTGGAGCATGTATGTCAAAGGTCAAGGGTCACAGAGGTCAACTTATGAAATTCCATACATTGAGATTGTTATCATGATATCTCAAGAACCACTGGAGATTTAAACTTCAAACTTAGTGATAGTGTGTATCACTATAGGAAAACAATCTGATTAGATTTTGGAGCACGTATGTCAAAGGTCAAGGGTCACAGAGGTCAACTTATGAAATTCCATACGTTGAGATTTTTATCATGATATCTCAAGAACCACTGGAGATTTAAACTTCAAACTTAGTGATAGTGTGTATCACCATAGGAAGACGATCTGATTAGATTTTGGAGCACATAGGTCAAAGGTCAAAGGCCACAGCGCACATTATGAATGCAAAAACAGCTTGTGATCGCGTTATCTCAAGAACCGATTGATGGATTCATGCCAAAATTAGGTCATGTTTGTTACTTGCAGAGCCAATGAACTGAGTAGATTCTTGGTTCATAAGGTCAAAGGTCAAAGGTCATGGGCCCATTATGTATGCAAAAATAGCTTGTGAACGCATTCTCATTAGAACTGACAGATGGATTACTATTTAACTCAGAACATCTTGCAGAGCCAATGAACTGAGTAGATTTTATGGTCATGAGGTCAAAGATCAAAGGGTCATATATGTATATGAGAAATTGCTTGTAATCACAATATTCTGAGAACCTGTCAATGGATTACCATTGAACGTGAATTCAATTTTTTTTTTCTGTTTTGGTTTGTAAAATTGCTCTTTAACGGAGGCATCATTTTCGACTGCGCGCAGTCGAATTCCATCTAGTTTAATTGTGATATATTTCTGCTGATTAACTAGGCTAGGACTTCATGATGTACACAAATTTCCATTTTACACAAGCAAATCAGGGCCTCGTTTTATAAAACCTGTTATCAATAACAAGTTAGAATAACTGTTACAAGCTACTGAAATCGTAGCTTTTGTTATTCATAACAACTTTTATGAAACGGCCCAGTACAGCATTAATATATGTACTGTGTGAGGAAATGATAGGACTAACAAGTCAAAAATTGTCTTCGATAGAATGTAACTTCATTGAAGTTCTAATTATCAAATGTGTCTTTTAATACAGATCAATGGTGAAAACATCCTCTCCATGGAGTACAACCGTCTCCTCCGTAAGGACACCGTGCTTGACCATGATAACTCTCAGCTCCTAGAGATATCCTACAACAGTGCCAAGCTTCCCATGGAATGGAAACCTGCTTATGGATTCGTCCTTACCAACGCCTCTTATGACTCCCAGGTATATAACCACTTTGAAAATCGAAATGTAAAAATGCCTTTCAAAAATATAGCTTGGTGGTTTCTTGTATCAATTGTTAAAAGACCTTTGGGTTTCAGTTATTTAGTTAATCTTTTTCTTTCCCGGCATCCATGTGACTCTTTTCCAAATGTACTCTTGTCTTGTATTCCATAATTTTCTTTGTTTTTACCGAATAAATAATAATAATAATGATATGTTTTTATTGGCGCAGCTTAGTGAATTATTCTTATTGTTAAGTGGAGCTAATTGCAAGTGCTTTATAACCTCAAGGAAAAGAGGATAAACAGATTTTTTTGTAGATTGGATATGATTGGTTTATATTAGACAGGATGCACTTCATTGTATGAGTGTTTGTACCCAAAACTTTGTCAATAATTAAAAAATAGTATGTAGTTTTGAAATAGAAACAGCTGTATCAGTATGACACTGCAACTGTATCCTACAGATGCCAGTAATCTTCCTTTTCACACCAATATCTGAATTCCATTCATGACCTATTTTATTCTTGAATTTTGATTACAGGGGAGACTCACAAGGTGGCAGAGGGACCTTATCTCAGAGTCGTACGGTTACGATACCTTAGGCCGCCTCAAGAGAATCCATCGTGGGAATAACGGTACATGGCGCTTCACCTACAACACAGGCATGCTGGTAAGAATCAGACCGATTGTTTTTTAATTTGTCAATCTTAAGTAATTAGTCAATCTGAATCTGAATGGCTTTGGAAGTGAAAACCTAAGCTTGTTCTGAGTAATGTACGCTGATGGTAATACAATGTTTGATTAGTAAATTACAATTTTATCATTTTTTCAATTTTATAAAGTATACATCATACGATGATGATGACATTCAGCAGTAGAGGGAAATTAAGGCTTGGGTGGTGATTAATTTTGCATTTGATATGCACATTATTTGTGCCTAGTTCATCTACATATCATTTCTTTTCCAGTTCGATTTTTAAGGTCTTGATATGGTTAATATATGAAATATACTTCAGGAATATTTTAGAAATGAATGTTTTTGAGGTCCTATTGTAATAAATCTGTACATCATTGAGGTATTAAAACAAGAAATTCTTTTGTCTCACTTACCTTACAGCCCTCTGAAGTAGCTTTACCAAACAGACAACATTATGCAATAACATATGATGGAGCTGGTAACGTAGCAAGGGTTACCATGCCAACAGGAAAGCATCACTACATCAATTCAATACCGTCAGTAGGTTATCAAAGGATCCTCTACTCTGATGGAAGTAGGCCGTGGTTGATTCTTGACCAGACCGAGGAAGGCTTGCCTCTTCGGCGCTACAGTCCAGGGACAAGTCGGAGAATGGCATACGTCTACGACAACAAGGGTCGCATATCTGAAGTGTACCATGACCAGACCAGCGTGAAGTATAAGTACAACAGAGAGGAGTCCCAAGTCAAGCTGCTGGAGCTTCAGGTGGGTGACTTCCAGAATGCTGAACGACTGCGTTACGATGGTCCCATGGTCAAGCAGAAGATGATCCGTACCAGTGGCTTCGGGGGCTTCATGAATGGAAGGTTTGAGTATATCTACGATCGCAACATGCGCCTCCTGAATGTATTCGCAGAGTTCAACACAACGGTTCTTCCAGAGCACAACCGAGCTTATGATCCTGTCTACGGACGCCTGACGCAGCTTGGAGCTTTTACGCTGTCTTATCCTCACATCACCATCCAGAATTATACTGATCAGAATTTCGAGATGACCAAGAAGTTTGGAACATACATTCTTCTTCAGGAAGTTCAGTACAAAGTCAAAGCTGTAACTGTTGGAAGACTTGAGCTTTTATTTGATATCTCTAGTCGTATCATTTGGAACCAACTTCAAGTTGGAGATTCTTCACACACAACTGACTACGCTTATGATGCGAATGGACAGCTCATGGAGGTGAAGACAGATTCCCAGATCGCATGGCAGTACACCTACGACAGCAATGGTAACCTTGCCTCGTTCACCCACAGGCAGAACACAACACAGCTCTACTATGATGACTTTGACCGTATCACACGCATTGGTCAGATAGAGTATCTCCATGATGAAGATGGCTTCCTTCTGCAGCGTGGCGGTGAACGCTTTACCTATGACTCCAGAGGTCAGCTTGTTCATGCCTTCCAGCTCAACGTATATGAGGTTCGTTACAAGTATGATGGAGTAGGGAGGAGAATCTGGCGAAAGGACCACACTGGGCGACAGATTCAGTACTTCTATGCCGACATTTACCACCCTCACAGAATCACCCATGTCTACGACCACAGCCGCCAAGAAATCTGGTCCTACGAGTATGACCTTCAGGGTTACCTGTTTGCAGTGAAGCAGAATCAGCGCCAGCTCTACGTCTGCGTTGATCAGGTCGGCTCACCCATCGCTGTCTTTGATGAAAACCGAACCCCTCGCAAGATAGTGGAGTATGATCCTCGAGGAAACATTCTGCACGACTCCTCACCGGCATTCATGCTCCATGTCGGCTTCCGTGGCGGTCTCTACGATGCTCACACCAAACTTGTCCAATTCAATGGCCGTGACTATGACTCGCTGAGTGGGCAGTGGACGTCTGCGGATGAGAGCTTCTATGAGAACATCGCCAGACCACAGAAGACGATGTACTTCAACTTGTACACCTTCCATGGAAACAACCCTATCAACCCCAAGCTAAACCCCAATTATCTCATGAGTAAGTATACCACAATTACATAACTTGTTATATATATCTCAGTTATGTCAAAAACATTGTTAGACATACAAGTTTTGGATAATACCTTACAACCAGTTTTTTCAAAACTCTTAAAATTATTTTGTTTAGCTTGAAACTGTAGAAAGTACTACATTTATGATATTGCTTCCAAGCATATGGATGGTACTTACATGACCCTCTAAGAAGATTCATAATCGCCTCAAGGTTCATCTGAGGGGTAAATAATTATTACGGGGGTAGTTGAGCCAGCAAAATTTATTCCTTGACTTTACTATTAAAACAAAAAGCTACCCAATGATCAGATTATGATGTGATGTGCCCAAGAATTCTCTCAACAAATGTCAATAAGCTGCATTTTATATCTCCTCTCTCCTCTCTCTCTCTCTCTCTCCAGGTATGGAAGACTGGCTTCCTGTGCTAGGATACGACATGACAAGCCTTATACCTGAGGTCAATCGATATGGCAACCCTCTACCCTCCGTGAGTCTGGGACGATACAGAGATCTCGAACAGTCTGCCACTCAGGACTATGTCAATTGGGCTAAGGTAGGAAATTAGTTTGAAATTCTCTTTTTTGCTCTTGTTAGCCATAGTGTTGATAACAGAAACGATCTAATGAATACCGGTAGGTAGTTTTAGGCTATGTCAAAAACTAACTCTCAAGATATTTGCAGCATTTTTATGCCTCCGTTACGAAGTAGCCGGAGGCATTATGTTTTCGGGTTGTCCGTCCGTCCGTCCGTCCGTACGTCCGTACGTCCGTACGTCCGTCCGTCCGTCCGTACGTCCCGTTCTCGTGATCGCGTTATCTGAAGAACCGATTGATGGATTCCTGCCAAACTTTGGTCATGTATGTTACTTGCAGAGCCGATGAACTGATTAGATTTTGGGGTCACGAGGTCAAAGGTCAAAGGTCACAGGGCTCATTATGTATGCAAAAACAGCTCGTGATCGCGTTATCTGAAGAACCGATTGATGGATTCCTGCCAAACTTTGGTCTTGTATGTATCTTGCAGAGCCGATGAACTGATTAGATTTTGGGGTCACAAGGTCAAAGGTCACAGGTCACAGGGCTCATTAGGTATGCAAAAATAGCTCGTGATCGCATTATCTCAAGAACCGATCGATGGATTCCTGCCAAACTTTGGTCATGTATGTATCTTGCAGAGCCGATGAACTGAATAGATTTTGGGGTCACGAGGTCAAAGGTCAAAGGTCACAGGGCTCATTATGTATGCAAAAATAGCTTGTGATCGCATTCTCATTAGAACAGATTGATGGATTCCTGCCAAATTTCGATCATGTATGTATCTTGCAGAGCCAATGAACTGAGTAGATTCATGGGTCATGAGGTCAAAGGTCATGGGCTCATTATGTATCCAAAAATAACTTGTGAACGCATTCTCATTAGAACTGACAGATGGATTACTATTTAACTCAGGACATCTTGCAGAGCCAATGAACTGAGTAGATTTTAGGGTCATCAGGTCAAAGATCAAAGGGTCATATATGTATATGAGAAATTGCTTGTAATCACGATATTCTGAGAACCTCTTAATGGATTACAATTGAACTTGAATTTGAAAAATTTCTTCTGTTTTGGTTTGTAAAATTGCTCTATGACGGAGGCATCATTTTCGACTGCGCGCAGTCGAAGTTCCATCTAGTTAATGTATATGAAAAACAAATATGCGGATGAAGGGATTATACCTTTATATGTTAAGTCAAGGCTTAACCACAAACAAACTTTGCCTGGTGTGGTATTTTTGTATATCCGTTTATCGCTGATCTTTTTTAAACCTTTGTACTTCTGACAGGTTTTGTTGGTATGGGCAGTCTTTCATCTCATGCATTGGGACAAGTATTTTCTGTAATTTTGTTGTACTTAATAGTAAAATGCTGGACAGTCTGTCTTATGATTTTTTTCCTTTTTTTTTCCAGGTAAAATGGGGATATGAGCAGCAGGTGATGGCGGCCAGTTACTCTTCCAATACCAACTTCCATGCAATCCCTAATAGACACACTGTCTCAGAGACTTCACCTACCAGTGACCTAGGGATGTCACCGGTCAGAGAGTCATCGGTCCATTATGCCACACTACCAACGCTTATAGACAAAGGGGTGATCCTAGCTATTTCTGGGGAGAGAGTCATCTGCCAGAAGGCTCCTGATGTAGAGAGCGATGCACTGAACATTGCCACTGTGGTAAATAATTCCCTGGTGCTGGATAGATGGCATTACTCTGACGGGCAGCGCGAGGTCAGGTTCTTTGTCAAATCAGACTTGACAAGGTACGTGAGCGATTTGAGGAGCCTAGGATACAACTCCAATATAACAGACACTTCAGATGTTGTGAACCTTCATGTAGGCACTATACACATTGCCGCGCAGATGTACGAGGTGCCTTACGAGTTCGTGGTGATCTCTCTGTCAAACAATTACACCACATGGAAGATCTTCTACGGAGTGACCATGCGTCAGGCGGCAGAGGTGGTATTGGAGTCGGCGCGAGAGGTAGCCATGCACCAGGCCTGGCTCAATGAACGGCGAGTCCTGGCTAGTGGTCTTAGAGGAACTTATTTCTGGACAAGCGAAGAGAGGATATCATTGCTTCAGAACAATATGGTACCAGGGTATGAGGGCCAGTACACCCTGGATCCCATGTTATATCCAGAAATCGCATTTGATGGAAATAATATCAAAATTGTTAGATCACCTTCGGAAACAAGAAGGTGATCGAAGGAAGAGACTGAGGTTCTTCCTAGGACTTCTTAGTTTTATTTCTACCGTCTGTATATTTATTTCCAAACGATTTACAGGATGTAGATATCAGAAGTTATTTGAAACTCCAATTCCTTTTTTGCCTTGTGTGTGTTCATTTTGTTGTCCAATAATAAGAATTAATAACTGTATCAACACTTGTTTAGGGAAACTTCACAAGTGGCAACCCCTGTGATGCATTAGCTACTTGAATTATTGGCCAGCTTGATTCTGTATTCAAAAGGAGCATACCAAATTACTTGTGGGAAGGGCTTATTAATATATATATTCAGACTTATGAAAGATACTGGTTTTAGTTCCCATATCACATCATGTCTTAAGGAGATCTTCAGGTGTTAGGAGATTGGGAAATCTAAATACAACAATAATTTAGAGATACTTGGTGTTTTTTAAATCTGGTGCTTTTGTGCATAATACATTACTTGGCCCTGAAAGAATATACCACTATAATCTTCCTTCTACGTAAGGGAGAAAAAAGATGATATGTGATGTCTTTCATAATGGACAAGAGACGTATGTCCATGGCGATACTACGAATGTGGCACTTATTGATATTATAATCTGATAATTTATTTTTTAATGTGTTTTTAAGCTGTATATTTTTTATTGATAGGTGAACGATATTGCCAAGACTTATATAAATAGATTAGGAAAGATAGATATTGAATGAATAGCTAGCATATTCGCCGAATTAAAGAATGCTACAATTACTGTTAAATGATATTACTCCAAAAATGCTGTACAGATGGGAAAGCATATCTTTAAAGCATTCATTGTGGGAGGCATGTATAAAATGATAGTTCTCAATTGATGTCACCTTGAAGATGTATAAATGAACTGAGAGTTTAGAGGAAGAGATGAAAAAAAATTGAGTTTATCATTTGTGTCTTGCTGGATGAATTCCATTTGAACACATCAAGACAGTATGCAAATATATTGAAATGCCATCACACAAGAGCTTAACAGGTACTTGGTGCTATAGACAAGGTCGTACAATGAAGTCTCAAGACAAATGAGTAATGAAACAACCGTTTAGATCAAGTACATGTAATTTGTGAGATCATGTAATGGATCAAGTTTATTGTTAACCCTGCGCATCCTGCGTTGGATCAAATTTATTGTGAAGTCATGTCAGAAATCATCAGTCAAATCAATATATTGTGAAACTGTGTATTATGTACAACCAAGTACACACCGAGTAAAGTGTGAAATCATGTCTCAGATCAAATTCATTTTGAAAAGCACAGTCAGATCAAGTACATTTTAGGCATCAAGAGCATTGTAAATTATCTGATTCTTTATTTTGTTGAATCATTTATCAGCTAGAGTATTGATGAAATATATTGATGAGATCCAGTATGTTTGTGATATAACTGAAGTGATCAATTACATCATGGTAGATCAAATTAAGTAACTGCACTGTGAAGTCATGAATTTGATTTTTGTGGACCATCAATCGGAAGTAGGATTCATTGAATGACTTTTTGACAACAAGCACTAGGTGTTCGGACAATGAAGTTGTCAAAGGTCTTTTTGTATGTGAACATGCATATATTCACCTTTTTATGTATTCCTATCTTTAATGTTTTACATGATGTTTTATTGACTTGATCCAGTTGGTAGTAATGTTTGTTTCATATTGAAAGGTTTTAATAGCGACAAGAAGAGACGTGCCTATTTTGTAGAAGATTTTGAAGACATCAGACAAGATAAGCTTGAAGTCTTCACGTATTGATTATGTATTTGTAGATAATTGAAGAGCCTTCCTTGCCACGATGATATGTGTTTCGATCACGTTTTTGTGTATTTGTATTTTCTCTTTTGACAATCAAGTGTGCTAATTAGTGTTTATTTTAGAGAAAAACACTGAATAATTTAGAGGAAGACCAGTCCCAACTTCATTTAGAAGTTAGGACTTAATTAGGACCATAGCTTTATATCATTGTTAAGAGAAATGCATCATGAAATAAATTGTCAACTTGTTTTGAAGAAAGGACATCTTCAAAACACTAGCTTTGTTGATGTTAACTTTTCAATCAATAGTTGGGTCTATGCTTCATGAGTTATGACTATTTTATAGCAAGTTTTTATAAATGAAAAGTGATCTGAATTGAGACATCTGGTGTCCAGTCTTTAGGCAGTATATGCTTACTGCAAAAGGAAATCAAGACTTCAGTGAAGTTTTGGGATATTCTTGTCTCTTACGTTGATTAAAACCTAGATTTAAGATTATATTTATGTTAATTGCAATCATGTAAATAAAGTCATGATCAACTCGTGTATATGCAATAATTGTCTTAAGATCAAGTGTGCCAAATTTTGTTTTTCTCGTACTGCGTCATGCATTAGCTGTACTATGAATTATGCACATGTAATGTATGTACAAATATTATTGATCAAATGTATTCTAAAAGGGAAATGAATTTTTGCCTTAAAATTCACTCTGAACAAGTTTTTTCTGTGAAATCATATTATCTGTTCCGTGTTATTCAGATTAAGCGTCACAAAACCAAACTCACATCCTTTGATTCTTTTAAACAATACAAAGCTTTTTATGTATCAACAACAAAAATTGGAAGAGGGATTTTTTTCTTCTTGATAACAGGGCTACAAATTTTGTTGATAATTCTGAAAAGGAAGGGACATACGGTGAGTGGTTATGTTTTCACACCATACTCACTTGTCAAGTTGAGGCAGTTAGAAATTGGAGCATGATGAAATTCTACTTAAATTTGATTATATATATATGTATTTATAATTTATGGTGGATGGCATTTTCAGTAATGATCTAGGTGAGATGAATTCCTTTTCTAAAATCCAATTTGAAATGTCCTCCATTCCTGCATCACGTTTTTTGAGTCAGGAACTCAATAAGTGTATGAACCGTTTGACATTTCAGATATCTTAATAAATCATTACATGGTTTTTGCTCATGTATCTTTAAAGCTTTAAATGTGGTTTGTGAAAAAGGGGAAAATATTATGATATGAAAATAACATTATGTATATTTACTACGTAATTTTGTCATCGATTTCCATCCACTTTTGTCTCTGTAATGTCTCACTTAAGTGCATGTAGATGATTATAGATCAGTGTGTAATTGATGAGAACATGTGTTTCTTGTTGAAAAGAAAATATGTTATCCATTATGATGCTTTTGACGATGTGTATAAACCAACTGCTATGATAAATATATTTGTACAAAAAATAGTACCAAATACTTTGTATAACTATATTAAATGTTTTATAATCAATGACGTTGGTATGATTATAGTTTTATCTTTGCAAACTGAAAGTCTGTAATGCTATGTTCGGAATATGAAGAGAAAGAGAGAACTTAAAGAGAGAGAAACCTAAAGACAGACAGAGAAAGAAAGAGAAACCTAAAGAGTTATAGAGAAAGAATGAGAGAAACCTAAAGAGGGAGAGAGAAAGAGAAAAACCAAAAGTGAGGTGGCTTGAGAAAGAAGGCAAGAGACTGAGTTCGAGGAAGGAGAGATACATTGATGAAGGAAGAATATACATGTATTTGAAGAAATCCAGAGAGGGGGAAAGAGGAGAGAACATGCAAAATATAAGCAGTAAAAATGGAAAAGGGGATAATTGGAAGACGGAAGAGTAATGCATTGCTATAATGTGAAGATGGTCATTTACATTTCTCATTGTGTACAGTTTGAGAAAGCAAAGAAAGCAATATAGAAATGTCTTATTATTTAGGAGAGATATATTTCACTTGCTTATTGTGATGTCCATAACAGTATGAATATGTTTTAGGTCATAGCCGCTAGAACAGACTATAACTAGAGATTGTACTGTACTGAAAGGTTTGAACAAGTTGGCATTTAATCATTTTAGACACGGCATTAGAAACTGCATAACAAAATGATATCATTATAAAACATTGTTTGTTTGATACTACATACGGCTATCATGTGAATACAAAAATGAAAAATAATAATTTTAGACGAATAATTTATATATTTATACATGAGTTTCTAATCAATTAAAACAATTAATCGCACCAATATTGCGGCTATTCGCAAATAAAAATGACATTCTACATTGTTATAAGACATACAATTTATGATAATCTTGGCTAGTAACCTTACAAATCCACATATCAAGTAGAAAATCAGTAGGTCTTATATGGAATGTATACATGGATACGGCATCCAACGAACAAGGATGATTTTGCACAATCTTTTGATATTTTGAATTTCAAGCTCAGCTTTTAATGTATCTACATGTTGAGTAATTTAACAAATACTGGTACCTTACACATCTATAACTATGGAGCTTGACTGCCAAACATGTGATTGATTTAATTCTTATTATTTCATTTTCACAGTCACATTAGGCACGTTACATTATATCAAAACTCATGTTGGCTCCAAAGATGTTAATATGAAATGCTTGCCCAAATGGCTGATGTTTTTAAACTGCATTTTGCCAAAATGCAGCTTACCAAAATGAGAATAACAAAATGAAGTTATCAATAATTGATTACTTGGCACTCTTAGGGTAAACTGGTACAATTACCAGTATGATCTTCCCATCACATTTTTTAAAACACAGTTGCAAAAACTTCCAAAAATTAAAGGAATAGACCAGTTCTGGTCATGCAATTTCATTGTGAAAGAAATGTTGTGGAATTGATCAGAAAAGGTTGATCTAGCCAGGGATATGTAAACTCACATATCCCTGATCTAGCATATAAGTATTGGTGTGTACTGCAAGGTTCTGGAATCATCAAAATGATAAGAAATTTGGCCCAGTCTTGGTAAAGTTACAAGCACTGTACACAGAAAGATGTATATATATATGGGACTACCCTATATCTATCCAGTCCGGATAGATATAATAATTTACCAAATATATCAATTAGAAGCCGGTTTCCCGCCTATTAATGTATCATCACGTATTAGTCAAAACATATTCTTTCACAGTCATGATTGTTAAAAAGAGCTTCCATCCGAACAAGATTTCTATTGGATATCCAATAGGGTATTGAAATTGCCCATTGGGTTGAATTTCCAAAGTCTTTTATAACGATTGTGTTTTTGCTTCTTTCGTTTTTAAATTAGTCTTGGTTGTCAAGAATGAGTTTACTGAGTGATCTGTTGGCGTTGGAGTTCTTTTGATTTCCTGAAGTGTACATCTGTTCCGTGTAGCCAGTCCAAGATCCCAAGAACACCATAGTTGTTTGTGAATCTGAAAAGGGAGGAATCCTTCCATCATCAAAATGATAATACCTAACATACTATCCTACGACTCAACCTTCCTGCTAAGGTACAACCATATATCGCCTTATGGTCACTATCATCATTATTATCATCATCATCATCATCATCACAATCATCATCATCATAATTATCATCATCATCACCATGATCATCATGTACTGTACTGCCTCTTCCGACGATCAGTACTACAATCACACCAGAACTACCACTCACTGCAAGTATAACACTTTTGACACCTCAACACACACATACACACACACTCATTTAGTCACCAGGGGTGTATGATCTACGGTAGATGTCAAAGTTACATTTTACAATTGGATTGATATCCCACCGCTGCCACCATCATCAAATATTCAAAAAAAAAGAAAGAAAGAAATCCAGAACATTTAGGCCAAAGGTGAAGTTCTACGAGTGCCTTTATTTGATTACCTTCATCGTGGTGAAGCAAAGAGGCTACTATTTTAACACATATTATGAAATCTACTGTAGATCATACATCGTATAAAAGACATCGACCTAAGAAATCTGTGGAGGATGTATGCATAGGATGTAAATACATAGTAGGCGATCTGACATGTTTAAGGCGGGTATTTTTATAAATGACTAAGAAGCTACTTACTTGAAGTGATGATAGTCATGATACTCTGGTGAGGGCAGGAAGGGCAGATAGTAACCAGAGTGAGTGACGATAGTCACGAAGAGAGTAATCCTAAACCACAGCGAGGTTACAAGCATGTGGGAACCAGCGACGACCGCGCCCAGGGCCACGGGGAAGGTGTTAGACAAGAAGTAGTCAAATGGATGACTGTAGAGGGACACCATACCGAATGGAGCAGTCCACTCGTGATGCTTCTTGTGGAAGGTCTTGTACATCGATGGATGGTGAAGCAATCTGTGAATATTCAGGAAGAACAGTGTTATGAGAGTGGATGGCATGACACTTGTTTCACTGGCAATGGTGAATGATGTCAATGGTTCTTATGCCGGTGGCATGTCGGGGCAAAGAAGGATAAGCCATTCTTCCTCGTGTCTACGTTAATTCTTCTTCTTCTCTGTTTTGGCTTATTGGCAATTAGTCAGTTGTGACTACCATTAAGGGTACTACGAAGAGCATTTCCCCAAAAGATATGACCAAGGAAGCAATGAAGCCAAGGAAGCAGAAGCCAAAGAAGAACACATTCTGATACACTACATCGGGTTTATACAAGTTACCTTAATGGATTGATGGACTCACACTATACATCAAACAGTATATGTTTTCATTTGGTATTAAGACCTTAATCGATAATGACTTTTGACATTTAATCTTAAATAATTAACATGAGTTACAATTTAAACAGGTATTTTTAGCAGCTTAAATGCAGATTTATATTTCAGTTTTAGTCTGTTGGACGAAAGACTCTATATTCCTTTTGACCTCTTTTTTCTTCTTCTCAGTAACCTACAAAAGAGTATCTAACCATCCGAAGGTTATATTCTGCAAGTAGAGTCATTGATGAGTCTCTGATATCATGAGAAAATGCTTTCAAACAAAAATTTAAAAATTAGAAAAATAAAATAGATCTCGATATCTCATTTAAATATCTGTAGAAGGCATGTGATAAAGCTTACCTGTGAGTATAGTAGAAGCCGATTTCTTCAACCACAACACAGATAGCCAGTTGACAGATTGCAGTCTGGAAGCTTGGTAGCTCATCGACAGTGATCCCACTTCCTCTCCATACAGTACCATAATGAAGAGCAACCAGAATAGGAAGACTGTAGATGGTTTGGTTCAGGAATACTGTCCATAGGGCCTTCAGCAACCTACCTGTGGGAATCTATATAAAGATATTACAGGTTACTTACTTTCTTACCCTGTATCTTCTCTCTCTCTCTCTCTCTCTCTCTCTCTCTATCGCTCGCTCTTTCGTTCTGTCTTCTCTGTCTGTCTGTCCCCCTATCCCCCCTCTCTCTCTGATAATCAGCACCAGATAAGTTTTAACAGACATTGCTAATCTCTTCTGTCAATATCCATGCATTGATCGAATTCAATGACACAGCATCTCCATAATAACAGAGATGGTTGCAATGGTAAACATTTTGGGCCAGTTTCAAACGTACTACATCTTTACACATATAATTTTGTAAATATTGTGTCCTGAAAGCTTGATCTTTCTATATTCTGAATCTAAACAATTATATTTATTGACCAAGAAAATATGTATGCAGTTTTAACAATTTATAATATGAAATCCTCCCTGAAAATATATAGGAGTATATTCCATGTTAATACAAATGAAGATAACATTTCTTTTCGCTCTCTTGAGGAGCGTGCTTTCTTTGCTTTACCTCGGTTTGATCAGCTTGAATTTTGAGCTTGGTAATGAACTTTGGTTTTCCAGTCAGATCCATGATCAGGAACAAACATCCCACAAACCAATGCTCCAAGACAGAATAACAATGCAGAACTGAAAAATTGCATCAAGAAGAAAGTAAGAACTTATATCATCAAAGCAATATTTCCGCGTTGTTCTAAACTCTAAATTTTTGAAATACATAACTAGAGCCCATTAGAAGGATGGTTTAAGTAACCCACCAATTTTTGGCAGTGTTAGTTTGGCAGCTGGGTAACATTTTAGTATATATTTTTCTACTTAAATCGGGAAAACTATTTTTACTCGAAAAAAGAGAATGCATCTATAATTATGCATCCCTCCAAACATTCATGAGTCTCTAAGATTCAAAGTTTTCAACACTGTGCATTAGGCAGAGGACTTGCCTCTTGAGTTGAAGCTGAAGCTGAAACTGAAAGGGCCTGATGATATAGAGGAAATATCTTAAAGGTATTACAAAGTTTTGGGAAATTTTGAAAAATGGGTTGATAGTGATTCTTTACAATTTTGATATATTTGGATGCCCCTGTGGATGTATTAAAAGCACTAGAAATTTTAGCCCCTAAAATACCTACGGCCGTACAATAGTAGCTGCGTTCTCGGCTGAATCAGTTTGTAACTTCCACTGTTAGCTGGATTACAGGCGCACGCCACAACGCCTAGTTTTATAGCTTAATTAATATCTTGATCTTGAGAGGGAGCTATACCACATAAAGTGTTTATTATTTACAATTTCATATTTTTAGAGTCGATTTCGACCGCGACAACGATCAGTGAATATTGTTGGATCACATTATGCTTCCAATATGTTCATTCGAACCAAATTTAAGACCCCATACCGAAACTTTGTATTACCTTTAAGCTCATTATACTCTCTTACGATTACCGGAACAAGCCAAATTCAACTTATGAAGTCAAAATCACTCCTCAAATCAGTTTTGTTCTTGTGTATTATTTACTTGCCAGAAAATCTCCTATGCAAATACTTTGAAGAACAAAGTGCTTACACTGATAAGATTGCTTTTTAAGGGCACTTGATTATCTTAATGATATGCGTTTGAGGGCAAAATAGCTACAGTAACTACACTGAAGATAGTGTGCATAAGACATCAGACAATGTTATACCTCAAATTATAATAAATGTATACAATAAAATACCATGTAGATAAACATTTTGACAAATTTAATGTTGTGTAAGGGTTCAACAGATTATATGCAGAATGAGTTAGAACGCCTGCATCTCGGGAGATCAAAGTCAGATCATTTAACTTATGTGAGTCTCTGATGATTATATTGTGTTGTGTTGGATGATTTACTTCGATATTTAAACAAAAACATGATCTAGGTGACACAAGTGCTTTGTACTTAAAAATTAGAATTTACATATACGACATACCTAAACCCATTTTGACCTGATTTCCTTCGAAATAGTCATAGAAGTTTCCCCATTGTCTGGCTATGAAGTTCCCTGATGAAATCCAGAATGATTGGCCGTGGTGAAGAAGAGAGGTTCGAAAGACAGCACAGACTACAGCTAATGTAACAGCGAGAAGAGATAGAACTGCAGTCATCATGCTCGCTTCGTGCTTCTAAAGATAGAGTTAGAAAGGGAGAGTGGGAAATCGATGATTAGAAGAGAGAGAGAGGTGGGTTATAGTGATATACTAGTCTAACGAAACGCAGGTTTGGGCATCGTTTCGAACTGAAACTCAATAAAGAATCACGCCTAATCACGGAAATGTTGTGTGTGGACAGGGGGACCCCCTGGGGGAGTGTAACTAGTGTAACTAACTGGGCGGGGCTTAACGTGACCTCGAGCGAAATGAGACCAGACCTCTTATCACTATCGCGAAACTCTATAAAGAATCACGGAAAATGTTGTGTGTGGACAGGGGGCATTTTATACGATGATTCTTTAGTGACGACGTTTCTTGTGTGTGGACATCCTGGAATTTATACGATGATTCTTTATACGACGTATCGTTATAGAGTTTCGCGATAAATTGTTTTGTGTGTGGACACGCTGATAGAGTCATATAAACATACAGAACAAAAATTGACCTTGGGTTTTGTTTATTAGCCGACAGAGGTGAATAATTATATAACGCGACAGCAACCACTTAGGACAAAATTACTCAGGGCAATTTCAGTACCGGTACCTATATTATTGTATATCCCATAGAAATGTTCGGTTAGTACGCCATGATAAAGTTCGCACAGCTCAAAAGAAGATCAAGAAGGCTTTTGAAAATGCCTATGTCTTAAAAAAACATTACTTCAGACTGCCTGAAATCGGGCATGGGTGACTTCTTGATAATGGTTTTGGTGTCATAAGAAGATTCTCGAGTAATTTACCAACTAACATAGGTTTCCTTTTTACGGAAACACTCTTTATATAAATTGGATAAACCTCATCCCAAAACCGTTACAGTGGAGGTACGATCGAGTGAGAGTTTCTCTACATAAATCAATAGAACACATAAAATTCCTCATCAACAACAGATATCCCCATTTTACAACTTACCTTCGACTTAAAATTTTCGTCGGGGACTGTCTTGTCCTTTTCAACATGGCATCCATTATTCTCCTTTTGGCGACGAACCATGGTGATATATCATGGATGATTTCTTCGAATTTGTATGACTCTAAATTGAGAGAGACGATTTTCATATAGTAAATGTTTACTCCTCTTCCAGTATATACGGTTAAGACCATCAACGGCGTATCATCGTACCTTATAGAGATTGTTGGTTTTTCAAAACACAATACATGTATATGATTAATCAACTATACCAGCTAAAGTCTATGAAGTCTACATCTCCAAGCTCTGCCTTATGTTTCTTGGAATAAATTAGTATGTAGGATATGTGGTAAGGCCGTAAGGAATTCATTAAAAAAATCTGCAGCTTTTCAACTGTTCTTGTCTATATACAATTATACATTGCAAACAATATTGATTTTCGTCCTTCAAACACCACCACAACTGGTATTTGACCTGAACACAAAAAGAAATTGAAAATTGAATGGGATCACACGTACATCAGAAACACAACACATTCACAATACAAATACACTCAGTCGTACAAGTATACAGTAATAAGGAAAGATATATATCTGTTTACAGTGGTTGTTTCACTGGCCCGTAGAGTTGTTATCGCTAGTACAGTGTCATATTTTGTATAGCAGAATCCGCCATAAATTAACCGACGCTTGTGTCTTCTCTGTCTTCAGCATATATAGCACTGTTCACGTACATTTAACATGGTTATTATTATAACTGAAATTCACTTCATAACATAAACAAATAATTTACTTACGACTCTGAAGCGACGAGACTGAGCGATCGGCACTTATAAAACTGAACCCCTTGTGCTATGGCCCAACTCGTCACGGACGAGTTCTGTTACATAATAACAAACTTTTAACCGACCTTTGTCATCATGTGTATGAATTGTTGACATGATTATAACAGTCCTTGGTATACCAATCTACATAGGCTGTAATTGTATTCAGGGATGTTTTGTATAGACCTACGTATGTAGTACCCAGTTCAAAACAAATCAAAACTTGATATTTCAGGAAATTGTCAACCAATTTTCCTTTTAAGATGCTACGATCAAGTATATATAAAATTTGGAGCCTTTCAATATGTGTCGAATTGAAGCGTATGTAATAGTTTGTGATGGTATACGGTTAAATCTTAAATAGAAGTAGTTAATGATTAGTGGATGTTACTTGTTAGATTAGATGGGTACCAAATCGTGCAATATGTAATCCTATCATAGCTTTTTTTTAATTATCTAAAATGATTACAATACCTAAATTATTTACGTTAATGTAACTCGATTTAACTGAGTAAAAATTTATTCAGCAAAATAAGTAAATTCTACTTAAGATTCCGTAGGTAATATTTACTTAATAAAAATAAGGCAATTCTTTTCCTCAATTTTATTGAGTTATTTCGACTATTATTTTTTTACAGTGTACGTAAGAACGTAAATGCATCACGTGATTCAGTAGCGTAATATTGGTCAGTGGGTCAGTATGTTTTCCTCTCGTCCAATCAAATATCAGGACCTTCCTAAGCAATAACTTTCAACCAATCAGAAACTGAATAGGGATGCATACAGCGCTGGCGTTAGTTGCAGGGCTCAAATTAAATTTGTGTCCACGGGGGCTCTTCCAAAAAAAAATAGCCCCCGTGAACCTTCTCACGGGGGCTCTTTTAGTGCTGACGGGGGCTCTTATTTTAATACAAATTTCCATTGGATTGGTACCCATGAAACTCCTAAATTCCTTGGTATTTTATCATAATCATTTATTTAGGTCGGCATTCTCCCTCTTAGAAATTTACTTGTTACATAGCTGTATACTGTTATCCCCGTGATCAGTGGCGGATCGAGGGGGGCGGCCCGCCCGCCCCCCCCCCCCCCCGGGAAAAAAGAAGGGGGACAAAAAGGGGAATTTTCTTCTTTCTTTTTTTTTGAAAAAAGAAGTGTTCCTTTTCCCACTCGTATCACAGAGAAACAACAGTTTAAGTTAAGTCTAACGTTAACGTTAATTTGTTATTAAAATGTAGAGTATAGCCCTTGGCCTTAGGCCTAATTTAGGTCGTAACTGTTACTGTTTAAAAATCTAAAGTAAAACTAGACGGTTTTCATTGTTAGACCAAGTAATTGAGAAAAAAAAGTTTACCCGTCACTGAGACCAAGTCAATCAATCTTCTAGATCCATTATTAGGGTCTAACGTTAGTAGATATAAGGTAGATGCAGGCGCGGAACCAGCGGGGGTAAGCGGGCCTTGCCCCCCCCCCCCCCCCCCCCCTTCCGCAAAAGAGAGAGAGAGAGAGAGAGAGAAAGAGAGAGAGAGAGAGAGAAGGAAAAGAGGGAAAGGGAAAGAGGAGAGAAAGGGAAAGAAAGAAGAGGAAGAAGAAAAGAAGAGTGGGAAGAAGGAGATCGGGGGAGGGGGCGAAAGGGCCTTGCCTCCCAGGCTGTTGCCTCCCCCCAATAAAACAAAATAAGAGAGAAGGAAGGAAGGAAATGAAAAGAAAAAAGGAAAAGAGGAGATAAATGGAAGGAAAATCGAGGAAGAAGTAAAGAAAAGAAGGGGGATATCACTTGCAATTTTCCCGCCAACAAGTTGCGGATGGGAGTGAGGCAAAAGGCCTTTGCCTCCCCCGCCCCCGCTTAAAAAAAAAGAGAGAGAGAAGGAAGGAAAAGGAAAAAAGGAGAGCTAAAAGGGACCAAAAAAGAAGAAGAAGGAAAAAAAGGGTGACAAGAATTTCGATGCGGTGTTCGAGTAGAATTCTGTGAGATGATGATATACTTTCTCGTAGCTTGATGTGACGAAGTGTCTCTATCCAGATATCTGTTGATAGTATCATAAAATATAGAAGCCTGATATGACCTTCTGCTCGTAACCGACAAGTCACCGCATTAAAATTAAATTGCAAATAGTTTTCAACAACACGATGGTGGATGAAACTTTCTAATATTCGAAGATATATGACCTTCAGACCATATTGTTTCATTATTTTTTATTCAATCAATCAACGTCAAAGAATTGATTTATCATCGCACTTCAATTTATTATTTCACCTTTTAATGTACTTTCATTCTTATGCATCACGAAAGAACACTGAATTGGATTCTTCAATGTTTGTTTTGATTAATTTCCTCCTCTTTCCTTCTCCCTGTTTAATACTGATAACATTTTCAATTTTTCTTAATCAAGGCAAAATATTATTTTCATATTTTCTTTATGGAAGACAGGAGAGAGAGAGAGAGAGAGAGAGAGAGAGAGAGAGAGAGAGAGAATATGTTAAGTGAGAATTATCGAGTACAACTATGAATTGCATCCTTTTCAATATTATTCAATTCGCTGAAAATCTTTATTTTATAATTCCACGGGGGCGATTTTTAATTTTGCAATCGCCCCCGTGGACAACCTGATGGGGGCGATTATGGAGCTCACGGGGGCGAATCGCCCATCACCCCCGTTTATTTTGAGCGCTGGTTAGTTGCATGGAGATCGAAGACCATTATATTTCTGAGCTTTTCTATCTAACGGTTTATATTTTGATTTAAGATTCTTTTGACATCCTTATATTTTTGGATTCAATGATAATATTTTCAAATTTACAGAATGAAATCATATACAAAATTAAAATATACGTCAGTCAGTAGAAAGGGAAAAGAGGAGAAAAGAGTATGAGCATTCAGACTGATAAAGTCTTGAATGTAATTATATTTGATGGATAAAACATTATTGCTGCCTTTCGTGTTAAAAGTCAATTTGGTGCATAAGTTCATTATAAGTTCATTTTATCGGTCAATTAAAACAATATCATTAAAATGTATACTTTAAGTGAAATAAAATGGGTTTGAACATCGGCCTATTTTTTAGGTAAAAAACAACAACAACAACAACAAGCTGAGTATCGAACTCGATACCTTCCAATTACCAGGCGATCATCTATCCACGAGAGGTGCCTCAAAAGATGTAGATAAAATGTTACGACCACAAAAACAAAAATAAAACAAAACAGAAAACTGTGACAGCTTGAGAAGGTTCATATCTACATAATACTGATTGGTTGTGTAAAGATATTTAAAAAAGTAGGCCTACTTCTAAACAATAAACTATAAAGCCAATCATAAGCGGTCTACACTGTTACCCATAAAGTTGATTTAAAGTTTGTTTACCTCTTTTCATGAAATGATTGTGACAATATGATTTGTAGCCTACTTGACAGAAGAGTTTTTACATTTCCTCAGAGTTTTATTTATCAATCTTTTGATTCTTAAGATTGATCAATACAATTCTGAGAAGATTTAAACTTTATCTATCAAGAATAAATCATATTGTCACAATCATTTAATGAAAAGAGGTTAACAAAAAAATATTCCAACTTTATGGGTACCAATGTTTCATACAAAATGAGCACTGCATGAGTAAGCGTAAAGGTTAAATTGCAAAGTACGATAAAAGAATATATTTCAATATGAAATAAACAAACCCTCGGAGTGAATACAAAATTACTAAAAAAATTTGCAGTGTATCAATTTTTAATGGAATGGAATGCTTTAAGTGCTAAAAGATTTAATGTACTCCTTCACAAGGAGAAAAATGAAATACCATTTGAGATAATACGATTCAATAACGATAGTACAAATAATAGGTCCATTTATATAGCGCAGTTAATACTATATGAATATACTCTACTGCACTTAATACAAACTATCATGATTATTGGGCCGGCTGTTGCTGAGCTGCCAAAACAAGGCGCTAAAATATTCAAGGAATTTCTTCCTACCAGGTACACAATTACTGCACCTGGATGGAGAGTGGCAAATGCAATAAACTAGTACACGATTGCATAATAACTCTCTCATGTAGTCAATTATTTCAGCTTTATTCTATCAACAGTCTAGAGCTTCATTTCCTCTCCAACGCAATATAGGAGTTACAGAAAATTTGTAGTTATTTATTATTTTGAAGTCAAAAGGAAACTTAGTCTTAGGGTGAAAAGCAATGTATTATAAAACAGTATTTACTTGCATACATTCTGTTGGAATTAACAATCTCGCATAAATCTGAAATTTGGGGTTTTAAGATATACATGTACGTCTACTTAATATCTAGAACATTATGATTCATCCTCTTCGAGTATTAAGAAGCTCACAAATGATTACATGTACTTTGTAATATTTTGAGCATTACTATATATTATTTCAGTGCAAGATATGGTACATTGAGTTATCACCATTTTTTGTGGTATTTTTACCCTGCGATATATATTATTATTATTGGAATGCATGATAAATTTGAGTGAAAACATTGAATAGCCATGTATCTCGTAATTTTGGTTGTACAAAAAGAACACTCTGCATGTGTTTGTCTGTGAAGACTTGGTACGGTTTATTATCGAGTAAGTTAAATGGTATCAACATCAAGAATAACAACAAGAACACAATCATAGGAATAGTTGAGAGCCTTAGATAAACTAAAACACAAATTGTCCACATCTGACAGATCAGGCTTTATTCACGGTGTTGTAATTACTAACCATTATTTGCATAGTTTGAAAAGAAATACATTACGCAAAATCTTTTCATTTTTCCGTGATCACAGATTGACTTAAAAGTGCTTTATTTTGTGTTGTCAGGAATGACTTCGTTGAGTGGTTTGACTCCAAGAAGGGCCTTGTGTCTCTGGAACTGTTTGGATTTCCTGAAGTTGACATCCGTCCCGTGAAGCCAGTCCAGGATGCCAAGTACACCATAGTTGTTATTGAATCTGAACGAAGAAGAAGAAGGAATTGCAGACCAATTATTATCAAATTTGAAATGTAGCTTCCACGACCACCCCTTAAATGACTATTGTTTAAAACTTTACCCCCTTACAGTCACGACGGAGTCGGGGAAACGGCACACGGCAGTGCCATTGATTAGACGAGTTTGGCCATCCTGGTTTGAATTGGCCACAATATATAGCGACTACTGCTTTATTGAGCAAGCACGAAGCAAAATAATATAAGGCATATTGTGACCGAGTGAAACCAAGTTGGCTAAACTCTGTGTATAGATGACTTTGTCGGAGGCATTGTCTTACTAAGTGGATGTAATATATAAACGAGCAAAGCGATCTAAGATTAGCTAGAAAGTAAGCTGTGGACGCAAAAATGTAATGTGTAGGAAATGGTGAGTATTCTAGGTTCATTTTTTGTCAGTTCTTTTTGCTTATGAATAGTTTGTTTCATTTTGATGTATGCTGCCGAATGAATAATGATAACATGGATGAAAAAAATGTCAAGCAGCCTTTTGTATTTTATTACTAATATTTCCAATATACAGAATAGAGCCACATCATGTACTAACATATCAAATAAATTCTACACGCATGTGATAGCAAACACAATGAATCACGGACTTGTATTTGACATGTTATGGAAATAAAAACATACAAACAAACAGTGAATGAATGAATACGTGTACTTACTTTAGATGGTGATAGTCATGGAATTCTGGTGATGGAAGCAGTGGAAGATGGTAGCCAGAGTGAGTGATGGTTGTTACGGTGAGAGCAAGCTGGAACCATAATGATGCTACAAGCATGTGAGAGCCAGCAATGACCACACCCAAAACCGCGGGGAATGTGTTGGAGAGGAAGCTCTCGAATGGATGACTGTATAAGGACACCAGGCCGATAGGCGCCGTCCACTCGTGGTGTATTTTGTGGATTCTCTTGTACAGCCATGGATGATGGAGCAATCTGCGGATTTACAGAGAGAAGATGAGAGGAGGGGTGTGGATGAGGAATGGCACTCACTTGAGATGGTGGTAGTCGTGAGCTTCTGGAGACGGGAGAAGGGGAAGGTGGTATCCGGAGTGGTGAATCATGGAGACATATTGAGCCAGCAGGAGCCAGATGTGGAAGGTGAGAAGATGAGAGCCTACGAGGAGAGGACCGGTGATGGCTGGGAGGGAGCTGGCGAGGAGGTTCTCCACCGGGTGGGCGTACATGGTGACTAGACCGATGGGTGCGGTCCATTCGTGGTGCATCTTGTGGACGTTCTTGTAGAGGAAGGGGTGGTGGAGCAACCTTCAGAAGGAAATTTAGTAAAAACTCTCCAACTATACAGCTGCTCACGATTGCACTGAAGATCTTGGGTTTGATTATTTGTTAAATTATAGCGGAAATGAATTTTATCTTTTTAATAGACAGTGATGCGAAATAGATAGTAAGGTGTTGCATCATAATATAGGGAAATGTTGAAAGATAAAGACAGATGTTTAAACATGAGTTAAAATCAAACCTACAAAGATAAAAAGGAATGGAATGATTATAAGAACATAATACAAAATAAATCATGGAGCCGAAAGGAAGACTGGATACGGAAGTGAGAGAACAGATAGAGAAAATTAATCAGGGTTAGGCAATATTTCCTGTGGTATAATGGTAAAAAAAAAAGTTTATCAGCAAATTGCAATTTGTGAGGACTCCCTTGAATCCTATTTCGATTTTTTTTCTTAGAAATTACGAAATGCACTCCCTGTTTTTAAACACTTCAAAGTAATTAAAAGCAAAAGCTTGAAGAAAAAAAAACCTCTTGTACCCACCTGTGACTGTAGTAAAACCCGATTTCTTCCACTACAACAAAGACAGCCAGATGATAGAGGGCGGTCTGGAAGGTTGGTAGCTCCTCGACAGTGGATCCGCATCCTCGACGTACTGCAGCATAGTAGAGCCCGATCAGGATGGGCACATTGTAGATGGTTTGGTTCAGGAAAACAGTCCACAAAGTTCGTCGCAACTTGTCTGCCGGAATCTAAGAAAAGGTTGAATCAAAATTAATGTTACCTCAGTATTATATGAATCCTTTAACATGACTTAATGCGCATATTATGGTACAGTATACGGAATTGTATACCATATGTTGTCAGAGATAAATTCCCTTTACCATAATTATAACTGCCTAAACTTGAGAAACTCAACTACAAATTGAAGTAATAATGTTGTATAAGAAGAATATCGGTGTATTGTTTGTACATGTCTCTTTCTTTTAGGTTCTCTTTGTTACTGTTATATTTTGCCAGTTTTGCATTACTTAAATAATATCTAACCAAGTTTGATCCTAATTTGGCTTCAACTTCGGTTCAACAAACTATTGCTATATAAATATATACAATGAAAGATAACACTCTGGTATTATCTTTGAAGTAATGTATGCATACGTTACATCCCAACGTCTGTCAGTAAATGTATTTGTTCTATGAACGAACATATAAATAAGTTCATTGTAATCATATCAAGTGTGTCGATTGTAATCGAACACCGATAGGATTTTAGATACAATATATAGAAAATAATGACATTGTTGATCGGTAAAGTCATTACAGTGTTGAGATCATGTGATCCCACTGTCTTCAATCATGATGACAAAACAAAAAAGTTTGCTTATATATCTGTCAGCTACCATTCATCAAGTCACCAACTTACTTGCCATCTAATGATAAAGGATTTATATAATGTATAATGATGCAAAAAATGTAAAATCTTTATTTCGGAAACTTCACAAACCATCTAATTGGTTAATATAACTGAATTTCATGACTTCAAAACTTCTTCCAGAAGTTCTGGCCTTTCTGAACATAGATGAAAATAATAATGTATTTACATAATAATTATGTATGTATTTTAACTCCTTGAAAATCAAGATTCGTAAATCGTAAATAAATTCTAGTCAAATTAGAATACACAAGTACATATTACTCATCTTATCATTTTTAATGATATCCCTTAATACCTCGGTTTGATCCAACTGCACTTTGTATTTGGTGATGAACTTGGGTCTACCAGTCAGGTCTATGATTAAGAACAGTCCTCCTAGCAACCAATGCTCCAGAACAGACAGACAGTGAAGAGCTTGGGAGTCACAAGAAGCACAGAAAATAAGAAATGTGAATTTGATCAGAGGTCTGGCAATCATTACTTATCATCGTTTTCCAAGCTTTAACTGGATTGAATACCTGACATAGTATGGCGGTAAAGCCATCAAGAGGCTTACAATAATTATTGTAAGTCTTGCGGCAGATAATCTAAAGAAAGCCACCTACAGGTAATTCTTTCTGAATGTACCCTGCAGGGAGACAGCGTCCATTTTGGGAAACAGTTTTTGAACTACTTTTTGAATAAATCATTTGACTAACTATTTTGTATTAGTTTAACTATCCAGAATATTTTAACATCATGGTTGACTGATATTTAATATCAACCTTTAAATCTATAACATGTTAACCACAACAGCAAGAACAAGAACAACAATAATAATAATGATATTAATAATAATAATAATAATAATGATAAAAAGATTAATAATAATGATAATAAATAGATTGATGATGATAATAATAATGCTGTATATTCAGGGAAGCCTCATCAGCTACCCCAGTTACAGTTACCCCAGCAGTTGCCAGGTACCCATTTGCACTTGCGCGGAGAGCTACAATTTTTAGATAAAGCTATTAATAAGCAGGAAGTTTGCCAAATCTTTCGTAGACATGGAGATAACCCAAATCTTAAAATGGAAAGCAAATACTTCAAAGAACAAAGTGCTAAACTGATAACACGATAATGAAATATTATCGCAGTAACAATAAATTGCAATAATATTAATCAAGATGAACGTTGAGAAGAAGAATATTATGGTGCATCGTCATGGTTAAAGCATTTTAGAAAAATTGTGTTTTGATGAGATTCCCATATACCGACATAGAAGGGTTGTCCATACTTACCTATCCCCATTTTGGCAAAATTTCCCTCAAAATAGTCATAGAAGTGTCCCCATTGTCTGGCTATGAAGTCCCCTGATGAAATCCAGAATGATTGACCATGGTGAAGCAAAGAGCTTCGGAATGCAGCACAGAATATTGCAAACATTACAGCTATGACTGACAGGATGGCAGTCGTCAGGTTGGCTCCTTGCTTACCGAGATGCGGTGACTAAATAGAAATTAAAGAGTAAGAAGAAAGACAGAGATAGAAAGAGAGGGAGTGGAAGAGAGAGAGAGAGAGAGAGAGAAAGGGAGAAAGAGGGAGAGAGAGAGAGAGAGGGAGAGACACTCAGAGAGAGATAAATAGAATAGAATAGAAAGGTTTTATTGAACAAATTCCATCGTCGCAGTCTTACAACTGAATTGCCAGTGGAATACAATTGAAAAGTACATGTATTTACAAGTTAAAAGTACAATAGTCTTAGGTCTATGACATAATATATATATATATATATATATATATATATATATATATATATATATATCATATTACATCTCTATATCAAAATTCAATAAGTATGGAAAGAAAGAAGTGATGAATGAGGAATAGGAGCAAGGAGCAAGAATCAACAACAGGTGAGAGAAGAATGAAAGGAAAAGAAAGGAAGGGTAAGTAAGAGGAATATATCAAGAAAGATGAGGTGAAAAAGATGTGTAATGAGCCTTCTATTAATTAGCTTTAAAATGTACAGATCCTCATGGCTTGTACAAAGAAAGAAAACAAAAAGCAAATTAATACAAACAGGTTAAAGGTTTGAAAGAAAGAAAAAGACAACAAGTTTTAGAAAAACGAGGCGATATAATTAGAGAAAGCAATAGAGATAGATGGAAGAGGAGAGAGAGAGAGAGAGAGAGAGAGGGGGGGGAGAGAGGGGGGGGAGAGAGAAACAGAGGGAGAGAGAGAGAGAGAGAGAGAGTGTGTGTGTGTGTGTGTGTGTGTGAAAGAGAGAGAGAGAGAGAGAGAGAGAGAGAGTGGGAGAGAGGGAGAAGTGGGAAAATGGTGAAAGTGAAATGGGAGAGAAATCAAAGAAACGGGAAAAAGAAAGAAAACATAAAAAGAGATAAGGATAACATGAGGTACACAATATATAATGAAAGATAGAGAAATAATTAGAGAGGCGTATAATAAAAGAAAAGAGCAGCTAATATACAAGAATATAGACGAGGGAGGTAGATAGAGAGCGAGAGAGAGAGAGAGAGAGAGAGGGGGGGCGAAAGAAAGGAGGGAAATATATATAATATATTTATATAGAGAGATGGGGTATATGATAACAAAAATCATGAGATGGATATAATGAAAGAAAAGACACACATAATAATTATGCTCGACTGTCACCAGTACTAATTTAGAGATGGTGTACACAATAATGTAGGTTATTTTTAGAAACTAAAGAAAATAAAGCCAGATTTTTAAAAAATATCGGAAATGTTTGTTTACAGAAGAACAAATCGCAATAATCAGTTATTGTTTTTTCTCTGACGTTTCTCCTGGCGTTTCTCTTACCTTTAGCTTTACATTCTCATGTGGATCTCCTTTGTCTCTTTCCAAATGTACTCCATTCTGCTTGTGGTGATTAGCCATGACTGCTCACTTGCTTGTTTGTTCTAACTATGAACAGAAAATTGTGAGTGTGGAAGCACACACACAGCGTTATACTCAAGTCAGATACCAAGGCAGTGACAAATCATGTGATAGAATTCAATGGTAATGGAGGCAATAATCATAATAGGCCTGATTCACAAAGGAGGTTTAAATTTAACCCATGGTTTAAACATAAGCATGGGTTATGTAAATGAGGGTTTAAACCATGGGTTAAAATGTAAACCTCCTTTATGAATTCGGGCCTATTAGTCCGATAGCAGAAACTTTGGAAAAAATCAACCTTTGGCAATTTGCATATCATCGACCATTACCTATAACGTTAAATCCAAACGTGGTTTCTGTGGAATATACATTATAGGGTATTAAAATTGCCCTCTAATGTCTCTCGATAAGCTTTGCGATTGTGTTTAATTGTTCATGGTTAAAAATCGAATAGTCCGAATATTTATATATTCTGTTTATGTATAGCGCATTTGTATGCGTTTCCAAAAATAGATTATGTTTGCATGGCTTCTTGCTCAATTGATCGATTGATTGATTGATTTTTATTCGACAAGCTTCCAATATACAACAATATACAATAATAATAATAGATCAAAATTAAGTCAGCTTGAACAGGATAACCCACGAAAGCTCGAGAGCTTATTTCCGATGGGGTCCCCTACACTGCATGTACAGAATGAATAAGTTAAAATAGTAATATTTACAGACAGATAATAAAATTCAAAATAATTACTCACAATAATGATAATAATGATAACTGATGATAGAAATGATAATAAGTACAAGAAGAAAAAGAAGAAAGAGCAGAAGAAAAAGAGGAGGAGGAAGAAGAGAAAAATAAAGATTTTGTAGAATTTCTATAACGTACAAAAACTTCAATCATATAACATGTCATTCACTTCTCTTTTCTGACTCTCAAGTATTAGGTATTCCTTTAATTTCCTCTTAAAATGAGCATAGTTTTTTTTTACTTCCTTTATACCATTGGGAAGTGAATTCCAATGTTTTATGGCATTGTAATAAAACGAATTTCCAATACTACCTACTCTTTCTAGTATAGTCAAAGTTGAATCGGCTATTTCTTGTATTATAATCATGTAAGTCAGTAACAAGATCGAAGTTGGATCGAATATAATGATTCGACCTAGTATGATATCAACAGTGCTGGCAAAATATAACAATCTACTCAACATTCAGCACGAATACAACGCAACCACTATTATGTCCCAGTCGTTCCAAGTTACTATAGCACACAGCACAATAAACAAAGTATCTCAAATTCTTACGTATATTATTACCGCGTAATATCGTATGCCCGTTGAACAAATTAATATACATTATGAAATTACCAAATGAATTATAGAATCTGAATTACTCTTACTTTTTATTCGGAAACGAAGAAAGATTTGATATTCTGGTTTCTGATACGCAGTAACTGCACCTAGTCAACTTGTCTGAAGCAAGTGGAGGCCTTCGGCTAAGTATTTATACATGAACCATCACATTAATAATCGACCTTTGGACTTTGTGAGCTTACTTAGCCTTTCTATAGTTTCTAACCTTGACCCAAATTCACTTCTATAATCGAGTTTGAATATTAATAGTATAATACAAAGGTTGCTCAAAAATGAGTGCAAAGCACTTTACCCCCCTCCCCTTACTACCACCACCAGCCTATAATTATATACCTCATAAAGACAATGCAAAATGTTATCTAAAATAAATGCAACATAATAGAGAAAACACAATATACAGTGGCGTAGCTAAGTAGTAAAAGACTAATCCGTGACAATTTGGAGTCCTCTGTTGAGCAGTGGCGCAATTAGCAAAAACCTTTTTTGGAGGGGGGGGGGGGGGAGAAAGAAACCTCGGAAAATCATGTAAGCCTAATTTCAGCAACATCAATTTGAAAATCATTGGTATCGAATTAGAAGTAAACCACGTTTGAATGTTTTTTTTTGGGGGGGGGGGGGGGGCAACTGCCCCGAGCCCCCCCCCCCCCATCTGTACGCCAGTGCTTTTGAGTGAATTCATTTTTTTCCAACATCCGAGTTGAGAAATTATAGTAGTTTGAAGCTCTTTGCTTTTATCACATAGACTCTATATCACTAAATTTGTATTTTATGAAATAAACCGGGAACTAAACACCCTAGATAAGATAAGATATCATGTATGCGGGCACCTCGCTGCCCAATACATGAATCAAAAGTCATATATTTAGTCACCTCGATCCCTATAAAAAAAAAAAAAAAATAGACCTATAATCATATAATGTTGAGGGTTTAGTAAGATATTGACCTGACTCCAGATCATTTTGGAAGAGTCGCTGTCTGGGCATTAGCAAAAGAAGTACATTTCAAACTAGCAATGCAGTGTGAAAAATAACTTCGCACTGGCTGATTTTATTTGTTATAAAGAAGGGGGAGGGGCCGGGGAGGGGGGGGGGGGCAAAACAGGGTTGTTGTTTTTTCTCATTTTTACCACATTACGAACAAATTTGGCCCGTGCCGACAACTATATACTAACTCACCGTTAAAAAGTGCTGCATATTTTTGTCATTATATGTAAGTATTGTTGGGGCCCACGTTACCAAGTTTGATTATAGGTCTGAATGATAACGATAATGATAACGATAATGATTAATAAACCATAATCCTCTCAAAGCGGCAGCCCTTGTGAATTAGCAGCCGGCCTAAAAAAAAAAATCGGCAAGCGAATATACAAAACAGAAAGGAGAGTATTACTACATGCATGGCAATTTAAATTTGAAACTAACACTAAATAGCCAAGTCGTCAATGACCTATAAATTGTGGCGTATGGATCAAATTGACATAAAAAATTGTTATTTCAGTCGATAATGTGATCCAATCTCTTGTAGACCTAAGGTCAGATAATGTATAATAAAATATGTGATACATGTATTATGGTTGGAAACTTGTGGGGCAAAACATCGCCGAACAATTATACAATTATTATATTGCGTACGCCAAGGGCAAGGTGGCGGGGGGGGGGGGGCACGGCCCCTTTGTTGCCCCCTCTTGCCCATGCATGCACTGCCAGCTACGCCTATTTCTGTTTTACCTTTTGACTTACAGCACTTGTAGAATTAAATAGAATAATTGGGCTAACTTCAATGTTCGATTTAAATATGTGTACAATATTGGTCGCTAAATTCACTTCACGACTTGAAAGAGCTAGAGCTGAGAGTCTGCTTGAATGAAACGGCCTAATCTTTCTACTATTCTACATCAAACTCTTCTCTTTCGAAGTGTTTTATTGTAAGTTGTAGAATGAAATGTTTTAGTGAAGTACTGTTTTTATTGTTTACCTGCAGAGGCCTATTTGATTATGATTATACAATTACAAATGAAAAATGATAAGATGGCATTTTCAGTCTAGTCCCACATGTCTATTTTTGTGTGGTATCTGACTTAGAATAGAGTTAATGGCCCGAGCTGTTGTTTGTTGTTAGGGAATTTAATCACCTAAATTTGTTTTACCTGACGTACTGCTAAAAAGCATGTGTATGCTTGTATAAAGTACACAACCAGGAACCAGGGACAGATGGCTTTAAGTCCTCTCTAAGGGCGTTAAATTTGCTGGATGATTTGACTCTGCATTCTTCAAATAGGGTAGCGCGCCCAGTATTCGGTCCATTCCCAGTATTCGGTCAGAGTCAGACAGCCATTTCAACAGCTGTAACAATTTAAAAAATAATTAATGAGCCGCGAAACTTGCACAAATCAGGCAGCTAAACAACTTTTCTTAACTCTCAAAATTAAATCAGATATAGACCTAGTGCCCCGGAAAGATCTCCAACTTAGCTCGAAATTGGTCAGTGTCGCACCACTTTCTGCACTTCCGCATTCTGTTAGCACATGCGCTAACATGCATAGCCATATGTAGAAGTCTATTGCGAAACAACTTTGTGTGCTGTCGCAATGAATTTAGTATGTGTGTGAAGAGGAGCTCTTCCGTGTTCGCTCCATCGCAGCGAATTTGCAAATGACGCACATGCCGATGTGCAAGAGGTATTTATACGATACCCTTGCCATGCGGTATCGCTCGTCCAGTATTCGGTCAACGCATTGACAATCAGTGCTTTATCGCGCAATTGTGTGAAAATAGCGCACAGAAATTCAACGCACAAATCGCGTGACCGAATTCTAATCGGCGCGACCGAATTCTGGGCAGAAAAATGCTCCGTCTTCTTTCGGAAATATTTTTCTTATCATCATTCTTTATTTTAAGTAAAAAAAATCCTGTCAGAGGAATATTTTTTCGTTCTTTTGATGGGTAGATTGGAAAATAAAAGAGGTAAGAATTCAAAATATCAGTGATTTCCCCTTAAGTGACCAAATACTGGGCACTCTACCCTACACTCAATTTTAGAGTTTCAAAAGTCAAACTCAAAGACCCTTTGCCTTTGTAAAGCCACACAGCAAAAGTGTTTCATGTTTTTTCCTAGAAAGTAGAAACCTATGATTCTACTGCATGCATGATGGATGAGCATACTCAGCTTGCTATGGCCTTGTCCATATCAATGATAGGGGATAAGGAGCAAGGTAGCACAGCCATTGAAGTACCCATCAAGGATCCAGCAGTGAAACCAAAGAAGAAGAGAGGCAGGAAAAAGAAGAAAACAGAGTAAGTTTTTTGCAGTCCATACCATCAAGAGATGGCTTCCTTGATATTTAATTAAGAATTGTGTGATTGATAATGATATTAATGATAGTATAATCCATTGACTAATTAACTATTTATTCCCATGGGGTTTATACAGGAGACACTCAGTTCCCGTAGGTGATTGGATAAAGTGATTTTTCCTGAAAATACAAAAAAAAAAACGCTTAACAGTATTACCATCCTGGCTTTAGCTGAGGTTCCATGATAAAGTGCTCAAGCATCTTCTTGCTTGTGAGAATTTTTTTATTTCACCAGAGGAATGCAAATTATAATTGAAATTGGTGATCATGTATGAATTATATATTTTAGTATTAGACACTGTAGCATAGTAAAGAAGAAAAAAAATTCAGGAGAACCCTTTTTAGATTTATGTATAGGTAATCTGGACATGATATAAATTTTCCAAAGCTCTATATTTTATCCCCACTTTGAATTCTTGGTCTGGGAATTAAATTCATAGCTTTAAGAATGGATTCTAGTTTTGCTTGCAATATTGAAAACAACAATTTTGACCAGGAACGAGAACGTCATAAATCTAGATTGATGTACTTTTTACAGTGAGGACCCTGATGAGCAAACCCGGATTGCCATGGCGATATCGGCATCCCTGGCTGATGAGACGAAGCAGAAGAATAAAGATCTTGGGAAGAATGAAGAGAGACCAGGAAAGAAGACCAGGGCTAAGGCTAAAAAAAAGCTCAAGAAGATTCATGCTGAGTAAGTTCAGTATTCAAGGACCATACTTCAGAAAATGATATAAATCATTGCATAAATTTTGTACAATTTCATTTTCTTGCTATTTCTTTATTAAAATTTTTTTTTTTTTCCTTTTCATTTTATATTATATTTAACATTTGATATATGTTGAATTCAAGAGTTAGAAAATCATATCTGATTGAAAGCTATTTTCAAATTGTGTTGTTTAAATATATTTCATAGCAACTATAAAGAAGTAAATTAAACCTGGCTGTCTGGGTGCTTTTTCCTTTTCATTTTATATTATACTAAACATTTGATATATGTTGAATTCAAGAGTTAGAAAATCATATCTGATTGAAAGCTATTTTCAAATTATGTTGTTTAAATATATTTCATAGCAACTATAAAGAAGTAAATTAAACCTGGCTGTCTGGGTGTTATGTCTGTTATTCATATATCATAATGTAACAAACATTTTTTAAATGCAGCTTTAAACAAGTATGAGTTTTGATCGTATGTTCAGATTTCCAGTTCTGTTAACAAGGCTAGATGATGAACGACAGAAAATTTTGGAAGGACGCATCAGTGCTCTTCTGGAACCTAAACACTCTGTAAGTATATAACATGTCTCTACACAGTTCTGTTTCATAGACCTTTAAAATCAGATCTCCAATACTTTCTTTAACTAGCATTTTAGTTGAATTAGACACCAGGAAAAATGAAGTCCAAGCTTCTTGCTATGTACAAAAAGATGTGAATTAATTTTTACCAGCTCTGACAAAATTATCAGTTTGATTTCTTAGCTGGTCTCAAATGTTCTAGAATAGTATTCCCATCGAGAAAAGCAATTTTTGTTTTTGTTAGTGTTTAAAGGAAAATTTAGCCACATTGTTCATTAAAGAACTACTATGCGACATTCTTTCTTTCCTCTACAGGGTGTGTGAAGTAAATTTCCATAAACCTTGTAGTCAATGAAAGTATTGTTTTACTATATAATGTATGTATTTTTTTACTTTATAATGTATGTATTGTATTCAATACACACTACCAGGTTTGTGAAGAAATATGAACATTATCATAGTTGATCAAAGAAGTTATATCTTTACAAATTATTAATTCTTACTAAAGTACAGGGAACATAGATAATTTTTTGCTACCCCCTAAAGTGTTCTATGAAGTGATAGCCTAATGAGTTGTTCATTTATGTTTTTAACCTAGGAGGACATTATTTTCTCTGACCATGTGTTTCAACGGAGTAACATCAGGACAAAATATTCAGACCCTGACAGTCGGCCTCTCACAGAGACCTACCCTGGGAATATCAGAGTAAGCTTTTTTAGTTGATAAAATATAGAGTTTTGCTCACCTTGTCAAGTGATAAACACATGCAGTCATTAGCAAGGATCAACTGCCAAAGAGTTAGCAAAAAATTAGAAATACTAACAAAATACCCTGTCAGATATTAAAGTCAAAAGTATGGTAATCAATACTGTAACTGCAGCCAATCAATAACGACAAGTTAACAAGGTTTTTACGGGAGTGTTCTTTTATTCTTTGGTAGGAGCGTAGCTTCCTTTCTTTGACTCCTTTCTTTTAACTCTGTTCTTTTCACTCCGTGAAAACTGTGAGAAAACAAACAACAAAAAATGGGCATTAATTAAAATGCAATAATAATTACAGGTTCCTTATCCATGTAATAATTACAGGTTTCTTAATACAAATTTGGGCGTGACCCATAGGCATTATACCAAACCTTGCCATTTACTTAACCTTACTATTTCTTTGTGTTTCCTGAATAGTCTTCACACTTCTATAAATTAATACAACTTAAGTTCTTATACACAGATTCATCAACATAAATTCTTATACATGGGCACCTGCCTCAAAGTTATGGCATAAATATCAAAATTATACACATATTTCCCACAACTGAAACACTGCAAGCTTAAGTACTGACCTTCTTGCCTCCTTTTAGTCAATTAACTTGTCTGCAGCTAAGAATATGTTGCAATTAATCATCGATTTCTCATTGTTCTTCATTGATCATTGTTTGACTTTGAAACTCTGTCTATAAAAGTCTGTCGCCGAAGATGGCGCTCTAAACTTTTGGTCGACTAAATCAAATACACTTACATGGCTCCTTTAAATTAGTACAACTAATTTACCATAATAAACTATTTGACATACCTGCGATAAATCTTACGTGTTCTACAAAACTAACATTTCTAACTTTGTATATATACAAAGCACATCTAGAAGTAAATGTAATGCATCTAGCTGTACTCGCTAGCTTTATATACTAGCTTCAATCTATAAGTTTAACTGGTTTTACAACTTATAATGTTCAATTCTAATCCTTCTATAACAGACGTTCAGAGATCAAGAATCTAAACAAAGGCATAAATTTGACTCTGTAACCAAAACACCATCCATGTATTGTATAGTAATACATGACTTCAAATTTTGTTTCAAATTAGTCTCGGCCCTTAATCTTAAAAATTATTTTATGCATGTATAATTTTTGTTAAATAACATTAACTCCTTAGTCTTGCATCAGACACATAGATATGATTTAATGAGCATCAACCTTATGTCTACAATTCATTTTGCAAACAAATGAAATGTCACAAAGTTACAAGTCTGACTTCAGACCCTAGTAAGTTTACACTGAAATGAATAATCTTAAATATAGTCTCACTTGACTCTTAGATGTAGTTTTCATCTCAGACACAGATATACCTTTACTAAGGAGGGAATAGTTTTATATTCCAAATTGACCTTTTCAGAAAATAAAGCATGTTTAACCTTAAACATTTCAATTTAGTCTTACATCCAGACTCTAGCATTATGATCAAACCAGTATACATATACATAAAACAAAGCGGCATTTAGAAAATTGAAGGTATTCTCCCTTTCAGACTTTAGAATTTTGGTTGAAATCACATTTATCAAACACAATGTCTGCGAAAATTCAAATTGGTTTCAATTTCAGACACAATGAACAATATCAAATGATAACATAAATTAGTCTTAATTCAGACCCCTTGGCTCCTTGTTATCCAATGCCAGGCTCAATCTCTAAACATGGCGTTTTGGACATAACAATTATTACTTTAGGTTAATTAAGTTAAACCCCCTAGCCTCGTGGCTCCTTGTCAATCAAGTTCAACCTCCTAGCCTTGTGGCTCCTTGTCAACCAAGTTCAACCCCCTAGCCTTGTGGCTCCTTGTCAGGGAATTTCCCCTGGTCTTCATGCGCGACTAACAAGATAAGCTTATGTATTGGTCGTTCGAAATAACGTTGTTGGAAGATTCGCTTCCCGCGACTGTTTATCTTGGGGTCACCCATCACCAATTTAACCTTACGCACATGATTGTCCGAGGATGGGTAAACATCAACTACTCTGGCTAGCGTCCATTGGTTTCTTGGATTGTCGTCTTTCATTATTACGACATCACCTATACGGGCTTCACGCTGTGGGCAAGTCCATTTCTGACGTGATTGGAGACTCTGGAGAAACTCTCGCTTCCAACGCTTCCAGAATTCGTTAGCGAGATGCTGAACTCTCCTCCATCTTTTCCTAGAGTACAAGTCCTCTCGTTGGAAGTGTCCTGGAGGCGGCAACAGCACGTTGGTTTTCATCGTCAGAAGATGATTCGGTGTCAGGGGCTCAGGATGTGTAGGGTCATTCAAATTGTCGACAGTCAGAGGTCTGCTATTTACGATAGCTGCTGCTTCGTTCATGAGGGTGCGCAGGGACTCATCATCAAGCTGCTGTCCAGCTTCATACAGCAATGTTTCTAGCACACGACGTATACTGCGTATTTGTCTTTCCCATACACCTCCCATGTGACTAGCCGAAGGGACATTGAATTTGAAGTGAATATAATCACAGTCGTTCCTCAGAAGAAATTCCTGAATCTTGTCCTGGTGTGTATTACTACCTTCTCTTAGCTCAGCTATCTGAACGAAGCTGGCGCACAGGACCTCTAATGGATAGGAATCGTCGAAGAGCGTTGATGAAAGAGTCGGTTGTCATCGAATTTAGTGTCTCAATGTGCACAGCCCTAGAAGCCATACAACTGAAGAGGAGGCCGTACCTTTTCAGTTCCTTTCGGCCTTCTTTGATTACCCATGGACCAAACACGTCCATACAGCTGTATGTGAAGGGTGGTGTAGGCTCAACTCTGTCCTTAGGCAGGTTTGACATCTTCTGCCATTGAGATTCGCCACGTAGCCTACGACATGTGACACACTTCCTTATGAGTCTAGAGACTGTTGAGCTCCCAGATAAGACCCAGAAGCCGCTGGACCTCAGTTGGTTGATGGTCATACCTCGTCCCTGGTGTGCTGTCTGAATGTGACAATGTCGTATTATCAACTCTGTAATATGGTGGTCCTGAGGTAGAATAGCTGGATGCTTACTTTCATAGGAACCTTCAGCACAACTTAGGCGTCCACCTACTCTCAGTATCCCATCAGCGTCGATGAAAGGGTCAAGACGATGAAAGCGACTATACCCTTGCTGCTTACGCCTGTGTCTCTTGTTTGCATTCATCTCACTACCTTTACCAGACTGGTTCTGTATAGCTGTCAGTTCATTACTGAATGCATCTCTCTGTACGGTCTTCAGGATTTCACATTGTGCTTTGTTGAGTTCCTTTGTAGTAAGCTTCTGTAGCTCACCATGGAATGAAGTCTTCCCAGTGGTGGATGACTTGCTCAGACCTCGCTCTCGACATGGCCTTCTCAAATGCGCCTTCAGTCTCATGCAGTTTGCTACTGCTCTTTTAGCTCTGTGCCAAGAGGAAAATCTGTCCAAACGATCGATTTCAAAGGTACAAGGCTTAGAGTGACCATGTACAACGTTTGCATGAGCTTTCTTCACTTCTGGATCATCCAACTTCACATCAAACTTATCACCTTGAATGAACTTCTCTGCGTTGCTCTCCCACAGGAACTTTGGGCCAGTAAACCAAGAGGAAGACAGGAGTTGGTTGACTGTAGCTCCTCGAGAAGCAATATCAGCTGGGTTATCCTGTGTACCCACATGTCTCCATTGTGAGGGGGAAGAGTGTTGTCTAATCTGATGCACACGGTTGGCAACAAAGACATGAAAGCGCTTTGAGTCGTTACTAACGTAGCCCATTACTACATTGCTGTCCGTCCAATAGAACTCTTCAGTGTCTGAGGGTACAAACTCTCTCTGAAGAAATGCACTGACTCTAACTGAAACAACTGCAGCTGTCAGCTCCAGACGTGGTACAGTGATTGGTTTGAGAGGTACAACTCTGGCCTTCCCCATCAGGAGTGTACAATGCACCTTTCCTTTATCATTAGTCAGCCTTAGATATGTGCACTCGCCATAACCAGTAGTACTGGCATCAGAAAAATGATGAAGCTGCGTTGTCTTTACTTCTCCGAAATGTGCAGGCTTGTAGCATCTTTGTATGGAGATTGAGTCCAGATTATGCAAATCAGCTCTCCATTTCTCCCAGCTGCTTCTCTGTTCATCAGGCAGTTGATCATCCCAGTCTACTGCTTTCCTGCATAGTTCTTGCAAGATCTGTTTTCCTCGCAGTACAACTGGCGCCAGCAGACCCAATGGATCGTAGATTGACATAACTGTTGCTAAGACTCCTCTTCTTGTCAGGGGTTTGTCATGTAGAGTGAGCCTGAACTTAAGTGTGTCGGACTCAACACACCATAGAACTCCCAGAGCCTTTTCCATGGGTGAATCAACTCCCATAAGATCCGTCTTGGAGACTCCCTTCGCTCTATCAGGCTCCGGAACAGATTCCATTACTTCTCTGCTGTTAGATATGAACTTGTGTAGATGCAGTCCACTTTTCTTACACAGTTGTCTTGTTCTCGAAACTAGGTCGATAGCATCCTTTGTAGAAGGAACGGATTTCAAGCCATCGTCCACATAGAAATCCCGATGGATGAAGTCCTTCACATCATTTCCAAATTCGGCTGCGTGATCAGTAGCTGTCTGCTTCAAGCAAAAATTGGAGCAGCCTGGGGAGGAAGATGCGCCAAACAAATGGACAGTCATACGCAGCTCGATGGGTTCTCGAAGAATATCTCCGTCTTTCCACCACAAATATCTCAAGTAGTGACGGTGGTCTTCTCTCACCTTGAATTGGTGAAACATTTCCTTTATGTCGCAACTGAATGCAATCTCGTCTCTCCTGAATCTGCAGAGTACGCCTACGAGAGCATTTGTCAGGTCTGGTCCAGTGAGAAGATAATCGTTAAGGGATTCCCCCTTGTACTGTGCACTGCAGTCGTATACGACCCGAAGTTTGTTGGGCTGTATAACACCGTGGTGGGGAATATACCAGACTGGACTATCAGCTGTCTTGATTTCTGGTGCTAACTCTGCGTACCCTTTCTCTAAGAGTGCTTCCATCTTTTCTGTGTATCTACGGTGGTAGTTTGAATCTCTTTCAAACTTTCGTTTGAGATGTTGTAGTCTCTTGTTTGTCATATACCTGTTGTTTGGCAGATCTGGTTCCTTTTCCTTGAAGGGAAGTGGAGTTTCGTAATGTCCATCTTCTGTTAAGCGAACATTATTCTTCATGATGTTCATGAATCTGACATCATTATGTGAGGAAGGTTCGCTGTTGTCTCTTAGGTCCGAGAAGTCTGCTTCCATTATCCTCAGCACCGATGAAGGACTTATCTCTTCCTTGATGGTGACGTTGTGTGAGAACATCACCTTTTCCTTGGTTGCAGTTTTGCTTTCAGTCAGCTCAGGGAGTATCTCACAGGTGATTAATCGATGACTGAACCCTATTCTGTCGTCAGGGCTGACAGCAAACTCCTTCTGACTTGATATACCCACAACACACCAACCTAGATCTGTCTTCATCCCAAAGGGTCCATCATCATCGTCAGGAGAAAGAATTATGCTGCGAGGAATTAGAGCACGTGCACAATCATATCCGATCAGCAATTCTACCTCACAGTCTTGTAGTGGTAGCAGTTCTTCTGCAATTTCAGTCAGGTGAGGAAAGGACATAGCCACTTCAGGCACTGGAATATACTCCCTATTTGCGGGCATGATGTCTCGTGTATAGACTGCAGGGAGATCAATCGTCTTCATACTGTTGTGAGCACGAACCGTGAGTCCTTGAATTTTCTCACTAGGGATCCTCTCATCCTTCTTGGACATAGTAGAAAGAAGAAGATTCACCTTTGAACCTTGTAGATTCATGGCTTCCTTGGTAGATTCCAGCAAGAATGTGGTGTCCGACTGAGTATCCAATAATGCATATATCAGCCTTTCATCAAATCTGCCCTTCTGTGATATCCAGACTGGAACAACTGCTGAACACTTTACAGCCTGTTTCTTCAAGGTCATGTGGTTTACTGTTGTGTGAGAACTCGATGACCGGAGTTCTTCTGTTGCGTTAGAACTCTCATGATCAGACGATTGGATCTCCATTCTCACATCATCTCTCTCTTGTACTACTTGATTACTCCGATTGCAGTCTTCATGAAGAGAAGTGGGATGTCGCCGTTTGCAGACACTGCATGTGTCTCTCCTTCTGCATTCTCTTGATGTGTGTCCTCTTATGAGACAACCATAACACAGTCCATTGTCTCGTACGTAGGTCTTTCGCTCCTTCAAAGTCATTGAAAGGAACCTTTTACAAACTCCTAGTTGGTGGTTTTCCTTACAGAGCACACATACATACTCCTGCTTCTTTCCCTTTCTTGGATGCTGAGGGCGTTGATCTGTCGAGGCATACATGGATGTTGCGCCCGGAATCGTCCGCTGCTTGTCTACCTTCAGCTCCTTTACACTATACAAAGAGGTAATTGGGTCGCATGCGATATTGGCCTCCTCCTCAATGAAGTCACTGAACTCATGAAATGATGGGAAATTTCCATGGGTTTTCTTCCAATGAGCAACTTTCCTACCCCAACTCACAATCAGGTGGTCTGGGAGTTTAGCCAAGATCTTCCTATTTTCCCTCTCATCATTCAATTGAGCCAGATTTCCGATGGTTGTCATTGCTGTACAGCACTGTTTCACAAAGTCAGACAGCATTCGAAGACCTTGGCCATCTCTGTTGCTGATTCTGGGCCAAGAGTCCAATTTATCCCTGTAGGCGCTAGATAGGACAAAGGGATCTCCGTACCTCCTTTCTAGGGCCATCTTTGCTGCAGCATAAGAGTTGGTATCACCTAGCAATGCGTATCCTTGTACCAGTTGCAAGGGTTGGCCCTTTATGTACTTCAGAAGATAATAGAACTTATCTGCTGCGTTTATCTCTCTTCTTTCTATTAGGAGGTCGTAGCTTCTTTTCCAAGTTGGATATTGGAGGGGACTTCCATCGAACTGAGTGGGCTCTGGAGGGGGCAGGTGACTTATTCTCATCTGGTCCACTAAACTCGCTGCTAACGAGTTTCCCGTCTCAATGTCCTGAGCTCTTGGGTTAATCTTCTCCATCGTAGGTGGGTCATCTTTTGGTTCGGCGTTGACCCACTCTTCACAATCATTCTGTCGTTTTGGAGAAGGTTTAGAGGATTGTCTGGATGACGTCGATTGAGTTACAGAGCCTCCTTGTAGAACCTTCACTCTTTCGTGGGTTTGTTTCATCAGCTCTGCGTGCTGCTCCTCCACCTCTTCAATCTTGTCGAAGCTGTCATCATGCAATTTTAAGGACACCTTTATCTTGCTGAGAGAATCCTGAACTACCGTTGCCTTGTCCATAGCAGCTTGGACTTCATCTCTCTGTTGCTTGATAACCAATACAAGTTCTTCATCACTTAAAGCAGCTCTCAACTTATTGGCCGCTTGACGCCAACCTCTTAATGAATAACGAAACTCCAGTTCACGTTGGTCGTTTTGGTGCTGGAGTCCAAGTTCGGTTGGCTTCGGGTCGGATCTCGTTCGCTTAGCCTCTTCTTCCTCTGGCATCTTGTCGACAGTGAACAGTAACCAATCTTAGAGCCAGAAGTTTTCACTGTAACTGCAGCCAATCAATAACGACAAGTTAACAAGGTTTTTACGGGAGTGTTCTTTTATTCTTTGGTAGGAGCGTAGCTTCCTTTCTTTGACTCCTTTCTTTTAACTCTGTTCTTTTCACTCTGTGAAAACTGTGAGAAAACAAACAACAAAAAATGGGCATTAATTAAAATGCAATAATAATTACAGGTTCCTTATCCATGTAATAATTACAGGTTTCTTAATACAAATTTGGGCGTGACCCATAGGCATTATACCAAACCTTGCCATTTACTTAACCTTACTATTTCTTTGTGTTTCCTGAATAGTCTTCACACTTCTATAAATTAATACAACTTAAGTTCTTATACACAGATTCATCAACATAAATTCTTATACATGGGCACCTGCCTCAAAGTTATGGCATAAATATCAAAATTATACACATATTTCCCACAACTGAAACACTGCAAGCTTAAGTACTGACCTTCTTGCCTCCTTTTAGTCAATTAACTTGTCTGCAGCTAAGAATATGTTGCAATTAATCATCGATTTCTCATTGTTCTTCATTGATCATTGTTTGACTTTGAAACTCTGTCTATAAAAGTCTGTCGCCGAAGATGGCGCTCTAAACTTTTGGTCGACTAAATCAAATACAAATACCCTCCTTTATGTTTTCCTCCTTTCCCTTAATTTAAATTGATCTTAATTTCATGTGTGTGTTGCTAAAGATCTCTGTATTTTCAGGGGAAATGATGTTATTTAATGGAATATTAATTTGCCATTGATAAGTGTATAATCATTTTCTGTGGAAATTTGTCCTTCTGATTTTTGTGATATAAAGCAAAAATGACATATTTTGGAATCACCTTAAAATCAACCACTGGTCTCCTTTGCCTTTTGGTGCAGATTATAGCCACAAAATATAATCTAATATAGTATTGCACGTCCACCGTTTTATTGTAAATCATAGACTTCATGCACTGCCACTATGCCAGCACGTTGCACGGACATCCCAGTTTAGCTGTATGATAGCAGCCATCGGGATTATATCTACAAGTAACAAGCAATCACCATCTGGGATTATGCTCCAAATTCAAATTAAATGTATTTTTAATTTATCACTTCATGAGCAACCGACTGAAGCATATATCAGAAGAACTAGTCATGAAATTCAGTAGGAACCAAACTCTCCTTTCTTGCAAATAAAGTATTAGTTTCCATTATTGCCAACCTTCACAGATAAAGTCTGGTCTTCAGCTATGGAATGCCACAGGAGCAGACCTATCGTGGAAGCAGACTGGTAGGTCACCCTTTTATGTAGAGCAGCTGCAGCCAACGATTGTACCCTTGACTCCAAAAAGCCATACCAGTCCCATCTCACATCAAGTTTTCAGCAAGACTCCTACTAAGACTCCTATCAAGCAGTCTCCAAAGGTATGTGTACTTCTCTCTCACAAAAAAGTATGCCTTCCAGAATTCATCCTCAAAGTGTTTTCAAAGGGGATTGAAAGAATTAGTCAATATTGTCTGTTTAGAGCCAGGAGGGGGTTAACTCTGTGTATAATGATATGGTTTACAGGCATTTCGGATCTAAACAGATGATATATATAATCTATTTCATTATGTAGTCACTGTGTAGTTTACCTTTGATTGAGAACATGTCTGTAAGCCAGTATGGTGATGAATCAACTCCACCTGTGGTCAGACTAGTCATACAAATCTGTCTTAAAAAGTTTATCTTATATTTTCATACTAGTACAGAATTCTAATTTCAGGAATAGTGCCAGATATTTTAAAACTATGCAATCAGTTTAGTTTGATAGTATAGTATTAATGATTGCTTTGAGATAAATAGTTGTTTTTATACGCTCAAGGGAAGGTTACAATTGTGCTATTGCCCCGAGGCGTGCCGAGGGCAATAGCCCAATTGTAACCTTTCTCGAATACTAAAGCAGTCATTAATACTTTTATATGCCGAAAACAAAAGAGTCAACTAATGACACCACCTTGGCCTTTCTCTAGTTTATCTGCACGGTTGTTTTTTATGAGTGTATCTTTGAGAGTAGACTAGATCTAGATTCTAGTCTAAGCAAGATATTTTTACAATTTTGGGGGTGGGCCGGCCCTGTGGGGAATAGAGAGAAGAACCTGCGCTTTCATATGACATCTCACTTATTGAGTATCACCTTCAGGATCACAACAGATAAAAGTTTTAATCTCGAATCGAAAAAAAAAACTTGACTTTTTTTGCATGGTCGCGCAGTGCACGTAGACTGCATAGAGACTGCATTGCGTGTAATCTCTATGGGAAGAATATAGCACACAACATCGGGTGCGCAATCAGACACCCTGACAACTAGATCTATTTTCGTCTACGTCTATGCTGGTACTCCATTTTCAGCAACTAAACTCATGTTTATGGATAATTTCACGTACCTTTTTTGTTGTTCTTGCTGTCAGCGAGTCTTGCATTTGATAAGTTGAAATCTTGGGACAGTTTCTTTAGCCATTTTTGTCTTGTTTGGAATTGTCTTGTCTTGTATGAAAATACCGACCAATTCTTCGCACACGTACGGTATCTTTGATCAAACCATTTTTTAACATGTAAACCTATGGGGTAACCATGGAGACTGAACTATTTTCCCGGTAACCATGGTTACTGGGATTTTAGAACTGTTTTAACCATGGTTACTGGGAATTTTACAGAAATAGTTAAAGTTTATGAATGCAATTTCGACCAATCAGATGGCTGGATTTCTTAAGTGAGGTATATAATCTATTTTATTTTGATGCTATTGTGTGGTATGACATAGGTCTTAATGTGCAATATTCAAATCACCCCTCATAAAGTTTTTTTTTGCTTGTGAATTTACCAGGCTGTAGTACTATCAAACATAGGGAGTGTAGAAGAGAGCTTCAGTACGACGCAGTCCTTGGGTATGACGGTGCAATGCCTGGCTGAGCTAGCGGAGGAAGGACTGCTAGACTCAACATCTATGTCATCAGATAAATGTGGGTTTATTCCACAGGAGACAGCTCACAGGGTATGAATTTTGTATCTGGGGGTAATGTCCTCATGTTAGAGTAGAATTAGAAGTAGAAATTTGTAAACAATGTAGTAGAAATGGTAGTGATATTAGAATAATATAAGTGGTAGTGGTAGTTGTGATAGTGATAGTGGCAGTGGTAGTGGCAGCAGCAGCAGGTTTTAACACCAACAAAGCATCTCCTATCACTTAATGCAATCATTTTGATATGAGCAATGACGGTAATGTTTTCTGTCCAAATTCAATTCAACCTAGCTTTTTTACAGACATATTTTTTTCCTTGAAATCATGATGTAGATGGTGTGAATAGCAAAACTATTCATACTAACTTTTGATGATGTTTTTTTTCAGGTGGACAGCCCAGAGAATCGGCTGAGTGATGACCAGTTGACCCTCTTAGAAGATCTGTCTAGTTTAGTGAACTCACCCACTATGAGTGATGCTGTCATACAGATAGATGATGGCAGTAAACTTCATGTGCATAGCTTCATGATCCAACTGAGATGCCCCGCCTTAGCAACGGTAAGTATGCCCATTAGGTTGGGGAATTGCTTTGGAAATGATACTGTGACACAAAGAAAGTTTGGTTTTCATTTGGTTTATTCTCATTTAGGTCATTGTAATTAATCTCAAGGGTAATATAAAATTATTACGATGTTGATTCATTATTGGATATTGATATTGACATAGCTGCCAACCAATGTTATTACGGAGAAATTATTCTGATGATTCTGCCTTCAAACTAATGTTATGAACCCTATATTCCTCAAGTTTTCTGATCACATCTGTATAAAATGATGTCAATACACTATATCCTTAATTTTGGCATTGGAAATTCAAGTTTTGCTGTGGAAGGTTGCCAGATGCATTTAAAACCCTCTAAAGTGTTGGGGGCCTAAATTCGCCAACAATTTGATGGTAAAATTTCACTTAAATTGTATCATAATGTAAAAGAAGATGTCATTTAAATGTCATACTTCTGCAAAAAACAAAACAAACAAAAAATGTGTTTGAAGGCAAATATTGATAAAAGAATACAAATTGTGGGTTTTTGTCTCGCCTGCGTAGCAAAAAGCGAGACATAGGCGCCGCTTTTCCGGTGACGGCGGCGGCGACGGCGACGGCGACGGCGACGGCGTCAACATCAAAAACTTAACCTAAGGTTAAGTTTTTGAATTTTTGGTATAATTTTTAAAGTATAAGTTCTTAGTCAATGAAACTTTGACTATATGGTAATCAAGTATCCCCAATCATGTGAGTAGAATTTCAGATCACAAAGTCAAGGTCAAAGGTCATTTCAGGTCAACAGACTTGGACTATGTTGTAGCATCATCATCGAAAACTTAACCTAAGGTTAAGTTTTTGAATTTTTGATATAATTTTGAAAGTATAAGTTCTTAGTCAATGAAACTTGGACTATAGGGTTATCAAGTCTCCCCAATCATGTGAGTAGAATTTCAGGTCTCTAAGTTAAGGTCAAATGCCATTTAAGGTCAACAAACTTAGACTTTGTTGTGGCATCAACATTAAGATTTTCAAAATGCTTCTTCTTAGTTATTTTTCAACCGATTTTGATTCTGATTGTTTCATATGATAGGGCTAGGAGGGGATTTAAAATTTCTACACAGAATCGTGAAATTCATTATCTATGCTAATTTATGCTAATTTATTCGAAATCACAAAAAAGGCTTCTTCTCCTTCATTTCTCGACCGATTTTGATTTGGTTTGCTTTATATGGTAGAGCTAACTTTGGTACACTAAACTTCTACACAGAATTTTGAAATTGTTCTCCATTAATTAATTATGGTAATTTATGCAAATTTATTCCAAAAATAACAAAAATTGCTTCTTTTCCCTCATTTCTTGACCAATTTTGCCTTATCTGGTAGAGCTAAATTTGGAGCAATAAACTTCTACACAGAATTGTGAGATTTTGCTCCATTGATTATTTATGGTACTTTATGCAAATGAAATGAAATTATGTCCCTTCCAGGGCATCAAATTTCTATTTTTTGACCAGTTCAAAAGTGTACCACATAAAATTTACGATATTTGTTGTTGTGAGATGCGGATGAGCGCTACGTCATTGACGTTCTGGTTTATCACATTGAATTGCGTTATGCAGGCGAGACCGCCGAGAGCGTTTCCCTTGTTTGTTGTACGCAGAAAACCTAAATTTTGTATTATTTCATCAATATTCGACTTCAAACACATTTGTTTTGAAAATCCTTAAATGACATTCTCTCTCACATTATGATACAATTTAAGTGAAATTCTTCATCAACTTTTGGGGCTCCCAACACTTTAGAGGGGCTTTAATGAGGATAGGGATGATGGTGGTGGTGGTGGTGGGGTGGTTGTGGTGGAGGTGGTAATGATGATGACGATGATGATGATTATAAAGAAGATGATGATGATGACAAATATAAGTAAGACGAAGGAGGTGATTGAAAAGTTTGATAAGTCAGATATTTCCTTTCATTATCCAGTAATGTTTATGTCGTTTTCATTTTCCAACAGCTTCTGGCTAAACCATTTGGGAGAAAAAGCACCGGCCTTCCATCCATTGTTGTGAGTGATATGGGCTATGAAGCAATGGAGAACGTTCTGAGTTATATTTATTCAGCCACTGTCAATATTACCAATGATACAGCAGTCGAAACCCACAAATTCGCTGAAAGGTAAGTGAATTTCCCTCTTAGTAAAATTATGTTTTAGGGTACAAGAGCTTCATTTTGGTGCATAATACATGAGCTTGTAAGTTGCTAATTCTGGGAAAGGTCATTGATTTGGGGTTATCAAAACCATAAAGAAAATATGGGTTGAGAATATGTTTGTACATACATTTTTTGAAAAAAATAGACAATTAAGCTATCTAGAGACATTTCTGAGCATAAAGTAAAGCTACGGAAATCTTTCTATCTATCTATCTATGTTCCATAGCTTGAAGGCCGTTGGGGTGACAATGAAACGGACCTTGAGACACAGGTTCTACATAACTTTCTGCCTTCAGCTGTTCTAGTTACCTGCTCAAATGGCACTCACATCCACTGTTTGATGTTATTAGTCAGAAATAGATACAAGCAATTATTGCAAGATAATGTTACACTTTACTTTTACATCTCTATGTTTGCCAAATAGATTTGAAATGGCCGATTTAGCCTCACACTGCAAGCCATATCTTCAGGATGACACTGACTCTAAGATAACACGGAAAGAAAGTGAGCTGGACATTGTGGATAAAGACCTCAACCAACTCATCGACAGTCTGTGGGAAGATGAAGAAGATGACAAGGAGGAGAAAAATAGAGATGCTGGTAGAACGTCGGATGATGACGTGAATGATGCCCTCGACGATGATGAGATCAAAGAGATTTATGAGTCATCCCAACGATTCAGGACGATAATGTTGGAAGATGAGGAGTTGGAGGATGATTCCCCCTTTAGGGAATTTGTCCACTCTAGTGTCAGCAGCCCGAAGAATATCGAGAATGATGGTGAAAGGATGATGGATGAGGAGGAGAAGGAGGAGGAGGAGCTTCACAAGATGATGTTGACACAAGGGTGTAGACGGGGTAATACCAGTAGTTACTGTTCCCGTGACAACAGCAATAGTGATGGTGATAATGAGGATTGGAGCATGGCAATAGATGATGAAGTGGTAGTACAAGGTGAAGTAAATGCCCAATGCGTGACCCCCTTAGCAAAGAGGACTACTGATGAAAGGAAAGATATGATTGGAGAGAACTTAAATGAGTGTACTGAAGACATCGTTGATGAAACTCCAAAGGAAACATATCATAGCAGAAGGAGGGTCAGTGTTAGTTCCTCATCAACAAATGAAACAATTACTGATGAACATCATCATATGTCGTTTGAGGAAAGTCATCATTCTTTCTTAAATCAGACACTAGTGTGTGAGAGTAATGTCAGTGCAATATCCGTGACGGACCGTCAGAAGAAAAGGAAGGCATCCCCAGAGACTTCAAACATATCTAAGGGTGGCAGTATGGGTTTAGAATGTGGTGATGGGGTCAAAGTTTTGCATAAGCGCTTTTTGGATGCTGGTGTAGAGCACTCAGAGAGTCCTGATGACGAAGTACTATTCCTTCGGATGGATTCTGCAGAATCTGAGAGTGATGGGCAGAACAGAACTTTGGAGAAGAGTCTGCAAAGTGTACGGGAAACAAGTTTACAGGTAGAAAATAGTACAGGGTTGAACGGTAAGGTCCAAGATCGTGGCTTTGATGACATTGATCAAGGGAGATTAAGTTCTTCAAGGAAAAAGAAACTGTTGATACAGCAATACTCTCCACAGACTGATTCTGATGATAATCGCTCACCACCAGAGCAAGTAGCATCTCATGATGGGAATGAGATACAAGTGGTTAGGATAAAGGAATCAGAGTCTGGAGAAATCATAGATAAGATCCATCGTAACTCTTCAGTAGTTCTTAAGAAACTCTCCATGACCTTAAAGTGTAATAAGCTTGATAAAGATGGCGAATCAAGGCAGAAAAGGCTTGCATCGCAGTCATCAACAGAAAACCATGATGATCGAGGATTCAAAAAAAGACAAGGGTCCTTAGATTGGAGTCTCTCTGAAGATATTCTATCTCCATCACCACCACCATCGCCCAAATTTTCCAAGGCATCTCAGATTCCAAGGTTGGAGAAAATGGTAGAGAGTAAAAGAGGTCCAGTCAGCAGAAATAATCATTTAGGATTGGATCACAGCAGGAGTTTGAAAGCATCCCCGAAGATCAAAGCAGAGAGCCTTGAGGAGGAGGAGGAGGATGATCCATACCAACTCTCTCCATCATCTTCAACTTCTTCAAGAAAAGGGAGCAAGCATCCATCCTCTTCCAAGCGCAAGAAGAAAATGAGGGTTAAAAGAGAAACCCCGCAACGTGGGAATGGCAGCAGCTTGTCTAGCCCTTCCTTTGAATCCAGTGCAAGCTCCAAAGACACTAACAGAAGATGGTCCAGTCTAAAGATGGACCAGGATCTTCCCTCCTGCAGATCTAGAGACTCGTTTCATTGTGAAGCATCACCTGAGCTGATGCATGACTTATCTCCTTCCACTTCTCCACCCGTATTGCATAGAATATCACCGTCTCCTTCCTTTGAAAGGTCTCCACCTCCTGGAGCCTCTTCTGTTCCATTGCATAGAATATCACTGTCTCCTTCCATGGAAAGATCTTCAGCTCCTGGAGCCTCTCCTGTTCCAGGTGCTTCTCCTGCTGTATCAACATCTCCTTCAGTATCGTCCAGGCAGTCTCCATACCCTGCCATGCAGGACATGGATGAGGAGCCAGAAGAGAGATTTGCCTATGACATGGAGGAGGGATGCGGTTATAATGACTTCCATGTTGGGATGGATCATCCAAATGATGAGGATGATGATAGTGATGCAGGAATTGCACACCAGAATGAGAAGTCCGTGAAAGATGGGGAAGGGTCTCACAGAATTGGTGAAATAAGTGAAGGCATTATGACTGGGAGTCATCAAAATGAACACTTTGAAGAAGAAAATGAAATTGACTTAACACATGAGGAGGAGGAGAAGGAAGACAGACTCATGGATGATGTTCACCTCCCTTCTTCAGCCTTCAGAGATAGGAGTCGTGATGGTAGTGGTTTTCCAATGCAAGTTGGTCACAAAGAGCCTGAACAGAAAGATGAATATAACAATATCGGAACCCCACATGTCAAACATTATCAGGTGAGCTAATGACATAGTTACATGTACAATTGCAATAATGGAAATTAGTTAAATTCTTCACAGTTGTAATGGGATAATGGTCTTAGGATTATTAATTGCAATTAGGGCACCCCTATATATTTTTCATGACACATTCAGGTATATTGATTCCTCATAATTGTGTCCCATATTTGTATTATTAGTGAAATAACCTATAAACTGTTTTTAAACTAATAAGGTGGTCTATATATGGCACAAAAATAGATTAAAAGTAACCTTGTATATACAAACAAAAAGATGTCCACTTGTGCCAGATCCTCTGATAAGTGCTGGACTTTGTGTATGGTATTATGGAAACATGAAATAAATATTGACTTCTGTTAAAAATGTTTTCAGAGACCACTTTTAGGAGGAGGACCAGGAGATGGACCAAAAGGTCATAGACTTTCTCAATCATTGACAACAACCCCTAGAACTTCACAGTCAAACGCAGTCTCCACAGGTATACTTAGTTATGTTAAAACCAAAGTTGTACTAAAGTGTATTTAGAGCAAATAAGAAGACCTTGCAGATTAAAAACAAAATTGGGATGCACCTGTAAAAGTGAAAATAGGGCCTTTAAAAATATTTGTTTGATACATTTTGAAAAAAAATTACAATTTCTATGTATGTTTTTGACAAATAAATGGCCAAACAAATAAGATTAGTGTTATTGGTAGGGTCAGTTGGAAATTCAAAATTATTCAACATGGTCTCATGACCACTCCCATTGTTTTATTGATACTGTATTGTTATCAGATATGATCATCACAAGGAGGTAATTATATTCATTGAATACGCTTAGCTCCTTATGGCAGCATATCTAAAGCCAAGATACTAGTATTATTTTGTAGGTGCCTTGAGCATCCCCTGGGACGGGTATGTGTGCAACATGAATGTAGTTATTATTGTTTTTAAATCGATGGAACACTACCTATAATTCATTCACAATTTGATCAGACTTTATGGTTGAAAAGAACAAAATATTAAGTTAAAGATTGGTGCTGCAGCGTAATGCAGTGTGAGTGAGCCGTCCATGTAACAGAAAAATTGCTGTATCCTGATTGACATTATTAGGTGCTGTTCTGAAGACACCGTCGATATCCCGTCTGATAAGAGACGAGTATTACCCTCCAGCTCCAATCACCCCGATGCCCAACTATGACTCTATGATGACTCCAGAACTCAAGGTAGGCATCACTAATAGTTTTCTTTTCTAAAGCCAGTTGTATCAGTTTGACCTGGTTATGAAAGTAGTTGAATTGCAGTAAACTTTTTCTCTCAGTGTCATCATCATTTATCGTCCATTTTTCCCATGCAGTGGAGTTGGACGCTTCATTTCCCTTTAATATGGCTTCCGCTTGAGTGAGGTCTCCTTCCAAGTTGTAGGTTTTGAAAATTTGGCAGCATGAGAAATATATATCCCTGAAAGTTTCAGGAAAAAGGATTGATGTTTAGAGAGAGAAAATTTGATATTGATTTACAGTAAGAGTTCCCTTTTTGAAATGATCTATGCATAATATTGGTGTTGTTTGATTTAATCTGATTTGATTGAGTTTTATTTTGACGAGGTAGCCTCATCAGAAAACAAAATACTTTTCTTCCTTGGGGAATTGTATGAAAGCCAGATTAAACGGTTGAATTATAAATTCATAAAACATAATACAGAATCAACAAATAGGGTAACAAATGTTGAGATATATTAAATATGACATTAGTTTAGTAATAAACCATTGTATCACATTATTGTGATTCATTTAAGAATTTATTAATGGATTTCACAACATTACTTATAATGTTTTATACTATTTTTACATTCAGAAAGAGCTGAAGAGGTATGGAGTTAAGCCCCTAGGTAAAAAGAAGGCCAAGCTACTACTGTCTGAAATATATTCTTATTTACATCAAGGTAAGAATTATTGAGGTGTTTTTTTGTTTTATAGGAATATTCTTTATCATATGGCCAAGATTAAGAAGCTTTATGATAACCTATCTAGGAAGGGCATTCCTCAGAGTCACTTATTATTACCATTTTTATAAGTAGGTTCAATCTAAAAATACATGCATGTGTCTAAAAAGCCTATTCTCAAGCTTATGTATCTGTTTTTCATTTGCTCTATGTGTCAAATGTATAAAATGTATTTTCTTACCTTGTATATTCTTCTGGTTTTTAATGTGGAAAATAAATGAAATGAAATGAAAAATGAAATATGTGTAGGTGCAATGTTACAGGGAAGAGGTGAATATTTCTCTCCCTATGATACGCCATATTTGTCCCAAAATGTTGACACCCTGTTTGTTTTGTTTTTTAAATTTTTTATTCATTGCTTATCAGAGACTTTGAACACTTTAATGCTTCATAGAAACATGAAACTGATTTTCTTTTGATTGTTAGAGATTTTTTAAGGTATGTGCCCTCATACAAAGAGTCAGCTTACACCAAGGCATACATGTACATGCATACTTATACCCATGCTTCTCAAATGAGAAACATGACTATTAGTATATACAGTCAAACTTGTCTACGGCGACCGCCCAAGGGAAACATAAAAAAGGGTCTTGGTAGACAGTTGGTCTTTGTAGACAGGTTCATTTAGTACATGTTTCAATGAGAAACCATTTTCAAGGGAAACAAACAATGTGCTTGTTGTAGACAGGTGGTCACTAAAGCAGGTTAGACTGTATAATCATCTTTCTTTCTTTCTCCCAGTCATGCCAGGAGATGAATCCGATGAAGACACATCATCCACCGCCATGACCAAAGCAGAGCCGGAACCATCCAAGGGAAGATCTAAAAAGGGAAAGGCCACAACAAAGCAGAAACCAGCAACAAAGAGAGGCAAAGCTCAGCCAAAGCCAAGGGAGGAGTCTTCATCCGATGATAGACAATTCAAGGAAACGAACAATAAGAAATCCAATATCCAGAAGAAGCAGACTAAGCCAAGGAAACGCAAGAAAGCAGAGGGATGTCTGGACGAGACACCGACGAAGAGGGTGAAGACGGAGATACCTTTGAAGGAGAGGATCCTGGATACTGCCAGGAGGGGCGTAGAAACAGAGGATAGCACAGGCTTGGATGAGCCAGTGTCTAGCCAAGGTAGTCATAGCTCAAGTATTGATAGGTGAGTCGAGTCTTTCTTGTGAGCAACTGCCTATCTTTTTAGAAGCATTCTTGGTCTGTCTCGTAAAGAGTTCCAGCCCTCCAATCAATCGCAAGTTTGCAGTCTCTTATCTCTTACGTACATAGTTCTGATTGATATTGATTGCAAATAAGTTGAGATTGATAACAACTGTTTATAAGATGGGGCCCTAGGACCTGTTTTACAAAGCCTGTTTTCAATGACAAATGACAAAAATCAGTAACAAATCTGCTGATAACCAAACAGAACCAAGGATTTCACTAGCTTATAACAAAAAACTGTCATTTGTCACTGATGACAAGTTAGTCGAATTGAAATCAGATTTACAAGATTGTTTTTTAAACTAAAAGAATGCAAAAATTGATCATATCAAAGTTCAACTGATATGGAAATTATAATTTGCTATATTTCAAGGAGAAAAATGGGCATAAGTTTCAGATTTGTTACCGGCATTTATGTCGTTTTTTTACCTTGCAAAGATTATATGTCTACGGGTATGCTATATCTTGTATAGATGAATAGATGAATGACATTGTTAGAATAGGGATAGATGTTATACATATACTTAAGGGTAGCACATTATCTCCAAATGTAATTGTCATGATTTGCAATATTTATTCTGTATCTGTTTTTTTTTTAACCAGAGAATAACACCAAGATGATTTATTACAAGATATATTAGTAATGTTTGTTCAATAATTTAATATTCATGTTTCATGTATTCATGTTTACAGTAATAAGAGTGACTTTGGAGAAAGCATTTACTATGAGGACATGGAAGATGAAGATGACGATGTCATGGAAACACAACAGGTGTGAATTCTTCTGATTTTAATTGAATGCAATACTGGTATATATATATTACATTTTAAATTCATTATCATGCATAAGAAAGTTTTGCGCAGTGCTCTAACAGGACTCTAAGATTTTCACTTGTTTTTCACAATTATTATGAAACTGTTACAATAAATATCTTGACAGAGGTAAGATAGCAGAGCCCACCTCCATTTTAATGGGATTTAACTCCTGTGAAAGAATAATATGATGTAAAAATTAGGAAAAAGCTGCCAACCACTACCACTGAGGGTAATTATAATTGACATGTCTTCATTTTTTGGTCATTTCTTAAGTAGATCAAGGCCCCGTCTTACAAAGAGTTTTATATCACTCACTACTTATTTGCAATTGAAATAGGATAGGAGACTGCAAACTTGCGATTGATTGGAGGACTTGCGATTTATTTGGTTCAATCGTAACTCTTTGTAAGACGGGGCCCAGACCTATAGTTAATATAATATGTACTTTTTTTCTGTGTGACACATCAGGAACAAGATATGTCCACCGAGGTAAAGAGATATATCATGAGGAATAAGGAGCTACATCAGAAGATCCTCCACTATGAGGTAAGCACAAACATTGCTATGTCAAGAACATTTTGTTCCTTTTCAGTTGATTTGTTAGTTCATGAAGAGATGAAATGATGATGCCCTCATAAGAATGCTAGATTAGGAGAATATAATCTTTTGAAAATGATGTACTACCCTAAGAGCATGATTACATTTTATGCAGAATATAAGGCAAGTTTTTATTGTTAGTCTTGTGCCTCTTCCAGTTTTATTTCCCAATTTCTTGTAGTGTTTACTGAGCAATTATACATTTTTATTTAAAGTTTGTGCGGCAGATATTTATTTGTAGTCTTTAACATTAACATACATTTTATTGGAATTGGGTGTAGGCTTTAAAAAAAAATATATTATAGCATTCGTTGTTCTCCCATCCTCACAACTGAGGGTCGAGGGTCATGGATTCATTCACTAATTCTCTCCACTGCCACCTCTCTCTCTCTCTCTCTCTCTCTGTTTCTCTGCTTCTGTGCATTCTGCAAGGGATCTCCCTGTCCACTGTTTGATATCATCTGTCCATCTCCTGCTTTGCCTTCCTCTTGACCTTATCTCATTGGTTTGACCCTCAAGGATGCGGGTACAGAGATTTCGGGCCCTGATGATGTGTCCCACATTTTAGCATTATCACAATTAAAAGGTTGCCATGAATAAATTAGGTTATTATTTTTTTCAGGCGTTGAATCTGGAAGAGTTTTACAAAGAACTGAAAGAAGCAAAAGTACAGTGTTCTAAAGTCAAGCTTGTGGAGTTTCTAGATCATCAAGTAAGTCATGTCATATGAATGGACATTACTTGTACTTATTTTTTCAGTAGTCTAATGATGATTGTAGAAGTATACCAAGACGTTATGTATCTGGATCATTGATTTAAAGAAGTTTATGAGCAATATTTCATAAATTTTCTAAGACTTATGTTGGAAAATATTATAAAGAATAAATATTCATGCAGTTAGTGCTATTTAATGAATATTTTTTGTTAAATCTTAGGGCAAGACAGAAGGCTTTATGTTCGTTAAGTGTCAAAACACACACTTCTCCATCATGAAATAAAAAATGTGTGTTTACAGTGTGTTATAGTACAAATAACCAGGTCTTTGTGCTATACTTGACATTGTGTCTGTCCCTCATATACAACAGAAGAGTATAAAATCAAGGATTATTGATTATTCATATTTGACATTAGCCACTAAAAAGAGTTTTCACAACTGTATGACTTACCATATTAATGTTATTGAATTAAACTAAAAGCATATTATTGAAATCAAATGGGTCACTAGTTCGATTCAAACTTATTATTTTCATTGTGATTTTTATTCTTCAAAAATATTAATGTTCCTCTATCTCAAGTTACGTTACTCTGTATGATGTACCTCACCATAAGCATTATGTATTGCAACGTGTCTGACACGGCCGGTTGTAGCAACTACTCCGAAGATCAAGATTTAATCTTGATCTAAGGAGACACAAACGAACGAACGATTGTCTCTCTTTCTCTCTCTTTCTGTCTTTTGTCTTTCAGTCTTTGTAATTTGAACAGTTAATTTCTTTTTGCTCCCACATTTTTTAGTGTAAGAGCTGAACAAAAACATTTTAACCATACTTGAGATATCAACTAGAAATATTGCATTTTATCAATTATAGGGCTGAGAAATGATTTTCTATGCCATTATTCTCTTATTTTGTCTCCAGTGTATCACCTTTCGAGGCCAAGGAGGCAGTCGACAGCGCAAACCAAAGAATACCAAGACCAAGACCAAGACCAAGAGATAACCAAAGTCCTTCACTCTACTCGTTCATCAAGCAGAACAAAACCATTTTAGCCTACTTTGACAAAGATCTTATGCAGATTGGTTCTGTGTGGGATCCGAGATAATTTTGAGAGTGGAATTGGGTTCCATTCTCAAGACACAGAGAAGGCGTAAAACTCACCCTTGAGGTCAGATGAAAGCGCAGTAATGGCTGGTGTCACAGTGAGAGCAAAATATACTGTGATCCTTAAAAATCACTGAAGAGGTTCATCTGATTGGTGATGTAACTTGAAAACTTGGTAATTTTTCTTCTGATTGTGAAGAAAGATGTTGTTTTCAAGTTCATTTCACATTGTGTTCCCTTTAATTTGTTGGTATTCACAACTTCCTGAAAACTGTTTACATGATTTCCATTGGAATTGGAAATTGGAATTACAAAAGTAATGGAAAACAAAAGAGATTTATATCATGACTATGTGTTAACATAATGCTGCATGTAATTCATAGAATAAGACCTATGAATTTGGGTTTGTTAATGTATATGGCTTTAAAAGCTATTGTGTATTTTGGTTATGGAATAAAATTTTGAGTCAGCATTGTTTATCAATTACTTGATGGGTTTATTGAATCAGAATATTTGATCACATTCATGATATTTTGATGGAAATTATACTTAATAAAAAGCTCAATTGCTCGCATTTACACGCTGGAGTAATTTGATTAGAGTACTGTCTAGATTTCTTTGTGTTTTTTTTTGCTCATCACTCAGGTATTACGATCTCACTTATCCAGATAAATCATAAATCTTATTGTTTTCAATCAAGTATCAGGTTATCTCAAATATGTGCAATAAACATGAATAATGCAATGCAGTGATTTTATGTTGATCATGCAGTATTCTTGGTTTACTGGTGTATAGTACTGATTGAACAGTAGGGCCTATATACAGCAAATGGCATGGTGCAGAGTGAAGCCTGCCCCCCCTTTTATATATAAAGAAATTAACTACAACTGCATGACATGCTACCTTTCTGTCTAGTAATTAAATTATTGTCTATTCTTGGAAGTGGCTTTTAGAATTTAAACCTTGCTTATAACTTAGTTGTGGTTTGTTCACTTATTTATGGAATACCAAGTGTCAACCATTTGATTCCATATAAATTACTGTTATTATGAAACAAAACTGATAAGTAAAATTAATTTGGTCATAAAATGATTATTGAGAAAGTAATTTCACAATGACAAGTTTGTTTGTTTGGTGGTGTTTTTTTGTCACAAAATTATGACAATTAACGGAGGACGAAGAGACTGATGGTTGCACACCATAAATCAATGGACCATCAAAATCTGTCTAGGTGTGGTTTGAACCTGGCCTTAAATGGGGTAGCTTTCAAGAATAGAGGTCCTAGTTCTAACTGTGTTGTAAATGAAGCTAAAGATGGTACCCTTCAAGCATACAGAAAATTTACTCCTTATTTGATCAATAGTTGATCGTTGATAGTTTGATCGATGTGCAATTTTGTATGTATCTTGAAGATAAGAATATTCTTGATCTCGCTTCACAAGTGTCCTAATATAAGATAAATATTATATTTATGTTCTTGTTTTGCCAAATATTATATTTATGTTCTTGTTTTGCCAAGCTTAGTTGTGCTTATTTCTGCCCAAGGCTTGCTCTGTAAAGAAAAAGTAATAGTATTTATATGAAAAACTTTAAATAGTATTTTGATGTTTCAAATATATTACTGCTTCTTACCTTAAAATGTCAAAACATTGGGAGGCCTATGGTTGAGAACTGCGAAGAATAGGAATGAAGCATGTTTGTGATAGAAAGTTTTTGAATCAATTATCACCAAACTCAAAGATTCATTCCATAAACAGGGAATGTATGATCCACACGGCTTATTTTGAATCGGGGGTTATCATGTCCGGTCAGATGGTCGCGTTACACGACCTTTCGCGAAAACGCTTGAGAACACGACCTTTTGTAGCTTAATTTTGCTGTGGGTTTTCACAACGTGTCAGATAAATTAGACCAAACAAGTTGTAGATGAGAGGAGTTTATTTCACAAACATTGCCCACGAAATTTCGTGAATAAAGGGGCATGTTTTCACAAAAGGTCGGGTAACGTGATGACCTGACCCGAAGCGATGACCCAATGATTTGAAGTAAGACTATCCTCACAAACCTTTTCATGTATTCATTTGTCTCATTAATTGTATGTTACAAACATTTCTTTCAAGAGAGAAAGGGGTCTCTGTTGCAATAAAAGTGTTTTAAAAATCCATTTTAATCGTTGTCTGTCTTGTGATTTTATTTCCCATAGTATTTCTATAGATACTTATAGTCAATGTTACAATTTTCATGCAGACTAATATATTTAACCACATTTTTTTGTGGTATGGGGAAGATCTGACTCAGATTTGTTGCATTTTCTCTAGTGGCTGTGGTATGCATTTACAACAGTGAGGGAAAGATATGACAAAAGATAAACACAGAAATAATAGTGACAAATGTAAATGCTAAAATCAAGGGGATATGTTGACTAAATTTTAAAATGTTAGGAAACTATTCTAAAATAGTGAAAATGTGGAAGTTTGTTAGGTTTGTATGTTTTTGCTGCTTTTGGGATGGGGGAGAAAGAGAAGGAGAGAGAGAGAGAGAGAGAGAGAAAAGAAGAAATGGGGGGGGGGGCAGCTTGTGTACTTGTGAGATGAAATAGTTCACTGTTACAATTTCATTTCACAGACTCATATTTAAAAAATATTGCTTAAATGATGATGAAAAAGAGAAGAAGGAAAAGGGAGAAAAAAAGTGGGGGCCGGAAGAAGGAGGAGGAAGAAGAACGAAATAAAGATTGAAAAGGGTCGGAGATCAGATGGAATAGGAGAAGTGAGAATAGGATAAACAATATGAAGGAGAGTAGTACATGTAGTAGGAAAACAAAACAAGATGTAAGTAGAATATAAAATGGTGGGGGACTAATCGAATTGACATTTTCCCAATTCATGAAACAAACAATATTTTTCCTTTTTATGAATACCTTGAACTTTAAAGGTACCATACGTGAGATCGACTAAAATTTCACATGTGAGTATTATTTATTGAAAATTTGAAATAGTCTATTGAACGTTTGACATTCATTTTTCAAGATTTTTAGTCTCATCATTGGCTACGAAGTAGATTTGTTGTATTGGTATAGAAAACAGGGATACATTTTCGTCCAAATGAGAAACAGATTACTCGACAGCTACAGTGCAGTCTGGAGTCACGACAGTAATCTACAGTCCCATATGCTAGCTTTTATGCTGCTATCAATGCACGCTGTGCCAAATGTTTTTAATTACTTTTACTTTTTGATTAGATCTACTTTTACTTTTAGTTCTTCAATTTTTCAAAACGATATTGTTTTGACACTCCTACGGAGCCCCGGAAGTGACATGGAGAAATTTTTTTTTTTCTCGTTTTCCTGAGATAAATTCTCGTTTTCCTGAGATAATTTTTCGTTTTCCTGAGATAAATTCTCGTTTTCCTGAGATAATTTTTCGTTTTCCTGAGATAAATTCTCGTTTTCCTGAGATAATTTTTCGTTTTCCTGAGATAACTCCCGTTTTCCTGAGATAAATTCTCGTTTTCCTGAGATAAATTCTCGTTTTCCTGAGATAATTTTTCGTTTTCCTGAGATAAATTCTCGTTTTCCTGAGATAATTTTTCGTTTTCCTGAGATAACTCCCGTTTTCCTGAGATAAATTCTCGTTTTCCTGAGATAAATTCTCGTTTTCCTGAGATAATTTTTCGTTTTCCTGAGATAACTCCCGTTTTCCTGAGATAAATTCTCGTTTTCCTGAGATAATTTTTCGTTTTCCTGAGATAATTTTTCGTTTTCCTGAGATAACTCCCGTTTTCCTGAGATAAATTCTCGTTTTCCTGAGATAACTCCCGTTTTCCTGAGATAAATTCTCGTTTTCCTGAGATAATTTTTCGTTTTCCTGAGATAATTTTTCGTTTTCCTGAGATAAATTCTCGTTTTCCTGAGATAATTTTTCGTTTTCCTGAGATAACTCCCGTTTTCCTGAGATAAATTCTCGTTTTCCTGAGATAAATTCTCGTTTTCCTGAGATAATTTTTCGTTTTCCTGAGATAACTCCCGTTTTCCTGAGATAAATTCTCGTTTTCCTGAGATAATTTTTCGTTTTCCTGAGATAACTCCCGTTTTCCTGAGATAAATTCTCGTTTTCCTGAGATAATTTTTCGTTTTCCTGAGATAATTTTTCGTTTTCCTGAGATAAATTCTCGTTTTCCTGAGATAATTTTTCGTTTTCCTGAGATAACTCCCGTTTTCCTGAGATAAATTCTCGTTTTCCTGAGATAATTTTTCGTTTTCCTGAGATAATTTTTCGTTTTCCTGAGATAAATTCTCGTTTTCCTGAGATAATTTTTCGTTTTCCTGAGATAAATTCTCGTTTTCCTGAGATAATTTTTCGTTTTCCTGAGATAAATTCTCGTTTTCCTGAGATAATTTTTCGTTTTCCTGAGATAACTCCCGTTTTCCTGAGATAAATTCTCGTTTTCCTGAGATAAATTCTCGTTTTCCTGAGATAATTTTTCGTTTTCCTGAGATAAATTCTCGTTTTCCTGAGATAATTTTTCGTTTTCCTGAGATAACTCCCGTTTTCCTGAGATAAATTCTTGTTTTCCTGAGATAAATTCTCGTTTTCCTGAGATAATTTTTCGTTTTCCTGAGATAAATTCTCGTTTTCCTGAGATAATATTTCGTTTTCCTGAGATAAATTCTCGTTTTCCTGAGATAATATTTCAATGAACAGTTAAAATGAATTGAAAAAATACAATTTTCTTCTAATTTTATAACGTTTTGGCATCTGAATGCCCCCCCCCCCCTGAGTACGATGTCATATATATTTACTGTAAATTGCGAGCGAACAGACTGCCCGATTACAATAGGGGACAGCCCACGAGGCTGACGGCCGTCGGCCTCGTGGGCTGTCCCCTATTGTAATCGGGCAGTCTGTTAATAAAGTGTTCTTGAATCAAGATAGATTTATCATCCAAATTGGTATTGTACCTAAATTTGTACGAGTAAGACTAGTGTCTTTTATTTGTTAATTGCGCTCTTCGCTCGCTCGCAATTTACAGTAAATATATATGACATCGTACTCAGGGGGGGGGGGGGCATTCAGATGCCAAAACGTTATAAAATTAGAAGAAAATTGTATTTTTTCAATTCATTTTAACTGTTCATTTTACAACGGAAATTATCTCAGGAAAACGAAATATTATCTCAGGAAAACGAGAATTTATCTCAGGAAAACGAAATATTATCTCAGGAAAACGAGAATTTATCTCAGGAAAACGAAATATTATCTCAGGAAAACGAGAATTTATCTCAGGAAAACGAGAATTTATCTCAGGAAAACGAGAATTTATCTCAGGAAAACGGGAATTATCTCAGGAAAACGAAATATTATCTCAGGAAAACGAGAATTTATCTCAGGAAAACGAAAAATTATCTCAGGAAAACGAGAATTTATCTCAGGAAAACGGGAATTATCTCAGGAAAACGAAATATTATCTCAGGAAAACGAGAATTTATCTCAGGAAAACGAAAAATTATCTCAGGAAAACGAGAATTTATCTCAGGAAAACGAGAATTATCTCAGGAAAACGAAATATTATCTCAGGAAAACGAGAATTTATCTCAGGAAAACGGGAGTTATCTCAGGAAAACGAAAAATTATCTCAGGAAAACGAGAATTTATCTCAGGAAAACGAAAAATTATCTCAGGAAAACGAGAATTTATCTCAGGAAAACGGGAGTTATCTCAGGAAAACGAAAAATTATCTCAGGAAAACGAGAATTTATCTCAGGAAAACGGGAATTATCTCAGGAAAACGAAAAATTATCTCAGGAAAACGAGAATTTATCTCAGGAAAACGAAAAATTATCTCAGGAAAACGAGAATTTATCTCAGGAAAACGAGAATTTATCTCAGGAAAACGGGAGTTATCTCAGGAAAACGAAAAATTATCTCAGGAAAACGAGAATTTATCTCAGGAAAACGAAAAATTATCTCAGGAAAACGAAAAAATATCTCAGGAAAACGAGAATTTATCTCAGGAAAACGAGAATTTATCTCAGGAAAACGAAAAATTATCTCAGGAAAACGAAAAATTATCTCAGGAAAACGGGAATTATCTCAGGAAAACGAAAAATTATCTCAGGAAAACGAGAATTTATCTCAGGAAAACGAAAAATTATCTCAGGAAAACGAAAAATTATCTCAGGAAAACGAGAATTTATCTCAGGAAAACGAAAAATTATCTCAGGAAAACGAAAAATTATCTCAGGAAAACGAGAATTTATCTCAGGAAAACGAGAAAAAAAAAAATTCTCCATGTCACTTCCGGGGCTCCGTACACTCCTTTGAAAAGTCTCAAAATAAATTATTGTTCAAAAGAGCTTTTTCTGTTCATTTATATTTATAATGTGCTGCAATTTCTGCAGTTTTAAATTTCATTATTTTTTTTCTTTCTGTGAATTTGAGTTTTGTTGTGTTTTAACCAGATCGAGCCCTTAATTAGTTTTTTTTCTTCTTCTCCCTGTTCTTGTGAGAGAAAAAAAATCAAATATAACCACCACTCGTGCCTTATTTGGTTCAATGCATATACACTCAACTTTTGTGTCAATAACAAGGTTTTCTGGGATAAATAAATTGGAGAAAAATGAAGAAAAAAAGGTAAATTTTCAGTTTGACTTTCTTTAAAAAGTAAAAGAAAGTTCTTGTATTCTAGCAATTCATCTCCATCCTCTTGCTTGCAAAGTTGTTTGAAAAGAATAAAATAAAGAAAAAGGTAATGTAACTTCAACTCCAAGTATAAATTAATAGATGCACGTTAGCAGAATTTTTTCAATAAGTGTAGGCCTACCTAGTTGAGAAATTTGTCATTAACTTGAATAAGATGATGAATGCTTAGTATTACATGTTCTAATAACGGTTACTTAATCTTTTACTGGACTGTATCTTGTATTCTATGCTTTTATTGAAAGTAAGTCAATACCTTGATGGACTTCTCTTTTAAAGTTTGTATGATTCTTTCTGATAGGTTTGTTGCTAGAAGCTTGATTAGGTCAGGAGTCATGTCGGCAACTAGTGGAGTAGTCCAGCGTCTGGAGCAACGAGCTCAGCTGGCAGATGAAATCATCTTGAGACTCCAGCAACAGGTTGGGCAACTCCGCAGGACAATTGGTAGGTTCTCAATTTCTCCATATCTCAAGCTGTACCAATTGGAATAAGAGTAAACCTACTCAGTTAGAGTTAGCATATTCCAAAATCACAATGCATTCACATCTGACCGTTAAGTTTTAAATTTTTTAAAGTACTAATTTCTTTTACTGAAATATACATTTGTATCCAGATTATCACATTTGCTTACCACCTTTACAGAGTCCTTCAATTCAGCCAAAGTCCTGGCTTTTAACATACTAAACAATATCTCATTTAACACTGTGGTAACTTGACTTTCATGGCTGTGTCTCTATCCTTTAGTGGGTCGTGAGGAGCAACGCTTGGCTGAGGAGAATAGTCTTCTGAGACAGGAGGTTACCCAGCTGAAGGCCACACTGGTTGGAGCAGAAACAAGAAACGGTGGTTAGTTGATTTCAAACTTTACCTTAGCTATGCTTATCATATTGAGGTGCCAGTGACACAAAGACGTAACTCCATTTTGGCCATTTTGAGAAAAAGTGGTTTATGTGTCACTGAGCACTTGAGCCTTAAGGAGTTAAGTCTATATTTCACTAGCCATTGATTTCAATGGGGTGTTGGGTGGAGTTAAGTCTTTGTGTTTCCTGGAAAGCCCACATTTTTCTGAACATTTTGTTAAAACACACGTAGTCCCAATTTTTGAATTGATTCAATTTAATACTCGCATATTTATGTTTAAATTTCAAAATCGCCTATTGCCAGAAATTCCTAATATAAACTTTGTTATTAATAGTGATATTCACTCGTATTCTACTCGTCAGAAAAATCATTTACATTTATTTAAAGTTCGTACGACAAATGCACAAAATTCTTTCTATTAAAATGGCATTAAGGAATGGAATAATTTGAGTAATGATATTAAGGAAAGTACAACTCTATCTCGATTTAAAGTACGATGTACACAGTTATTATTTAATGATTTATGTAAACAAGTTTGAGCAGAGGAGGATATTTTGAATGTATATGTGTATGTATATGTGTGAGCGTGCTTGTGGGTTTGTATCATGTTATTTTAAAGTTTTTAAACTGTATAATTTATGTGTAGTTTGTTTTTCTTTTTAAGGCCCCACCACAAGCAATTTGCTTCTAAGGGTGTCCTTTACCGTATTATGTTTACTATGTTACTCATTTGTATGTACATGTTTCATTTTATGGTTAAATAAACTTTACTTACTTACTATATCAAATACTCATTTTGGCAAAATATAGAGTTACGTCCTTGTTTCACTGAACTCTCGACATATGAATCATTTGAAATTGTATAGTTTCAGGAGAGCTGGTTAATCTTCCTGAAATAATTGGAAGTATACAATTCAAATTTTAAAAACTGTGCGATCAAAGCTTATATAATGGAAAAAAAGAGTTGCAATTTATATTCCTCTTTTTCACTGAATATAAAGCTCTTTGAAATGCCACACCTGGGTCAGAATTCAAGTTGAAATATATATATTTTTCAGAGTACTCATGGCTAACATCATATACTGTTGTGGAAATATCCTTGAAATATCCTTGGAAATGAGATAATTCCTCAGTATTTTACTCTTCAATTGTGATTGTAGTAAAAGGGTACACTTTATTATTCTTTGCCAATGCAGTGAAGCAGATTCCTGTGCCCAAAGCAGGATCTACTGTAGCTGCTTCAGCTGTGAAGCCACCAACTCAGCCAGCTGCCTCTGCCAAAGCTCAAGCCCCAGCTCAAGCCCCTGCCGACCAGAAGCAACAAGGAGCCCCAGAAAATCAAAAGAAGAAAGAAAAGAAAGGTAGCTTGTTAACATGTTGAATACCACGCCTGAGATATTTGGAGCTGGGTGTCATCCGAAGATCAAATTGTATTGAATTAGCTGAGTGGGCTAATTAGATGATTGGAATTCTTGTTAGATTTAATTATGATGTTTAACACCCAAATGTGGTGGACAAAAATGATACAAAAGGTATAGCAACTTCATTTAAAGTATGGATTGTTATATTTTTCATAAGTATCTTTTTATGATTTTAAATTTATTTTGAGTACAATCTAATGGTATTGGAAAGAGATAGAAGAAAGTTTAAGTCTTCTTGTTAGATTGATTGTGTCGTTAAATTTGATACTTTGATGTATTCATTAATTGTCCTGCATACCAATAAGGTAGTATAATTACCTATTTGGAGTAAACTACACTATTGATTTACTCTTTTAACAGAGAAACCCAAGAAAGAGGCCAAGAAGGATGGTAAACAGGATGACCAAGCTGCTGCTGAGGTGGACTTCCGTAACCTAGACCTTCGTATTGGTAAGATCACCAATGTGAAAAAGCACCCTGATGCAGACTCACTCTATGTGGAGGAGGTGGAGCTGGGCGAGACACAGCCTAGGACTGTGGTGTCGGGATTGGTCAAGCATATTCCTATTGAAGAGGTGAGTGATGCCTTGTTTGTGGAGGATGGGTTGTCATCTGCTTGATAAAAAAATTGTAATTAGAAATGTGCCTCACAAAAGTCAATGCAGTAGATGTCGCCAATAAAATCTGATGATTTGTAATGAAATATCATTTAAAAAGCATTCTTATGGAACGGATGGTATGGAATGGAGAGTTACATGTGAATCTGTAGATCAGACATACAAAGTAGAACTATTTTTCAGGCCTAGTTGGAAACTATATATTGCATCAACAATATCATTTCATCAATATTATGGTCACGGATATTCATTCTTTGCTAAATATTACTACTAAATCTTAGTAGTCTGTTGCATTCATGCATCTACATGTATACAACACACTAGGATAATGTTATTAATGTTTCATGTGATATTGGATGCTTGCTGCAGGTCTGGTAAAGACATCTAGTTTGTTACTCCTTTTCTTAGTGATGATTCTAATGCTCTTTTTGTAAACCTATAAACTTTGACCTGTAGATGCAAGACCGCATGGTGATCCTGTGCTGTAACCTGAAGCCGGCTAAGATGCGAGGTGTCCTCAGTCAAGCCATGGTCATGTGTGCCTCATCACCAGACAAGGTTGAGATTCTTTCTCCGCCCTCGGATGCAGTGCCAGGGGACAGGGTCTGCTGTGAGGGCTATGAAAGTGAGTAATGTTTGGTTTATAGTGCCCCACCCCTCTAAATGACGTTAAAGATAAAGACCAGTTATGGTCATACGATTACATTGTGAAAGAAACGTTGTGGAATCGATCAGAACAGGTTGATCCTCTAGCATATAAGTATTGGTGTGTACTGCAAGGTTCTGGAATCATCAAAATTATAAGAAATTTGGCCCAGTCTTGGGAAAGTTACAAGCACTGTACACAGAAAGATTTATATGGGACTACGTGACACGTGCATGATGTCTATCAGGTCCAAATAGATATAATAATTTACCAAATATATCAATTAGTAGGCGGTTTCTCAGTAAAATTTGTATCATCACATATTAGTCAAAACATATTCTTTCACATGATTGGTAATAAGAGCTTCCATTTCATTTTTTGAGAGGGGGGCGTTTCCAAAACTAATCTTTACCGTTAAGCTCCTTGCCCCACGCCCAGGTGCTGTTCCAGGGAACAGACTTGATTATGAGGGCTATGAAAGTAATTTTTGTCTGGATTTTAAATCTGGTTGTTGATGCCTACCCAACCCTCTTCATGTCCCCCCCCCCCCCTCCCCCACAAAGTTCCCCACAAAGTTTAGATCCTTGCCCCGCCCTTGTATGCACTGCCAGGGGATAGACAGCTGTGAGGGCTATTAAAGTAATTTATGTCTAACTTTTGAGGCAGGGGAGGGCGAATGGCTCTGTATTTAAAGAGTAATGTCATACCCAGAGACATTAGTGGTTGACTTGGTTTTGAACCTGAGATCTTGGACCTGTCACACGACTGTCCCTGATTACAAATTAAGTGGGCTTATTCTCTGAAATAGGTCATCTTTTCATACAATGCACATTAACTTTCTTATTATTATTATTGTTGTGAGATTTTATATTCTTATAACTACAAGTTGGGGCATGTTGAATTGCATTCAGAGCTAAATAAGCATTACCATTTCACAAAAAATAATTGAGTTTGATGCTTGCTTACTCATGTTAACAATGGATTGACTGAAATTCTTTGAGAAAGCAAAAAGTGTGCTACTCTTTTTTTTTTCCTCTCTCTTTTCCATGCAGTGAGTGAGAGTTTCCCAGTCCAAATGAATCCCAAGAGGAAGATCTTTGAAAGAATCCAGCCTGATCTCAAGACTGATGACAAGCTTCAAGCAACCTATAAGGGGTCACTGTGGAAGGTTGAGGGCAAAGGTCATATTGTCGCTGCTACCATGGCTAACTCTGGTATCAAATAATGATGGGGAGATACGCCCCTTGTTTGGAATTTTAGTCAGTCATTATTTGATAAAACATGATCACAAAGATTTTCAAGAAATCATCTTGAGGTCACTTCCATTGTCTTGATGTAGTGCCTTTTAAAATCATGGTTTAAGTCAGTATAAGGTTCACAGATTTCAAAAAGTGGTGCACAAGACTATTGGAAATACTGTACTTTATAAGATTTTGTAAAAGTTTTTGTGATCGTGTTTAAGGTACAATTATAGTAAGTAAATGGTACATAAATGAAGGCTCCACTCTTGTCTGCTTGGCTGTAGGATTAAGATTAGATGATTCCATTTTATTGATAAGGTAGTCTTTCTGATATTTTATTTGTGACACATTGTGACGAAAATAAAGAATACCTATCAATTGTACTGATTATCGATTTAGGTCAGAATTAGAGAACACACTTTCATGACATTCCATGATTGATACTTGCAATTATCAAAGAGTTAATTCAAACTATATATACAAGTACTATCATAATTATTTAAAGTGGGAGCTGTTTTGATGTCTTCTGGTTTTGATCAAGAAGCATTGAAACATGTTGAGATGCTTAACCTAAGATGTATGTCATTCCTTCTTAAATGAGACTGTAATGCAGGCAAACTAACTACAAGCAAAAATGTACCACATGTATAAAATGAAATCTATAAGTACGATTTCTTGAAAATGTGTGACTTAAAGAGTGCATATTTAAGGGGATATGTTTTGTATTCACAGGGATATTCTAAACATAAGAACATTAAAGTGGTACTCTGACCTCTGCTGATTGCAAATTTTAAGTTGTTTAACAAATAAATTAGTATGATGACTTTTTGGTACATATAATTCGGTTCAGCATTTGGGAAATGGCATGTTAATTGTTAACATTCTCTGTTTATGATATGATTAGTTTATTACTTTTGAAAACAAGAAAGTATTGGAGCATGTAGTAATGAAGAGATTGAGTATTTACAAGAGAAGTAGATTACCTTTTCATGAGAATTGTAACTGGATGGTAAATAACATTGTGGTAAATGTGCATTAAAGTGCAAATTCAAAATATAGGTAGGTAGTTATATAGTTCCACAGATAAAGGAATATTAGAAACAGTAATAATATTTGAATATGTAACAAATACATGATATTATGACAAATACACTTGGAAGACTTGTACTGTATCATACTCAGTTTAAATAGTGTTCGAGTTAAGGAGAGAGAGAGAGAGAGAGAGAGAGAGAGGGGGGGGAGAGGGAGAGAGAGAGAGAGAGAGAGAGGGAGGAATAGAGAAGAAGAGTGAGAGATTGAAAAGAGAAAAGAAGAGCAGGAGCGGGAAATATAAAGAGGAAAGAGCTAGAGAGAGGGAAAAAGTAAAGAAGTAAATTGCATATGCATGTTCAAAGGATGTCCGACAACGGTTCTATATGTACAGTCTAGTCACTGTCTGGTTGCACTTTTATTATTGCTTCCAAGTTTGTTAGCAATGATCCAAACAGATAAGAAGTAGAGAACAAGATAAATATATATAGAGAGGGGGAATTTAATAATAATGAAGACAGATTGAGAGAGAAGGGGGGGGCGGAGGAGTATAAAGAAAGAGATATGGGGTATCGAGAGAAAGGGAGAGAAAGATATATTAAGAGAGAGATGAAGAGATAAAATATTAATAGAGAAAGTGAGAGTAATATGATAGGAATGAAGACATGTATAAAGAGCGAGTGTGTGGATGAAATGAGAGAATGAAGAAATAGGAAGGCATAGATAAAGAGAAAGGGACAGCGTGAGGAAAGAGGATGGTCCAGTGAGAGAAAGAGGGGGGGGGGGGCAGTGATGGAGAGAAAGAAATAGAAAGGAAGAATGAGAGAGAGACAGACAGAGATGGAAATAAATATCTTGATATAAATGGAAATGAAAACCAATAGATGGGGAAATTATACAATGAGGGAGACTTCATGTGTCGTTTTAAATCAACTATTTTGACTTTGGTGATTTCTCGAAAGTATAAGGCAGACACTTTAGAACTTCTTGTGTTATGTCTTATAAAGCCCCTTATAGCAAACTGCCATATGACATTTTCGCTGTATTGGTAGAACGTTATTCACTTATCAAAATCACAATCATCAATATGACAGTCATCACGATGCCATCATTATCATCATCATCATTATTATCATTACCACCACCACCACCACCATCATCATCATCATCACCACCATCACCATAATTAATATCATTATCTTTACCACCACCACCACCATCATCATCATCACCATTACCATCATCACTATCGTCATAATCATCATCATCATCCCCATTATAATCATCATTACTATCATCATCATTACCACCATCATCTTCATCATCATTACCACCACCCCCATCATCATCATTATCATCATCATCATTATTATCATCATCATTACTACCATTATCATCGTCATCATCATCATCATCACCATCATCATCATCATCATCACCATTATCATCCTCATCATCATTATCATCATCACTATTATTAATTATTATCATCATCATCATCATCATCATTATCATCACCATCATCACTATTAACATGAGCATCATCATTATCATCATCATCATCATCATCACTATCACCATCGTCATTATCATCATCACTATCATTATCATCATCACTATTATTATTATCATCTTCGTCATCATCATCATTATCATCACCATCATCATTATTATCATGAGCATCATCATTATCATCACCATCATCACCATCATCATCATCATCAATAGTAATAGTACATTTGTAAAGCGCTTAGAGACATTGTATTAAGCGCTATATAAAAGCTATATATTATTATTATTATATCACAATTGCTATCATCATCATCACCATTATCATCATCATCATCATCATCACTATCACCATCATCATCACCCTTATCATCATCATCATCATCATCACCACCATTATCATCATCATCATCATCACCACCATCATCATTGTCATCACCATCACCATTTTCATCATCATCATCATCATCATCATCACTATCACCATTATGATGATCATCATCACTATCACCATCATTATTATCACTATCACTATCATCATCATCATCATCACCATCATCATCACCATCATCACAAGCACCCTCTTCATCATCACAAGCACCATCTTCAGCAAGCTCAATGGCGTAAATGCTAGCGAGAGTTTAACAAATTGTACGTACTGGTATTATATTCGTTTCATTTTTATTGCTGAAATTTGATGTTACAAAGTAAGAAAACACAAGTACAAAGTTTCGTCAGGGATCCAAAAATACAAAATTGTGAATAAAACGAGGCTTAAGGTAACCAAAGTAATGAGTAGAATATATTCAACAGTTATCAGTATGTTAATTATAAATAAAATAACAAGCTACTTGTAAACAAACGTTAGAAATTCCTGAATTACAAAACAAAATTCACCTCAGCAGTAAGAAGGGCGTTGAAATATACACTTCTATCAAATTAATAGAAGACAATTACATGTAGTATAATGTTGCTTCATGATATTTAGCATGTAGAAATATTCATCTAACTTATCTCATCTCAACATATGTGTTACAAATGCGAATATATCGTACACATGTTGAAGTAACATATTATCAATACATTGCAATTTAAACAAACTTCAAACTCAAAATAGAACTTACAGAAGAGATTAATTTTCATGAACATACAAGATATTACATATTCAAGATATATCATAGGGATATAGCTAAATCGTACGTCTAACAAACTAATTAATGTAAACAATCAACTGTTCAAAATACAAAAGAGTGTCACTCCGTGTTTCAAAATATCTTTTATTAAACAAGATAATATAACATTTTGCAATTACAAGGCACGTATAAGTGTATAGCCATGTCTTATCAAATGCATAGGTCATGTAAATAATAAATTAATATTTCCATACACATATACCTTTGCATAGATATCTTAATAAACGAGAAATTGCACAACACTGAATAATAAAGAACTGTCTTAAAACAATTTAACATCTCATACAGTCGTATATTCAATAATCCATTTCCATACAATCATAAAACAAACAGTGAAAAACATTCAATCATTTACATGTATTTTGTAATGTTCAATCAAGTATATCGATATAAAGACTACATAAACTGTCATATAGTTATATTTATTTGCACGTCAGGGCCCCGTCTTGTAAATAGTTGATATTATTCACAACTTATTTGCGATTGATATCAATCGCAACTATGTACATAGGAGATAAGAGAATGCAAACTTATGATTGATTAGACGACTTGCGATCGATTTGGATCAATCATGACTCTTTAAAAGTCGGAGCCCAGGTCTTAATCCACTGACCATGATACATTACCTTATACAGAACTTATTCTAAAAAGCAATTTATCACAAATAATGTCAGCAATTATTACAATTAAATACGAACAACAATACATGATTCCTTATCGTATGCTAAATTGGAAGAACATCATCAATAATAAAGTAAACGGATCTCAAATGTAATTGCATTTTCTGTATTCAACTTCTTATATATTCATATCATATCTTATCTTACACACACAAACTTTATCTCAATGTGGAAATAATGTGATATAATTTTCAAATGTGTATCTAATTCTATCACATTGAAAACAATGGTACAGTATATTAACTTAAATTGATTTAATTGACTAATATCAATTCGAAATACCATACCAACTGATTGTGAGTGACGTGAAGCCACAGGCGACCTAACCGCATTAGAAATCATACTATATTTTCCTTTCTTACATGACTGAGTACGCATTCATTTGCTTTGTTTTTGTGAAGAAAGTTTCTTATACAAAATCACATTTCTAAATGCAAATGACGAAAAGGATAACCGAAATTTGAAGAAAAATAAAATCAATGCACGGGACCCTTTACTACACAAATAATCAGTAAACAGACTATATACATATCTTACATGTGAATAAAAGCAAACTGTTGCATTTCTTCAGAGTTTGCTATAAACACAATTTGCACTTGGTTTAATGGTAAGAAAACAAATATTCTAAAGATGTAAACTGCATTTAATCATCAATAACTCCAATTATTTATATAAGTTTTCTATCTATAGTCATTCTTAATTTTGGCAGAACAAAAAAAAAGATTTGAGAACGTGTCAAATCAATTGTTATATATTGTTATTCATATCATTACATTGACATAAAATAGACATTATACACATCTTATTGGGAATTATACCATAAATACTTTACTAAAGTGAACATGAATAACTAATTTATCATTTCCAAAGAGTGCATATTATAACATTTATTTGATATCGTAATACTTTATAAATTGAATCGTATTTTACAGTTTCTTAATGTTATCTCATTGAAGCATTTCTATATGACAATATACACGACATGTTAGCTACTTATATATTTACAATTGAAAGACACAGTGAGAATCTCATGAATACAATAAACGTCAATATCGTTTCATCTGATACATATATATATGAAAATATTCATTGTCATTCATATTACATCAATTTGTTCAAATCTATTTACATTGTATTGCACATTGCCCGGCCGTTTTACGAGCCTCATCAATTAAGATTGAGCGATCGAAAGTTCATTACATTACAAGCGAAATACTTAACATATTAAAATAAGAAAGTAATAGAAGTGATTAAGATATAGAGAGGCTATAGGAGAGAGAGAGAGAGCATGAGGAGGAGAGTGAAAGAAAGAGAGATATAGAGAATGAGGGAGAGAGAGAGAGAGAGAGAGAAGAAAAAGAGAGAGAGAAAGAGAGAGAGAAAGAAAGAGAAATAGAGAGAGAGAGAGAAAGAAAGAGAAATAGAGAGAGAGAGAAAGAAAGAGAAATAGAGAGGATCACAAAGACAACAAGATACACCATTCGTTAAAAACGCGGACTATAACCACATACATGTCAAAATCACTAGAATACTCATTATGTCAGCATCAACAACATCATCTCAAATACAATTACATTAATATCACAAGAAATAGTGCATGTTTTAACACGCAAATCATTGATGAATAATACTATTTGACTCACTTATTCTCTCCTTCATACGAGTGTCCTTATATTTCTTTGATTACTTCAACATTTCGCATGAACTCACATTTAGGAGAAGCTTGTTTTGCGAGGCTTAG